ATTCAGACAAGTACCCAGTTGTAGACAGAAATGGCAAACATGCAATATTCTTTGAAAAGACTGAAAAAAGAGAGAGCTTGCTTGCAAACTAGTCTATATTAAGTACATTATGCTTCCTTCAGCATAATTTATTATTGTCATCAATTATTGTCATCAATTATTTTAATATTTAAACTGCCCTCCAGATGAGGGCATCTGGAAATTTTAAGTGTCACGGTTTTTCAGACAGCTGCCCTTCATCTAGATCCTGGTGTTCCAGTTGAAGTAGTTTCTGTATCTTTAAACTACCACCACTGGGTTACCTGAGAACGATCTTGCACCATAGAGGATCTAGTTTTTTTTAAAAAAATGTTTTGTTTTTTTGGTAGCCTGTCTTTGATAGCCTATTTAAAGCTATTTAAACTGCTTTATGAAGTTTGCCTCAAAAGTTGCATATACATACCATAATTAATTTAAAAGATACATGGTTCAGATAAAATGACCTTGAGGATTGGGAAAATGCCACAGGACAACTCCAAAAAAACAAATGTGTCAAAATCCATATTTTGATTCTATATATATAATTGTTCCAATATAACCCCAAGGCACTTCATAAAACAAACCAGGTCAATCCTTAGAGAGTAAATTGACTCCAATGATAAACTCACTCAGAGTTTCCCAATTAATAAGATCATTAGTGGCAACACTGTTTACTTACGAAACAAATTTTCCTACTTCCACTTGAAGTATTGGCTCAGGTAACTGCACTTCCAAGAGCAAATCTTCAGCTTGCACAGCATCTCCAGGCTTTATAGGATGGGGATTGTAGATTCTAAGGAACCCTGTATAACTGCCCACAATTATTTTATCTGAAAAACAAACATATTCAAATACTAAGTGAAGCTTACACAACTGAAAATGTGGTGACTCATTATTTCTACACAGGATGGAGCTTTAAGGTTGCAATGCAATGCATGCTTCCTTGGGAATAAGCTCTACTTATAAACGGCCTCGGTCCTGTATACCTGAAGGAGCGTCTCCACCCCCATCGTTCAGCCTGGACACTGAGATCCAGCGCCAAGGGCCTTCTGGGGGTTCCCTCATTGCGAGAAGTGAGGTTACAGAGAACCAGACAGAGGGCCTTCTCGGTAGTGGCGCCCACCCTGTGGAACACCCTCCCTTCCGATGTCAAGGAAATAAGCAGCTATCCTATCTTTAAAAGACATCTGAAGGCAGCCCTGTTCAGGGAAGTTTTTAATATTTAACGCTGTACTGTTTTTAACACTTGATTGGGAGTCGCCCAGAGTGGCTGGGGAAACTCAGCCAGACGGGCGGGGGATAAATAATAAATTATTATTATTACCACTACTGAAGTCTGTGGCACTTCCATGTAAACACGGACAGCATCAAGTTGCATTTAGAGTTCCAGAATTAAATCTCAATTCTAAGCACATCTCCTCAAAATTAAACCTTTTTAAGCTTAACAGAAAGTGTTTCCCACTAAACATGCTTGGGATTGCAGCCTCTGTGTAGAGTTTCACAATAATTTTAGTCCGTTTACCTTGTCCACTGCTGCTATTGTCAACATTTGCAACACATAAGCATCCTTGATCAAATTCTTCTTTGTTGCCCACCACTGTAGACCACCAGTCACGGGCTTTAAATAAAGACATTCTCCTTCAGCCCTAGTGAGAGGAGGGGGGAAACAAGGTGATGTAAAATCCACCTAATTTCACATTCCAAAGGGGGCTTCAAAAGCAATTTGAGATACACTATAGATGCACGCAGGTGGGCGGGAATCCTTCACGGGGTGAAGGAATTATAAGTCATGGCCACATACAGCAAATATACACACCAAAATCTAACAACATACGCCACTAAATGTTAACAACTAGTCGCTTTGTTCTTATTTATTAAATGAGAAGCTTAATGACAGTATGATCAAAGCAAACAATGAGTACTGTGCTGCCCATGGAACCGTGACCACTGCAGTTGGGTAGAATAAGCTATAATAATGTATATTTATCTCTCAAACAGACTAGTAGAACAATCTATCTTGTACAATTGAAATTTCCTTCAAAATCACCTGGGACAAACAAACAGAAAAAAGCCCAGCAGGAGCTGCTAATATTTCTATGTCATTCTTTAATCAAAGTATCCATAGGGCCATGTATGAAGCTCAATTTATGCAATAGAACTTTCCTGCCCCTCTTTCCCACTGTGGCCTTGCAAGGCTGTTCCTGAAGGTTGATGGCCACTCTGGAACAGGACTCAACATGATATAAAGGGCTGCATTTGGAAAGGCAAATCAGCAACATATTATCCAAAGGTGTGTGTTCTGCTCAAGCACAGAGCTATTTGGAGCTTAGCATATGTTCACCGATGGTGCTATATAATAAATAATCGCAATTCACTTTATTTCCAGTGTTCAGGCTGTGAGTGCCATTGCTTATGTAGCCAAAATAGTACATAAATGAAGTCACACATCCATGAGAGGGAGGAATCTGTAAAACTGGGAGAACACCAATGTTTGCAGAAATACAAAATATTTTTACGATAAAAGATGGGGTGGGGACAAACCCACAGACAATCCAATGAGGACTGAGTGGGCTCAGTAGCCATGGAATGCTGACTGACAGTGAGTAGGAGTGGAGAGGAGCATCATGGCAATGATGAAATAGGAATGAAGCGATATACAAGCAGGCATTTATTCCTCTACTTTAATCGCCTTGAATTGCCCTTATGACACAAGCTAAGGAATTGAATCCAGTCAGACACAAATAGGTTGCACTAATACCTGCCTGCAGTTAACTGGAACACAGTAAAGGAAAAGAGGCTAGAGATTCAGTAATCCTTGCCTTAGCTTAGCAACACTAGGTTACACACATTAATGCAAGTATTTACAGCAATGCAAGCTAAAAACACAATTTGCCAGCTTCTTCAATACTCTTATTGCGCATTGGAAAGACCTAAGGAAAGAAAAAAAATTGCATAAACATCTAAAGCACAATATACGTCCCTAGGCATATACAGCGAACATCTCACTTCTTAAAAGAATGCAAAAACCTTTTAGGAAATTGCTTAGTTTGCAGTTAATGTCCTGAACATTCTGAATGAAACAGGATTGTCCACCACATAGAGGTATTCCCTAGACCCTGGTGTTGTAGAAATAGTACACACAGGTATGTCTAGTTTCCCGTGCATGAGTTTTGTTGCCATTATGCTTATTTATCCCTGCAGCCCAACCCTAAGCATTTGTACTGAGAATTTGCACCGAGTTCCATGGGACAGATTTGCAGGAAAGTGTACACAGAACCACAACCTTAAGGCGGCAGTCCTACGCGCTGTTACTTGTGAGCTCACCTGGACACACTGAACGGGTTGCAAGGCTGCAGCCTTTATGCACACTTCCTACCTTGGGAAGTGAGACTGGCGGCATCTCTGAGAAAAAAGCGCACAGGGCAAGGCTGTGCAATGTCTCCCGCAGCAGATCTTCTACTTTGCACAGTACAAGACACGTGCTCATTTTATTTAATTGATTATTATTAAATTCATTGAGTTTGTATATTGCTCTTCAACTGAAGGTCTCAGGGCTGGTTCGCGGCATAGACACACAAGATAAAAACACAAAATACGTAATAAAGGGAAGTTCTCTTTCTGCACATAACTGTGGCATTATGGGAGAAGTAGTGCTTCTTTTCTCTGGCATTCTGGGAAGTCTCGCTTATAATCTTTTCTCTGCTTCTGCACACACTGTGCTTCTGCACACACTGTACAAACCTGTTCTAAACACCAAGACATTCCCTCATTCCTCAGTTCATCTTAAGTTCATGAACAAACAATATGATCTGTTCTTAATGCATAGCTGACCACATCTACGGAACGTGATTGTTGTATTCTTTCATGTTATGTTCTTTCAAGTCATGCAATATCAATCATTAGTAACCATGTGTTCCCTTTCCCAACCTTCATGATTAATGCCCTTACATTGTATTCCTGTTAACCAATCAGCAACAAGCACATATGTGGAAAGGTTGTAATATTCAATAAAAGAGAGTTCTCGGGGCTTGCTCGAGGAGACGCCTCTCACACGACACCTGCTACTCGTCTGTCGTGAATTCATTCCAACAACGTAACAGTAACGAAAACACAACACTCCTCCAAACACATTTGAAAGGATGCAGGGCGTTAACTTACCTGACTATTCCCAACATTGGGAAACCCTTTTCTTCTCCTCACCTGCGCCCTCCTCCCGCAGATCCACAGCAGGGAGCCGGGTGCGCATTAAGGCGAGCGCCTCATCCCGAGACTCCCTCACGGGCCGCAAGAGCGCCGTTTGCCTGTCCGGGAGGCCGAGACAGGGCGCCGACGTCCTGGTCGCAAGCACCCTCTCGCCGCGCTACCTTTGGGGCAGGAGGATGCTAACGGGACCCATGAGGGAGATAAGCAAAGACGCAAATAGAGAGAGAGAGAGATGGATAGGGGAGCGGGAGGGAGGGACTACCCCAAGCAGAAGCTGTTATTACAAGGAAGGAATGGGGGGGGGTGTCTGTTGGTATACGGGGCGCGCGGGGGAAGAACGCCTCAGGTACTCCCTAGCCAGCTCTGCCCGCCGCCATTTTTGCTCCCGTTGTCATAGCGCCTCAGCAACCAACGCCGACCCCGCCCCCTCCTGCCGTCCGAGAAAGGCGCTGAGGAGAGAGCAGAAACGGCACGGCAGCTGCGATCTAGGAGACGCAAAGCACGCTGGGGGATGTAGTCTCTGCCAGCCTCCGGTTGGACTGTACTATTAGGAGGAGAGGAAGCGCCCAGCGTCCGTCTCCATCCCCTGTCCCGCCTAGCGGCGTAAAAGGACCAACCTGCCTCCACAACCTCCTCTCCTAATTGTCGGCGTTTTGTCTCGCGGAGGAGAGAGAGAAAAGAGGCCACCACCCCCGTCCCTAAGTCGGAATGGTTTCTCCCGCCTCAACTGTCAAGCGAGAGAGCGCGTGGGGCCAACGGCCGCTCAGCTCGGCGGTTGGCGGTGGCGCATGCGCGCTCGCCCGCTCTCGCAGCCGACTGAGAGGGAGAGAGAGGAAGGCGAGCGGCTGAGAGGAAGACCGGCGTGAGGCAGTGCGGGGCTCTTGCCCGCCTCCGGGACCTGAACGTAAGGCTTCTTCTCCCTCTGGGTTTCCCCCTCACCCCGCGAGGCCGGAGCGTGGCGAGAGGTTTCTGCCGCCATGGACAAGAGCGCCGTGGCCAGGATGGGAGCGGTGGCCAGCGCCAGCGTGTGCGCCCTGGTCGGCGGGGTGGTCCTGGCCCAGTACATCTTCACCATAAAGAAGAAGACGGGCAGGAAGACCAAGATTATAGAGATGGTAGGAGCGCGCTGCCGAGGCGCTGTTTACTCGGGAGTAAAGCCCCGCTGCAGGCGCAGCGCTTCGAGCGGTTGCTTTTCGGTTTTCGTCCCCCCCCCCCCCCTTCTCGCAGTCAAGCGGTGTATAAGTTTTCTGAAATAAACAAATAATTGGTCTCCCGTCAAACTCAATGCAGGGACACTTGCTTCTGGACTGACCATGCTTAGGCGTCAGTTTATTTGGTTAGCTGCTGGCCACATGGAAATTAGTGGAGCTTCTTGGGCCTTATTATTATTATTAACATTATTTATTAAATGTGCATACCGCCCTTCACCCGAAGAGTTCAGGGTGGTTCACAACAGAGAAATACAAAATGAGAATTTAAAATATGTAGTAAAACCAAAACAAACCAATATTGCCCCTCCCCTGTTTAAAAAGCCATAGAAAATGGTTCAAAAGTATCTGGATATCACCTTTACAAGCATTTATTTGGAAGTAAGTTCCATGATCAGAGTTGGAGTTGCTTGTGAGCGAGTGTGCATAGGATCTGGCCGTAATCTTGTACTCACTTTGTTAGGGAATGAGGTTTATTGAAGCTGGCAAGGCTCACTTCTAAGCAAAGTTGGTGCAGCCCAGCACTGTGCATGAATAATTCAAATGTACTCCTTAGTGAATGTTCATGAATTGCAGTCTCCGCCTAATGTGGATTGCCCTAGGGTGTCTGTATGCACATAAGACTTTCTAAGTATCCCATATGGAATTTGAGGGCAAAACATGTGCTTCCTTCACCCTGGTTTAATTCATCCACAGTTAGTTAATTCTGTCCTTCAGGTTCATGACTGTGGAAAGCTCCACCTGTAAATTTGCATTGAAAGGACTGGCTGGTGGGGGACTCATGATTTTTTTTAATACTCCAAAATAATCAGAAAGACATACATTTGCACACTTCATGGGAGCTGGTATTTCTTTGAAGATTTGTGATGAGGGAGGAAGGAAAGAAAGAAAGTTGTTGCAACCAAACTTCAGTGATGAGAAGTAACTGCGTGTCAAACCTTTGTAGCCGAAATGGCATCATCCTTGCAGGGGGAGGTATCAGCAAGCTCTGGGCAACCAGAGAGGAAAATATGGGGGGGGGGGAGACAGCCATATGAGGGCAGCAGAGCCTGCATGTAGGTCCAAACCGCTAGCCAAATGGGGGGGTGTCAGAAAACCAGGGGCCATGAGGAATAGAGTAGGTTTTCCTGGAAGAAAGCATGGCAGGTTGCCTGGAACCCTGAACAGCAACTACCAAATTTTACTGCATGTCCTTTTTGTATTCTCCAAATTCTATATTTATGGGGTCCTCCTTGTTCTGTAATCTCTCCCCCCACATGTGAGCAGCCAATTTATGAGTGCCATCAAAGCTCCCAAACTTTCAGAGGGGTTTTGGTGAGTCCATGACTCCTAATATAGGAGGACTGAGATTCTTCTCATTGTTGAGCTCCCTTTCTTCCTCCCTCAGTACCCATTTCTTTCTTGGCTCGCCTCTGCATTACATCCCAGAAAGTGTTCCCTGTCAATTGCTGCTGTATGTCCTACACTGAGGCAATGCTTCATTTTCTAAATAGCTTTTCTTTCCAAATCTATGCTATTCCTTTTGCTCCCCCCCCCTCCGTTACTGCTCTCCTGCAGAAAGGAAAAGCACCCACCCACCACTGAGAGACTCCAAGGAGATGAGGTTTAAGCTGTATCAAGCCTCTAACAAGACCTAACGCAGCCCACCTCTGACAATATCACAAAATCCACAATTGTAGCCAAAATATAATTTGTGCATTCTATTCCTTGATGTTGTTAGATAAGTATGCTGTTACCAGTTTGATTCTAATTGCAGAGGTTGAAACATCCACAGCATAGATTATAGCTTTTATTGGGTCTCCTTATTTATTTGTTCTATTTGCTCTGTGCCTCCTTGGTTTCATTATTATGCAAGCATCATAATACAGTGGTACCTCAGGTTACAAACACTTCAGGTTACAAACTCCACTAACCCGGAAGTAGTTGCTCCAGGTTGCGAACTTTGCCCCAGGATGAGAATGGAAATCGCACGCCAGCAGCATGGCAGCAGCAGGAGGCCCCATTAGCAAAAGCGCACCTCAGGTTAAGAACGGTTTCAGGTTAAGAATGGACCTCCGGAACAAATTAAGTTCATAACCCGAGGTACCACTGTACTCTGTTTGGTAGTAAATTTAGGAATACCCTCAGCCTTCTTCTGTGCTTGAATTGTGTATGTACTACTTAGTTTCTAAAGAGGCAAATTTCTACAGTGGTCAGAAATGGAATAATCAATAATGTATATATTGCATTAGCTTATCTGTGTGTGCTGCTGAAGCTTGTTTGCTTTCCCATATTAGTAGACTAGTTCCTATAGAAACAGTGATGTCATGATGGAACACAAAGAATATGTTGGCGTAGGCTTGGAACAAAGGCATAATGTTAGAAAAAGAGCATACGACTTTCCTTAAAGGAATCACAATTGTGCACTGTTTCCTTAAACTTCACAATTCTTCGGAAAGTCAGTAAGTAGTAACACTGCTATTTCCAGGTTGATGAAACAGTAGGAAGACATACAACTTAGTAGTATTCAGGATTATTTTAGTGGGCCTTACTTCTAACTGTGACTCAGTTCAGACACCATGCCAAAGATTAGCTAGTGTTAAACATGATTTTGATCCCACACTATAGTTTAAGATTTCAGTAAAGGTAAGGGACCCCTGGACGGTTAAGTCCAGTCAAAGACAACTATGGGATTGTGGTGCTCATCTCGCTTTCAGGCAAAGGGAACCGGCGTTTGTCCACAGACAGCTTTCTGGGTCATGTGGCCAGCATGACTAAACCACTTCTGGAGCAACAGAACACCATGACGGAAACCAGAGTGTTTCAAACATACATTCAAATTGTGATTTGTAGCTGTTTTCGTTTTCTGTCTGTTGGCACACCAAGTCTGGGTGCCCTGACCCCTGATGGTGTAGCAATGCCTGTAACTTTGTTTTGTCAATTATGATGCCTCACTAGGCCATATATAAGTTTCTTAACCTTTCTCCATGTTTGAACAGCATGCTAAAACAGTTTAGTGTAATGTGAAAGAGCTGGGTGAGTCTTGGTTCATGTGTCCCTCTCAGACAATCAGAAGGAGAGCTTCAGAAGTTTTTACTTAACCATGATTTGTCATATGTAATCTGGACCAACAAACCTTCATTTATGTAAACTTTTGTTTGTTTAAAACGAGCCAACTTTAACCATAGTTCAACATAATCCACAGTTTACAGCTTGGCTGAAACTCTAAATTGTGACTAATGAGAAAGAGAAGTAAAGGTTTTGAATTCCTCATGGCAGCCCTGAAACAAGAAGGGGAAGCATAAATAACAAAAGAAGTGTGGTTTAGGCGGTGGAAGTCTTTTAAGATATTTTAATTAAATTTTTATTTTATAATGTATGTAAGTGTAATTCTGGAATTACTGTTTTTGGAAAACAGCATTTTCCTTTTTTTCCCTTTCCTTTTCTTTTTTCATTTTTTCTTATCTTTTATCCTTTTTCACAGTATATGTTTGGCAAATATGTAAATAATTGTGTTTTTGCAGATATATCTGGAAATTTGATTGTATTATTCAATAAAGTTGTATTTTAAAAACAATTTAAAAAAGAGAGAGAAGGGGAAGCATATAAGCCCACACCTCAACTAGGTTCATTGACAACATGCTTAAACCAGGGGTAGGAGACATTTTTCAGCCTGAGAACCACATTTTGTAATGGACAACCTTCCAGGGTAGTTTGCCAGTATGGGTGGGGGCCATAGGCAAAATGTGAGTAAGGTAATGATGTGACGCTTTGTATGGTATGCTGCATTCATGCTACACAAGTCAGCTGTTTCTACACACACACACACCTGAATCCAGGTAAGCAAGAGGAATTATGGAAGGTCAGGGATACATGAAGTGGGGTCAGGTAGGGGTATGGCCTGGGGTGAGTCCTGGAGTCATTTGGCCCCAATTCCAGAGGTTTCCTTCTCCTGCAGTAAACCTTTGTTTAGCATAATATACAGACATAACCATTGTTTGGTGTGATTAGGATTATATTTGTTTAAAAAGCTGAACAAGGGTTTGGAAGAAGTAAATGCTGCCATATTATGAAACCAGAATGGGATAATTTTTGTTAGTGCTGAAGGACTTTCGTGCCTAGAGATTGTGACTGCAGACTGTTGTGATAAACAAGCACAGCTCTGTTATTCTGTGGACTGAACACCATTGCCTCAAATTCTGTTTATTTTAAATGGAGAAAAAGCAAGAATCAAATCAGGCCAATAGCTTTGGTTTCAAACTATATATACCTATGCAAGTATATGGGCACTGCATTCATTAATATTTATAAAGGGCCTATATCTATTATACTAATGACAAGTTAGGAAGCAAATAAAACTATAAAACAACAATGAACAGTAGCATTAATATAGTATTTAAACTGAGCCCTTCTGCAGCAGAGGTGGAGGGCGCAGATGAGATCACAAAGGCTGGCTACAGTCAATAAAACCATTTCATTCAGTTTCAGCTGAACATTAATATTTGTTTCTTTCTGTGGAAAACAATGCCTTACAGTGACCAAACAGAGAATAATATCGAAATGTATATACCCACTGAAATCCGTACTAACTTAGGAAAACAGTTAAATAATAGAATTACAGCATTTCAACAATTTAACAAAATATCAACATAACACCGTTGAAATGAATATTTTTGGATTTGTTAAACATAAAACCAGCTAAGTTAACAAACTGCAGATAAATGAGGAGGGCTGGTCTGTTTGCTTTTATGAGGTTTAGGGAGTGTTTTCTGACCTGTTTTGGCCTATTGGTGCAAGGAGGCTTCTGTGGCTGGTCTCTGCAGTTCCCTCCCTTGTCCAGAGTTAAGTGAAAGTGCACAGGCTAAATTCCTTAGGTTTCTAGTTTCAGACTCAATGCATGCTTAAATCAAGAAATATATTTCCTAAAGAATACTGAGCCTAGCTTTATAGATCAGTACTTGGAGTCTACCTGTAAGCAAATGAGCAACCAGTGCAGTTGAGTGAGCACATGCACTCCCTATATTCATTCCTTGGCAAAAGATGAGCAGCAGAATTCTGAGTTGGCTGAATTTGCAAGGAAGGAAGTCTTTATAATAGCCCATGTTCACAATACTGTATGCCAGTGACAGGGAGCCTTCATAGAATCATAGAATGGTAGAGTTGGAAGGGACCCCAATGCAGGAATCTCAATAAAAGCATCTATGACAGATGGCCATTCAACCTCTGCTTAAAAACTGCTCAGAAAGTTCTTCCTGGTGGAGGCAGCAGTGCCGCTCCCAGGCCCACACGCCTCTTTCCCAGCTTGGGCTGGCAGCAGCTTTGCCATGCAGAACTGCTCAGCATGCCACGACCAGCCCGAGCTGGGGGAAAAGGCACGCAGGCCTGGCAGCGATGCTGGTGACAGGCTGGCAGTGGAGGCAGAACCACAGTTCCTACCTGATCTTCGCTCCAGACCTCGCAGTCGCTTCAGGACTTCTGCTTCCAGGGCACTGCACCCTCCCGAGCATGCACATGCCCCCCAATCAATCAATCAACCAATCAAACCAATTAAAAATAACTCCCCCAACCCAGACATTTCATATAAAATGTAAAAATCCGCCCGAATGGGCATGTTGGCCCCCCAAAAAAGAGGAAATGTCCGGGAACACCTGGGCATATGGCAACCCTAATATAGCTGGCTATTCATTATTTCTTTGCTTAATCTTTGTGCTCTTTGGAGTTTTAACCCAAATAATGCTCTGTTGGACGTTTTTCCAATTAGCATAGGAAAAAGAAAGCCTGGACATATCAGATTTGTTTGTTCTTTTCTTAAATAAGTACAAGGTCCGCTTATGGTTCTTTGTGCAGGATTTAACTTACCACCATTAAAGGAAGAATTGGACCTATGGTGTGTGTATTTTTAGAAATAGAATTTAACCCAGTAAATTTTTAACTTTGTGCTAGTTTTGAAATAATACAGGTTCTGTAAACTCAGTCCTAAATATGTATGACCAGAAGCAAGGCCCTTAAATTCAGTGAAACTTCATTTCTGGTAAGAAATGTAGGAGTGCAGCTTTAGAAAGCCTTGGAATAAAATTGCTGTAGGAGGCCTAATGGCACCCTTTGCGCTGTCCTAGTTTCTCTGTAAACTGATTCTTCCTAGCATCTTGATAGTTATCACAAATGTGCTGACTAATAGTTGCAATTTGAGTCACGAGAAAGGTCATTTTGTTGGATGACTGTAGATCCTAGTATCCCAGCACTTATTCCCGTTTGCTGACTTTTGCAGCTGTACAGTTATTTGCAGTGTTAGTGGAGCTATGGGAATGAAAAACTCACTAGTTATGTTTAACTTGTGTTTTGAAAAGTTTTTGTGTTTAATTTGCCCTGAAGCTGTTACACAGAACTGATTTCTTTATAAGAAATATAGCTTTTATGTTCATTTTTCTTGATTCATAGCAGTTCAGTGTTATCCCAAAGAAATTATGCAAAAAAAAATTATATAATATGAAAACTAAATGGGATAAGCAAATTGTTTGTATGTTTACTTACTTACTTACTTACTTACACACACACACACGGTAATTCTGTCCAAACATTTCACTTCAGTTATTCTTGGAATAATATATTCTAGGCATATAACTGGATTTTGTTTGTTTTGATCTAGGGTTGTTTTGGGTTGATATTAAGCAGTAGTTTAACTCAGTGTACACATATTGAAATAATGAGCAATTAAGCATAGGGTTGTTTATGGTCCAGAACATAGTTAAGCCTTACAAAGTATCCTTACTCCTGTAATAATTTGTGCTTTTCATGTTCTTGTGGTTGCTGTCCAAGGTAGAGCGTGTGCTTAGAGAGTCTTCATATTTTCTTCTCCAAGTTGTTACCCAATCACTAGGATAAGTTGGAAAGTGCCATCAGAACTGTGATGGAGTCAATGTTTTTATCTGCTTATTTCCAGTCTAGTTTTGCAGATTTTAAAATGTGTGTGTGCATTCTTGTGCACACACATCCTTGGGCTTGTTGTTGCAGGCATCGTATAAGAGCAGGTGGGTAGCTGTAAAAGGTAAAGGTGAGGTAAAGGACCCCAGGATGGTTAAGTCCAGTCAAAGGCAACTATGGGGTTGCAGCGTTCATCGCTTTCAGGCCAAGGAAGCCGGCGTTTGTCCACAGACAGCTTTCTGGGTCATGTGACTAAACCGCTTCTGGCACAACAGAACACCGTGACAGAAACCAAAGCGCATGGAAACGTCGTTTTCCTTCTTGCCACAGTGGTACATATTTATCTACTTGCACTGGCGTGCTTTCAAACTGCTAGGTTGGCAGGAGGGTAGCTGTAGAAATGCCTACACTCACCAGGAAGAGGAGGTGAGAAGCAGTGGCAGCTGCAGGACAGCGACAAACACGAAAAAGAGTTTTTCCCCTTTGTTCTGTGCTACCACAGTTTCTTGACTTCCTTTTCCTGGGCCAGGTAGAAGGGCCTTTCTATGAAAGCCTGCATGGAATACTAAGGCGAGAAATCATATAGTTAAAATAAAACATTCTATAGCTGTTACAACCCACTTCATCAAATCTAAGCAAATGAGGAGTTTTGAGTTCCTCTGAATAGCCATGGTTAAATACAGTTATTCTTCAGTGTCCTTCTTTTGATTTATTATCTTATTCATTAGCTGTTCTACCTTGTTAATTTCATTCTTTATTCAATAACTTATGATAAAGTGAGATCATTCCACATAGCTGATGTCTTTCTTGCCTCTAGTGTACCAGAGTGTTGGTTGTCATGGTTATTATCTATAGGTTCTGTCCTTACATTCACTCAGTGTACCAAGATACTAGTTCCAAACATTTTTTCTGTACTGAAAAGGGGTTAGCTAAAGTTCACTCACTTATGCTAGTTTAAAAAATGATTTAGACAAAAAAATAAAAGGATAATTTTCTCCTTCGTTACCACATAAGTCAGTTTTACTCAGAATGCTTTAGGTTTAACCCCAACAAGTGCTGACTGTGTGTGCATTGGACAAGCCAGTCAAGCAAAAGTGGTGAGTCTCCTCTTCAGGTCCTCCCCCAAGCCAGAGGATTTAGGGTTGTGTTGTTGATTTGTACTCTGGTCATGTGGTGCTGCTTTTGAATGTCATTTCAAATCACAATAAAAATATATATCCATGATAAAGTGAGAGCTGTTGATGTATTTCAGCTTTGTCAGTACCAATATGGACTAGAGGGCTAGGGAAGGGTTGTTACTGACACCTCCTTCACTAGGGACAAGTTTGTATGTGAGCTGGGTTTGAGAGTTTGTATTTGGTGTTGGGCCAGAGAGACATATAAGAATTCTGTTGGTGTTCTAGTGACCCCACTGCCCATCAGTTTCCTTTCCTGGACAGGATGAGCTGATCTCAGACATTGTGTTGGAAACCCCCAGGACATTTCACTGGGGCAATACTTACACTTGGGCCACCTTAGGGTGATCTCCTTGGAACTTCATGGCTGCTGTGACAATCGTAGAGCTCTTTCAATGTCTCCTGCCCAACACGTATTGTCGGACACACTCCTGACCTAGTATTTTTGACTGAGTAGCAGGTTTGATGTCTGAAATGGTAGGGGTTCTGTAAACCTGTCATTACAACTAGACCAGTTCCTCAGAAATTTGGATTGACAATAGCTTCCCCCCCTCTGCAGAGACGATGGACCATTAAGTTGGTCTGCCACCATATATTTATGGAATATGATGGATTCCTGGACATTTTGGGATTTTCCTTTTGACATGGCTGCTGGTCTCACAATGGTATGGTGAGATGGAAAAGGCTGTTGACATCATCTCTCTCAAGCAGCCTCCCCTACCTAGCTAACATCGTGGTTTAATAGAGGACTGTGGGCAATAAAAAAACAGAATGGTAGCTACAACGCAGGTGATAAAAGTCTCATAGCAACTACTACTGGAGACATGGAAGAGCATGTTATCAGGCAGCAAAACAATCTTCCCAGCCTTTTAATCCTTGAGCAGCTGTTCAATAGAAGGTTTTTGGTTTTTTTAGTGCTGATGGAGCTATTGCATCTAGTTCCTGGGGAAGATACGCTGGAACCTTTGAAGGCCTGCTACAAAACGTTTGCTAGGCACTTTGAGAATAAAATTGCTCATATTTATTCTGACTTAGACACTGTCCTTGATGCAGTTGTAGAAGTGACCAGAGCACCATCTGGTCCAGTTTTATAGGATCTGTTTCCATTGTTGCAGGCTTAGGGTATAGACAAGGTGTTTGGAGAAAGGTGCCTATCTTGGCTTCTTGTTTCGAGCCAAAGAGGATTGCCTAGGTGGGCCCACAAGGTTACAAATATTTCAGTGAGAGAGGTGCTGTGATGAAGCCTGAAGTGCAACAGGGTAGAAGATACTGAAGATGCCTGGGCAAGGCAGAAAGCCAAACTCTTAATACTACACCAGATCTGGTCAAGTCAGTGGCATTATATTGCTTGCCACTTCAGGTGCTGATGCTTGCACACCAAGGTTCGTTTGCTGTGCTTAAAGAAGGCTTTCCAACCTGAGTATACACAGTGCCAGATAGGTCACCATGAGGTTTCTGGTTGAAGCCTTGACAAAAATTTTGATTTAGCTTTCCATATATATTGCATCATAATAAATATTATTCTGCAGATTTGTGGATCTGTATGGTTCTGAAATTATTTGATATATAGTAGAGGCAGAGTCTTTGCTAAAGTCTCACAACCTAGTTTAAAGCAGTTTTAATAGTGGTCAGCTTTAGTAAAAATTACTTCAAAATAACAACAACAGACTTTCAAATAAGGGGTATGATGCGTTGCTGTAGGTTTTTCCAGTAACTTTCCCTTGCTGTGGAAAATATTCAAATGGAAACTCCTAGTATTATCTCTTACTGGCCATATTGGCCAAGAAACAGCAACTTCTTAAGCATTTTAACCTTTACCCTCAATCTACCCTGACCTCAGTTTCTTAAGTATTCACTTTTCCCTATTCAGTGTGTGGCATTAAGGAATTTTTTCCCCCATCACAGTATTAGTATGTTGTGCTGATAGAATTGTAAACTCCATTATACTGTGAAATTCTTTGGTTCCTGTTCAGCTTTGTGTCATGTGGTTTTATCATTCCTCGCAGCTGACACAGCCTTAATTTGACACTCTTGAAAAACTTTAATAAGTGTTACTTTAAGGAAACTAATATACACACAATGTTAGACATCTTACAGGCTATATATGGATGTCTGTTAAAACCTTGCCATGAGCAAGCTGCATTATTTTCAGAATAACCTCTGTGCCATGTTTCAGCTAAAGCATTCCTGGAGATAAATTATAAAACCAGTATACTTCTCAAATATTCCTTTTGTTAGGGACATCCCTGATTTAATCCTTACGTCTCTGCCTCTCATTATTCTTGGAGCAGACAGTTGAACAACTGTAGACTTTAATATTGAAAAAGACACTGGCTTTGTAGGATGTATTGCTTCATTTTGTTCTTCATAGAAAATCTGATTCCACACTTTGGAGAAATTTTCCTCCTTCATTGTGGCAGAAATATTAATAATAGTATATGGGCATACAGTGTGTGTGTATGTGTGTATCACATATATATATAAATTTACAACGAGGAGATGGTCCTCTAATGCCAATGTTCTTCGACCCTGGGTCCGCAAGCAATGTTGGACCACAACTCACGTCATCTCTGACCACTGGCTAAACTGTTTGGGGATGAGAGCAGTTGTAATCCAACAACATCTGGAGACCCTACATCTGGAGAACATTGCTCTAACCCTAGAAATGTTCCCATTTGTTTTGTATCTGTCGAAAAACAATTAGGCCTTCTTCTGTCTTCCATATTCAAACCAATCAACCTTATTGACTTCTGCCTCATGACTCTAATTAAAACATTTAGAAGTACGTATCATAATTTACCTCATCTGTGACTTAGGCATCATAAGGCAGAAATATTGTTTACTCCAGTAAGTCTCAGCAGCATGTTGATAATACATGGCTCGAATTCTTTAAAATAATAAAATAGGATTTGCTTTCCACATAAGCGCTTTGCTCTTGTTACAGCAGTCCTAATTTGCCTGCTGATCAGTCAGAACTGCCTGATTGTTGAGGTTCTGGGGTTCTGTTGTTGCTTTCTCATCTGATCATCTGCAAATCTGGCAGGCTGGATTGTTATGCCGTGCCTTCCTAACGTACGTCACAGGGCTCGGGTTTTTTGCTCAGGGATTAGTCAGGCTGCTTTTGGAAACGCCCTCAGCTGTACCTTATGCTGCTATATTAGTGTTTACTTAGCTGGAAGAATTTTCTTTTGGCTGCTGCAGCTGCCTCAGCAAGCTCCTCCGGTAAGTTGTAAACAGAGCTTTGGCTTTTGAGCCAGTATTGCCAGCTTTGTGCAGGTTTATCTTATTTTGATAGTTTGCTGCAAATTCTAAACATCATGCAATTCAATCCTGTCCATGTTTACTGAGAAGTAAGTGTGTTTAGCAGGGCTTACTCCCTGGTATATATTCATAAAATTGTCATTTTAGATTGTAATCCTCTGCATCCTTACCTTGAAGTAATCTCCATTGTACACAGTGCAACTTGCTTCTCAGTAAACATGCTCAGGATTGCTCTGTTAGCGTTTTTAACTATAAATAGAATAAATGAATGGATTTGTGGGTTGACCCAGACTGTTGAAATCTGTTTATAGATCAGAATGTATATGAATAAATTTGGAATTATCCAGATTAATCTCTGTGTATACTTTGTTTGGGACGCGGGTGGCGCTGTGGGTAAAACCTCAGCGCCTAGGACTTGCCGATCATATGGTCGGCGGTTCGAATCCCCGCGGCGGGGTGAGCTCCCGTCGTTCGGTCCCAGCTCCTGCCCACCTAGCAGTTCGAAAGCACCCCTAAGTGCAAGTAGATAAATAGGTACCGCTTTATAGCGGGAAGGTAAACGGCGTTTCCGTGTGCTGCTCTGGTGCCGGTTCACCAGAGCAGCTTCGTCACGCTGGCCACGTGACCCGGAAATGTCTGCGGACAGCGCTGGCTCCCGGCCTCTAGAGTGAGATGAGCGCACAACCCTAGAGTCGGATACGACTGGCCCGTACGGGCAGGGGTACCTTTACCTTTACCTTTATACTTTGTTTATACACACAATACTGACCGTTGAATAATGTGGCAGACCATTTCTTAAGCGGTTTGCTTGGTTTTTGTTGGCAGCCTGTATGCAAGCCCTGCATCTCTGGAGTCTGCTTGTCACCTGTGCTGTTGCAGTAGGAAAGCATCAAGAACAGAAGAAGCAAGAGTGCCCTAAACTCAGCACACAGGTACTCCCCCTTAAAAAAAAAAAAAGGAAAACTCCTGACAACTCTGTTGTCCAAAAATAACCACAGTCCAGACTTCAACACTTATTTTTCATTTTGTAAGTGTTGCAGATCCAAAGTTCAAAATGACTTCAAGTCTAGAGAGTTTTCTAGCATCAAAAAATGTTCTGAGTAAGACTCTTAACTGTAGCAAGCATCCTTTACTGATATGATTTTTTACGTGTTGCTTCATCTATATACATCAAGACCTTCTAGATTTATTAAGCTTAGTTTGCATGCAACCACTTTGTTATTCTTGGGTGTGAAGTGCATTTCCATCCATTGCATCATGCGATCAGTTGAAAAGAATTTAGTAGTAGCAAAATGTGTGTGTCTGTTAGTGTATCAGTAACATGCATGCAGCAGAAGTTTATAACATGTTTGTGTATGTTTTAGTTCAAGAATGAGATAAATAACACTATCAGGTATACTTCTTAAACAGCTAAAGCTCTGTGCTTTTTATGTGCTGTAGTAATTGTCATTAAAAGTTTTGTCTACTAAACCTGGGAGAGAGCTGATAGTTCTTTCTCATTTAACTGACTATTACCATCACTGCAAAAAACTTTAATTTCTTACCATAATAAGTTATTTTTCTTAAGTAGACAACACAAATAATAACATATACCCCTATAACTCCCATAATCTGCAAGTATTTTAGCCAGTGGTCCAGGTTGATGTGGGTTGTAGAGTCTGACAACATCTGCATACTCAGGGTTGAAGAATACAGTGTCTGGATTACAAAGCTGTTCAAAGCTTGGAATACTAGCTTTTAAAAAAAAACTTAGTCTGATCCCAAACATTTATATTTGAAACTAAGACGCATCCAATTTTTTTCTGAGGTTACTGTCTTGTAACCTGATCCTATTCCTAGCCAGGGCATCATGTGGCAGATGAGTGATCAAAAACTATCCAGCTCTATCACACTTTCTATTATAAGCAAGGGGATAATGCCTTGCTGCCTTTAGCTGCAAAATTCTCACTTTGGTTGCTGCAGGTCCACTGTCCCCTACACTACAGAGGGCCTGCATGCAGCAGTTCTGCCCTAAGGAACTCATTGCTTATAGGGGACTCCCCTCCTCCAATTATGTACCACTAAAGGTAGTGAGAAAAGCTCCCAGCAGCCTATATAGCAGGGGACACAATCCAGTCCCATTCTTTGCAACACAAAGGCAGCACAGAACTCCAAAATTACAGCACAAATTTTTGAAACTGCATAGATCTTAATTTGTTGCCATATTTATATTAACCATGCCTCACGCCATAAATGCAACTGATTGTTACTTTTCATAATTAATCCTTGCCACATTTCCTAAGCTGTATGTAGTTTGTATGTAGAATGTTTTAATTCGTATCTTTTAGAAGGAAAAAGGCAATAAAGCTCTTCCTGATAAGAAGTTCTACCAAAACTGAAATAGTTAATGTAGAATAGAAATTAAATTAGCTTGTTTTTTCAGAAGGTTGTAAAGTAGCTCTTTACTTTAAATAAACACTGATAAACAGACTTGGCAATGCTGTGGGAACTTTATATACCAGTAGAGTAGGCTTACATGGCTATCTGTTTATAAATACACTGTTCTGTTGTTTGCCGTCCTTAGGAGTCTTGTTTCAAGGTGTTTCCAAAACAGTGTAATGAATAACTGTAGCTGACAATGTTTTAAACTTAGATAATTGTATTTAATATTATATTTGCAGCTACTGTTCTTCAACATGCATAGTATTTTATGGGTATACAATTTTAGCACCATGTAATTAGCACTGAAAGACATGGCCCCCTGTCACTCTTGGAACAGATGGACAAATCCGTTCCTATCAGCAGCCAGGTATGACTGTTTGCTTTGTTGAAAGAGATATCTGAGCTAAGTATCTGAAATATTTCTGAATGAGAAGTTTATCTTAAACATTAAATCACATAATTCAGAATGTATTATCTGTTCTTAGCAAAACAAACTGTGCTGTTCTAATACACACTTACTTGGGATGAGCATAGGATTGCTTTTTTAATCAGTTAAGGGCAGTTTTAGGAAAATAAAATTCTTTAAAATTGGGATGCACAGAGATCAGTGATATGAAGACATAAGCAACTTAAAGTCCAGATAACCTTATTCTTACTAGCCTTTCTGGGCCCTACTATCTGCAATCTTTAACTAGCGGTTCCATGTGTCCTGTCTAACTGTAGTTAAGCAGAGGGCTGCAAGTACCTCAAGTAATTATTAACAAAGTAGAGCTTTGTTTATGACAGCATTCTTGTGGTACTACTAAATCTTATGTTAGCACTCTGTGCCAGACCATATTGGCTTAATGTTGCACTGAAAGAAACCTTAAATTTGCTTAGACTTCTTCAAAGTTGACATGTTTGGGGATTGATTGAGTATAAAGAACTTTTCTACTTTCAGCAGACAATAAGTATATAGGAATGTCTAATAAATTACTTAGTAATTTTCCTCTGAGTTTGTTCACGTAAGTATGCTCTATATTGTCAGAAATATAGAAAAATGTAGTAGAAGCAATGAAATAGGGCAGAAGCTTAGTTCTTTAAAATTGCAGGTTAAAACCATAAGGTCCATCTTCTGCATTTTCTTTTAAAACTAATTTCTCCCACCGAAAGATCAAGTACTTTTGATCCTAAAGCTTGCATTGGGACTTAAAGTGTTATTTCTCCTTTGTACTTACAACTCAGCTATACAGCTGCAAATAAAACATTTTAAGTGTGTTGTAAAGTGCATTATACAAATGTGACACTAGATGGAGATGGTGAGCTAATGGCAAATTCAGTATATTTTTTCAAAACGTTTTTAACAAAAGCATTTTCACAATGTTTTTATATGTGTGTAAATTCCACCTTAGCTTCCCAAGCCTTCCAGTTTATACCATGTTTGTGCAGCTTCTTATATCAGTACTACCTTCCTTAGGTGATTTTCATAAAGCAATATTAAGAAATAAACTAGTCTTTTTGGATTATTTTCTTTCTGGCAAACAATTTTATTTTTCCTTAATAAACAAAAAATAGAAAATAACTAAGTAAATTTGCATGATGTTTACATGAAGCACCATCCCACTGTTAACACTGTATTTGTGTCATCATTTTTTAAAATTAGGATCAGTTAAAAATTGATACACGCATATTCCAGTTTGGTTTCCCACTGGTATATGCTATTAAGGTTAAAAAATAATAGGGCTTGTTGTCTCTGTTACTGAGCAATAGCTTATCAACCAGATAAGTAGATTTTAGCTTATTGTGACAAAACAGACAGCTCACTTGTGACCCTCCTAGAGGATTTTCAACAAATACAGATTCCGTCCTCTTTAAGATTTATATACCACTTGCTTGTAGTAAAGCCTCAAAGCAATAAAACAATAACATTATCAGCCAAAGCAGTTAGAGCAAGTATTTAGAACACTAAAAAAATGAAAACAGCTAAAATCGGATTAAAATGCATGATAGCTTCCACATGTCTGGCTGGCCTTGGCTAAACAAAAAGGTTTTCAGCAGACACCGAAAAAGTGCAGTGAAGGCACCCAACGTCAACTATAGAGGGGCAAAGTTTTGTGCCCAGTAGCTTCTGTGTCGGATTTTACTTCTGTATGTAGCTTAGCAAGAATGGCATGCCTCAACCAAGATACCTTCAGAGCTATGTCAGCAACACACATACTGTCATAATGGATTCCATTCTTTGAGAGACAGGAAGCTTGTCATCCTTCCTGAAAGGATGTTGCCAGGATGTAATTGTACTGTTCCAGCTCTTATCTCTTGGTAATAGTTCTTTCCTAGCTATGTTGATTACATTGGTGATAGGACAAGAGAATGTTTGGTTGCTTTGTCCACTGAAAATAATGTGGTTTGATCAAAAGATATCCCCCAGGTGAGTTGCTGCTTTGGGGGTGATCTGCAAAGCCTACTTGCTTCTTCCAGTCTTTCCCATGTTATGCACAAGAGTCCTGCCTATAAGCTTTAGGCTTTGAGTTACGCAAATCATTACTGTCTGCAGTCTGCACTACCTATGTTGACTCTGTGACTTCTTCCAAATGTGCTACCTGGTCTGTCAGGGACTCTATAGATCACTGCGGATGCTGTGTGGCCTATGGAGATCAGAATCCTAGGGTGGGGTGCGAATATGAGGACTTGTGTTTATATACATGAGAGATCGGAGTTGAAACTTGATATAACTTCTTTCTTGCCAATGCATGCAATTATGCTTTCAAAGGATCTTCCAAAACTATGATAAAGCTTTGAGGCCTGCCACTATACAACACATTTATTCAGTCTGTATCTAACAACATGGTAACAGCAGTAGTGTCTTTGTGCTTCATATGCTCACCAGTTGCAAAGTGCTTATAATTACAGTCGAAAGTAAAGAGTTTTGTGAATAAATGTAAAGATGTTTTGATAAAGATTTGTATGAATGTTGACTAAGCCCACTCATCATTTTCCCTTTCTAAAGAAATGGTAGTGTATTTTATCCTATAAGCCTGAAATCCACAGAACTTGTGAAATGCTCTATTTTATAAATTTAATATCTACCCCTTGTGCACGTTTTCTAGATGCCAGAATTTCAGAAGAAAACTGTCCATATCAGGGACCCAGAAAGGGTGGAAGAAATTATCTGTGGTCTCATCAAAGGAGGAGCTGCGAAACTTCAGGTGAAGACTAAAACACATTTGTAGAAATTAACCATCATGCAACTGTTGTTTAGCAAAGTCAAAATCACTATATATATACAGACATTTACTAGATCCATAGAGTTGTGGGATTTATTTAAATATTCTTAGTAACACACTCATCACAACTCAGGTTTTAATTGCATCATTTTTAGTAATGCCTTTTTGATTAATAATGTTGATGCACTGATATTGACTACATTTGCTTGAATTTTAGGGGTGATCCTAGACTTGTACGCTTCCCCTCCACCCCTTTTAATAATAATAATAATAATAATAATAATAATAATAATAGATTTATACTCTGCCTGTCCTGACTGGGTTTCTCCAGCCACTCTGGGCGGCTCCTAACCGAATATTAAAAACACAATACAGCGTTAAACATTAAAAACTTCCCTAATCAGGTCTGTCTTCAGATGTCTTTTAAAAATAAGATGCTGGGAGGCACCACTACCGAGAAGGCCCTCTGCATTCAGCATGACCATGAAGAGGAGGATGGAATATTTTGCCTCTGGTTTAGACTAACTGCAGCTTCGTATTACATCTGAACCCTAAATTGTGTTTAATCTAAAAAATGGTTTACTAAAATAATCCACCTTCGCAACTCATGATTTGAAGTTTGCTTGTTTTTATAAACCATAGTTAAAACTAACCTCAGTTTGTCCTGGTGCTGATATTGTGCTAACCTGTGGTTAGTCAAACATGGCAGCAAAAAGTTCCAAATTCCTTCTTGCAACCTTTCCAGAGGAGCACGGGAACTCAAGGTTCACACACACTTTTCCTCATACTTCTACACTATGAGCCATTCAGTGTATATTTTTTAAACTTTGTCCCTCGCTTAAATTCTAGGCATTTAACATTTGTGCTCGTGATTTATAATTTGTTTCATCTGCCTTTTACAGATAATTACAGACTTTGATATGACACTGAGTAGATTTTCCCACAATGGCAAAAGATGTCCAACATGTCATAGTAAGTACTATTTATTGTTTATGAGATAGGCTGCAAACATCTATCTACTCACCTGGTAGAAAGCTCCATTGAACTCATTGAAATTTCTGAATAGGCTTCTCTAGAATTTATGAATTGTATCCAATGCTCTGGGTGTGGTGCTTCCATTTCCTCTTCCGAAATCTACTCCAGAGGACTCCCCATCCCTCTGAAATAAATTTTGTCGACCCACAGGGGGCTAGAGGGAAAACAAAGGAAGAGGAAGTCTATTGCAGGTAGGGAAGTTCATTGCAGCAATGGAGCTGGAGCATTAGATATGGTCTGTTGTATATTTAAGTAGATACTAGAATTATAATACTAGGTGATAATCAGTATTTGATCCTAAGAAGTCCCCTCTCTCTTCAGTACCCTTAGTAATGTTTTTCTTCCCTTGCAATTTATTACACCTCGTTCATGAAAACTCTGTGTATGCATATTATGCAAATATGGGGTGGAAGATCCTCCTTTAATTAAATAAGTTAATGATTTTCAAAAGGAGATGCTTTGATGTCTGTAGCTCTTTTTAACACACTGATTTTAATCATTGCTTTATAACTTCTAAAACAAATAGCATTGTTAGTTTTTTTTTAAACAGGTTAAAACTATTGCACTGATTTAGGGCAAGTTAGAATCATGCACTGTTCTAATAACATTCTGTACATCTTTCAGACATCATTGACAACTGCAAACTTATAACAGAGGAATGTCGCAAAAAGGTAATCCTAAAAATTACTTATTTGCCCCTTGTTGTGGCCACTTACAGTACAACACTTGTAAAGGATTACTCCACTCAAGCTTAATGTCAAATTATTTCACGAGTGTGCTCTGTTGGCCCCACTTTTTTCTCTTTTCTCAAAGTGTGTTACACTTATCTCCCAAGTGAAAATAACATTTTCTGCATCTGATGGTGGACTTCAGTACACAACGGTTTATGCCACAGTGAATTCCAAACCCTTGGTATGTTGCACAGGATGCAGTGGTGGTTTTCTTCCACTCATCCCAAAGCAGTTCCACTGGTCTTCCCCCATGATGTGATCCTGCATCACCGCTCTGGCACAGAACTCTGTTTTGCCTGCCAAAAGTACAGGTGGGTGGAAGTACCACTGATGGGATGGTTCAAGCCCCTTGTGTTTGAAGCTTTCGGCAGGAAAACACAATGAGAATCCCAAGATCCACTGGATTCCAAACTGGCCCTTGATGGCATTGGGTCCAATCAATATGCCAACTTTTATTTCTTATTGTTGCTTTGTTAATTGGTTTTTGAGCCATAAAGCAAAAGTCCTTAACTGAAATAGATTTTTAATGTGGAGGGTGAATATTTCCTGATCTTTTTACTGAAAAGCTTTAGCACTAGGGCAGCAGCAGCAGCAGCAGCAGCAATCCTCCATTGTGCAGGGCACCCAAAACCAGGAAATTATTCTTATACACATGTTAACAGGAAATATACAAGGATTAAAGTAGCAAATTTGTTTAGATGATTTGATCAAAGCACAAAAGTTGTCATCATGGAGTACAACATATGCAGAATGTTTGAACTTTTTTTTTTCCAGTTGTACCAGTTGAAAGAAATGTATTATGCTATTGAAATTGATCCAAGTCTTACAGTTGAAGAGAAGTATCCTTACATGGTTGAGTGGTAAGTTTTCTGTAATGGTTAATATTATAGCAAACTTTTACATCTTAATTGTTAGATTGACTTGATTACTGAAGCACGCTTCCATATTTTACACTCAAAATTTAAAATGAATTCCAAAATATAAAATGAATTTAAAATGAATTCCAAAACAATATTGCATGAGTAAACATTCATTGTTTTGGTAAAACAATAGCAGCCAATTAGAGTGTACCATTATGTACAAAAGGCATAATCTAGTAGTTAGATTTCTTTCAAAAGGGTTGCCTGAGTTATCTTTTGCCATGGAGTTTCCAACACCCTTCTTTCTGATAGCAGTTGTCAAAATTAAAGGCATAAAAATCTTCCAGTGCTGTTCAAGAATTTGTGATCAGGAAAAGGGGAAATACTGTGCAGCTTAAATGGCTCTTTAGATATGTGATGGAGAACTTATGGCACAAAGGCCATGTGTGGCCTACTGTGTAGTCCTATGCAAAAATTCAGTTTAGACCTGTTAAAGGAGGAGAAAAATTGAAAAAGCTGAAATAGATGGATGAACATTGGGGGGAGAGGGTGGGAATTCATGCAGTTGCTTTTAATGTAGTTATTGTTTAGCAGTCAATTGAAGTAGCATTAGGGAAGCTCTCTAAAACACTTTATTTTATGCATTTTGTTGATACCATTTGATATAGTACTATTTCAGTGTCCTTGAAGCTGGTTATATTATTGTTAATATCTGATTGCATATGTTTATCATATATGACTCAAGATTATATAGTCTAACCACTTGATAGTGATTGATATGTTTTAATGATTGATTCTATAGAGAATTGAAAATGTTGCAATGTCCTTATCAAAATAAATTATTTGGATTTCTGTGTTATGTTTTCAAATGAGTTAGCATATACAGTGGTACCTTGGTTCTCGAACATAATCCATTCCGGAAGTCCGTTCGACTTCCGAAACGTTTGGAAACCAAGGCATGGCTTCCGATTGGCACAGGCACCCCAGAAACAATAGCCGACAGCCGTATCTTACTTCCGGGTTTTCGGCATTCAGGAGCCGAAATGTTTGAGTACCAAGGCATTCGAGAACCAAGGTTCCACTGTGGACTGTTGTTATAATGATATATTGATATATTGATTTGCATTTTTTGCTGTCATGTTGTAACCTGCTTTGTGGGCATTTATGTGAAGAAAAAAGCATGGAAATTAAATAATAAAAATTAAATACTTCACACCTAGGACTTTAGGTTATTATGCTACAGATTTCACTTTATTACATTAAAGATTGGGCTGGCACATTGTTTGTTTTGCTTTGACTATTTTATCAAAATATCTGTAGTGCCTGTGGTTCTCAGAATTCCAAAAGTGCCTAAAAAAGTCAGCAACCCTAACTTGAAACATTCTTTTTCCAGTAAAAGAGAGTGAATTTTTACCCTACATGAACACGAATAACATGTTTTTGGTGTTTATTTTAGGTACAACAAATCACATGCTTTGCTTATTGAACAAGGATTACAAAAGCACAAACTTGCTGAAATTGTGAGGGAGTCTGATGTTATGCTGAAGTAAGTAAGAACCTAGTATTCCGTTTCTCTAGTTTTGTAAATGTGGCATAATATTAGATTTTAGGAAGGGGTTTCTTCATTGGGGATTACAGAAATGGAAAGCTGTTACATGCCCATATGTGCTCTCCAATTTTAAAAAAACAGATTGGATTAGCAGGCTAGTGTCTCCCCTTCCTTGCACTACTTAAGCAGAATGCTTGAGTTCCTCTCTTCTCTATCCATACATCTATTAGGTTGAAGTACAAGGATCTGACATGCAACCTTTACTTATCTTCATGCCCTCTAGCCTGAGGAATAGGAAAGTAGATGTTGCACAAGCTAGTTAATTTTTTAAAAATTCCCTATCTTGTCATTTTTACAGATAAGGTGCAGCAAGAATTCCTGCTACACCCTTGCTTTTTGAGAAGCAAACTGTTTTACGTTTGCAAAGCAGAATGACCTGAAGGACATGTTGCTCAAAAGAGAACAGATATTTGTTAAAGCATTTTTCTTAATATTTTTATTGATTTTAATGCAAAATGTCATCTTCGAGCAAATGTTTTAGATTTTGAAACCATAGATAAATAAACTTTCCATTAAAGAAAAAAAAATGCACCAGCATCTTGCCTATTTCATTGATATTTTAGGAGGAGGATATGTTAAATTTCTATTTTTGCAATAAAAAATGTAATATCAGGCTTTAGTTCCTTTTCTAAAAAACAAATCTGCTTTTACAGAGAAGGGTATGAGAATTTCTTTGATAAACTCCATGAACATAATATTCCCGTATTCATATTTTCTGCTGGAATTGGAGACATCTTAGAAGAAGTCATTCATCAAGCAGGTGTCTACCATCCCAACGTCAAAGTAGTTTCCAACTTCATGGATTTTGATGAGAATGTAGGTATAAACATATCAAATGCATACTGTTAATTCATTGCAACACATCCTGTACTACTAAGGAAGTAGCTTCCGACTCGAGCATTAAAATGGGCATTTCCTATATTAAAGCCAATCATTAGGTCTGGTCCAGAAGCTTCAGTTGGTGCAGAATGCATCAGCCAAACTGCTGATGGGGTCACATGACCAACCGTGTAACACCATTGGCTGCTTATATACCACTGAGCCAGGGTCAAAGTATTAACGGTAATTTTCAAGTATTTATAAAAAAAATGTATTGGGTGTACAAAGTAGATTGGTTAGAATCAATTAAGTAACTTAAGTCTGTTGAGTTCAGTGTGTCTACTCTGGATATTAGACTAAATATTAGACTAGATTCAAAGTGGGAGAGGACACAAGGTTTCCTAGAGTGAATGAATGAGTTTCCTTTGAATAAAGCATTATTCTCACTATGATAAGCATCATATAATTGAAGTTGGTTGAAAGAATAAAGCCTCTTGGAAACATTCTAAAGAGACACAGAAGGGACGTTTGTTAATTTGCTAAGACCATTCTTAGAACTAACTAATGTCATGTTTAACAGGGTGTATTAAAAGGATTTAAAGGGGAACTGATTCATGTTTACAACAAACATGATGGTGCCTTGAAAAATACAGAGTACTTCAAACAGTTAAAGGACAACAGCAACATCATACTGCTTGGAGATTCTCAAGGAGATTTAACTATGGCAGATGGAGTGGCAAATGTTGAACATATTCTTAAGATTGGGTATCTCAACGATAAGGTAAGTCTTTGTCTCTTTGATAAGCATAAGGTCCATAATATTAGATTATATGGTCATGTATACCTTTTTCTAGTGGGACGTGGGTGGCGCTGTGGGTTAAACCACAGAGCCTAGGGCTTGCTGATCAGAAGGTTGGCGGTTCAAATCCCCACAACAGGGTGAGCTCCCGTTGCTCAGTCTCTGCTCCTGCCAACCTAGCAGTTCGAAAGCACATCAAAGTGCAAGTAGATAAATAGGTACCCCTCCGGCGGGAAGGTAAACGGCATATCTCTGCACTGCTCTGGTTGGCCAGAAGTGGCTTAGTCATGCTGGCCACATAGCCCGGAAGCTGTATGCCAGCTCCTTCAGCCACTAAAGCGAGATGAGCGCTGCAACCCTAGAGTCATCCACAACTGGACCTAATGGTCAGGGGTCCCTTTACCTTTCTACCATTTTCTAACACAGAATGTGTTCAAGGGTAGAAGCTTAATACAGTCAAACCTCGGATGTAGAACATAATCCGTTCCAGAACACCTATTGACTTCCGAAACGTCCAACAACCTGGCGCAGCTTCCGATTGGTTGCAAGAGCTTCTTGCACTCAAGTGGAAGCCATGTCGAACATTCAGGTTCCGAAAAACGTTCGAAACCCAGAGAATAGGTTAGGACTGTTAAATGTACTGCTTCCTGCTACAAAAGATCCTAAAGCAATTTACAGCAAAAGTAAAACTAAATAATAAAATTACATAAGCATACTTAAAACATAGTCAAGCATCCAATCATTGGTCCTTTTCAAATACCCAAGAAACAAGAATGTATTTGCCTGACACCAAGACAGAGACAACGTTGGTTTGGGGTGGGCCTTCCTAGTGACAGCATTCCCTATGTAGTATTCAAGGTCATTGTTTGTCTTATAGAATATCATAGAGGTCAAATCTGACAACAGAATGAAATGTGCAGCAGCTGAAAGAAAGTTTTTAATGGAATGATTTGTTTGAACCTGTCCATTAGTACCCCATAATACAGAACAAAAAAATTATTTGTACAGGCTACTTATTAACATGCGTCCAAAAGACACATGATTGCGCATAGCGCTGAACCCAGAAGTGACTGAAAACATCACTAAGCACATCACTAAAAGGGCAGAACGGGGCAAGGCGTGCTTATATGCGCTCCACTGATGCACTTGGGGGGCGGGAACGGAAATAGTCATTGACTGTACATAAATATACTGATTAACCCTGATACTTATTTTTACTTATCTACTCATCAGAGATCCTTATTAACTCATAACCTAGCCTAAGTTCAGCAGCCACATCTCATACCTCATTGACTCCTGGTATGGTTGTAATATAAAATCCACAGATTGCATTGTATTTAAGTAAGGTTTTTTGTTTTTTTTTTACAAAATATAGCAGTGCTTCAGCCTGACTTACATATATGCTAAATAGCTTTTGTGTGCAGTATGTATTCAGGGTAGCAAATTATATTTTGCTTCTCAAAATTATGGGAACAGGGTTGAATCCTTTGTACTTTAAAGGCCTTTCCAGAGTTCTGAAATCTGGTTGCAAACATCTTTGAATACACCACCTACATTACATAGTAAAAGAAAAAAAACAGATATCACCACTTTCCTTTTAAAATGGTGTTGACTTGGCAAATTGTAATATGTTTCTTGATGTTTGACTTTTTCTGACATTTGGGTTTTTCTTTGCGTTCTAAAACCTAGGTTGAAGAATTGCTGGAGAAATATATGGACTGCTATGATATTGTGTTGGTGAAAGATGACTCTTTAGATGTGGCCAACTCAATCTTACAAAAGATTCTGTAAAGAGCATCATTGGAGTTTGCTTGTTTTCCTCCTGATGAAGGCAGTTGGACAAATCAGCATGCCTGTGCTATCTTAGAATATCAATCTTGATGCTGTTTTGTATGGGAGTCACTTTATTTGTAAAGTAATATACTGTATCCATGATCTTCTGGACGCTCACCCCCTTTCCCCATCACTTTTAATGGAACCCCTTATTTATTCTAATGGATAGGTTGTATGGATAACTGGAAAAGAGTTCCTTCAGTTTATATTCATGCACAATAAAGGGATGTTTTCAGAATATGTGAGACTGTTGTAGAAAATGCATGAGAAGCATGGTGAATAAGCACATGTGCAGGTAATTGACTTGATCACAGTTCATAAGTTGCACCTTTTGAGTTTAAGGGGTTTAATATTGCTGATATTTGTATATTCTTCAAAAAGAGACTTTGTGCCAGAGCACAGATAAGAAAGCTTGCTATTGACTACTCTCTTTGGTATACAGGAGTGAAGACTAAACACTGCAGTCTTTAAAATCATGCTGGCTATAAAAATAATGCTGAAGCAGATCTTGACTGATTTATAGTAAGATTTGTGTCTGTCCTATGTTTTGGCCCTGAACAGTTCTAAAGACACTTTTTCTACTTTACCAAATAGCAACACAGAGAAAACACTATTTTCAGTAGCACTGCCATGTTTATTTCCAAGCTAGGTTTAAAGGATATAATTTCAGTGTTACCTTAGTGAAGTGTGCGATGAGATATACAGTAACTGTTTAAAAATGAATACCACGGTAGTTCTATTTCTGCCATAGTATGTCTCCTGTAACTATTCGTGAAAATGTTAAGTGTTTCGAAATGAAAGTTTCTTTCGCAGCTGTGATCCACATTTCTGTCCAGCAGGAGGCAGATAAAGGCTGGTTTGAGGCTAAAATAGGAAGCAGGAGAGGATGTAGAGTTGGCCCGTTCTGGTCCACTATCCAACACAAGCTGGGATCTTTTCTCCTTCAAATGGTTCTCAGAATAAAGGGTTTGTGCTTCCTAGTTTCCCCCAAAGGGAGACTCATTTCTTCAAGCTAGATGGGGAGAGTATTTATGGAATGGGGTCAATTGTCTTTTGAACAAAACAAGAAAGTTGGAGACGCCAAACTTTTAAATTTTGTGTGCATTCTCATTAATGAAGGTGTGGACTGATTAATCTGGTACTTGCAAACCAGATAAAACTCTTTCACGGGCTTACTGTTTAACCCAATCAGGAAAATAAGTCCCATCTCTTCCTTAGGAAGACTATCCAGAACAAGTGAAGCTGCCAGTCTGGAAGAGGAGCTTCTACCATATTGGCATGCCTTGCTTTTGGGTGCAGGCTGCTGCTGCTTGTAACAGCTACCAGGCAGGTAGAGAATGCCCAATTCTCATGCATGATTACTACTTGGAACAGACCCGTGTGAGACAAACTGCCTATATGAATCTGTTTCCCATGAGAGCCCAATGCTTTCAACAATGCTTTAGTTGAGATTCCTGCATTGCAAGGCATTGGACTAAATGACCCTCTCTTCCAATTCTATGATTCTAGCCCAGCTCCTCGTGCAGATACATGGTATTGTTTTAGGTGATATCTAATAATGCTAATTACATATATCAATTCTAGAGAGCTTTGATATGGAGTTTTTTCATCTCTTTACAAGGGGTAGCTTAAAACCAAAAAACACCACTCTCCTTCTGCCGGAAAAAGAAACAAAAAAGCAGCCAGTATTATTTAAAGTACTGTTCATAATTGGTGCATATCATTTGTTACCCACATTCAGCCTGCAGTTAATTATAAAAGGTGAAAGAATACAATATTAATTTACAGTGCTTTGCTCATTCACATTGTACACTTTGCCTCAATAGTTGGGCTACAACTACATAAATGGTTTGTTCACCTTTCAGAGAGCTTTTGGATGTGAACTAGCCAAGCAGTTCAGATATATATTGAAAACCATAATTTAGATCAATATTGTCACTGTTAAGCCTTTCCCCATCCCCAGTCGCCTGTACATGGAGGAAGAGTAGTGCAGAATGTGTCTGTCCATATTTTATTTTAATAAAAATAACAGCATGTATCACACTTGACAAATCCTTAAGACATTAATAATATTACAAAGCGTATAAAACATAACTTTGCTTACTGCAAAAGTGTTTTGAAAGGTATGTCGTAGTTTTAGAACTAGCACCATTCTACAATTAAAAAAGAAGACGCTTTGTACATTCCCGTTAGTGGGAGGACCGTGGCTTTGTGATCCTTTTCCCTTTGGGGGAGGTCACTCACTTAATTTATGCTCTTGTGCTCTTTAGCCGCAGGGTATTAGCTCAGTTGCGTAGTGTGTGGTGCTGATTCAATCCCCGTGAGGTTCATATTCTTGCAGGTGGCTGGACTAGATGATCCTCATGGTCCCTTCCAACTACAAAATGTTTTTATAGACACAAATGAGACCTGAGATTCACTCTGAAGTACACTTATGACAGTTCTCTAGTTGAGGAGTCACTGCACAAAAAAGTAGATGGAGTAGCCATATGTTGTATACACAATTACAATCTACCATTATGCATATTGCAGCATATTTCTAGTACATTTCTGCTTTCTTTTTTCTATAATACATGTGTGAGGGCAGACTAATTTCAGGGTGATACTCAGGAGTAGGCCCATTAAAATAAATGGACATGTTTTGATACACGGCAAAGAATGATACACACTTTTTGTGATTAGTTCTTGTATTCATAGCTTCAGTTACAATCCTTAGGGAAACATGACTCCCCATCTCCAGTACTGCTCATGGTGCTACCACAGCATCTGAGATAACGGCTTTGAAAAAGATTTAGTGCAGTTCCTCCCATTGTAGAAGATTTTCTCTTCCTTGGAAAGATGATTATAAAACTACAGTTGGAGAGTAACCGAACAGGGCCGTGGCGCAGGAGTTTAACAGAAATGTACATTTTTGTTCTAAGCTCAAAATTCTTTACCACCTCTCAAAAAATACGTCACAAGATTTGTGTCACTATTTTTTTTTTAAGTCATTGAAACCAATTTTGAGGCATTTCACGTTTTATAAAAATGCCACAGTCTTCCCCTTACTTTAGCCTACTTCACTCTTACAAAGACAGGAGTATTCATTTTCACTGTCCACACTTTTAAGTATACACACACACATTTCAAACCACTTCTATTGTGCATACATTCTGACAGCAGTTTAGCTCCTACAAATTTTAAAAACAAACTACAGTTCATCATGTCCCTGTGGCTCTTGGTCTTTCAGTTTGAATTCATCAGCGGTTATCTTGCCATCTCCATTTCGGTCCTGATTACTGAACATGTTTTTCACAATTGTTTCAGAATCAAAGCCAGGAGCTAACTTTCCTTTGCCAGCCTTGACTTGTTCGTGGATGTAGTCGCCGAACTACAATTTAAAAAACAAATACATTAGTGAAAAGTAAAATAATGTTTGCAGCCAGGTTATTTAATCTCAAAACTCCAGCGAATAGGATGTTGTGGTACCTTTGCATCTGTCCCCTCATATTCACATCAAGTGCTGAGGAAATACCAGTTAATACTTTATCTCTAGTGAGTACAGTGGTACCTTGGTTTATAAACTTAATCTGTTCCGGAAGTCCGTTCTTAAACCAAAGCGTTCTAGACTTAAACCAAGGCATGCTTTCCCATAGCAGCAGGGGACTCCATTTACAAATGGAACACACTCAACAGGAAGTGAAACATGTTCTGCTTCCAAGGCAAAGTTCACAAACCAAAACACCTACTTTCGGGTTTCCCATGTTCTTAATCCAAGTTGTTCATAAACTAAGCTGTTCTTAAACCAAGGTACCAATGTGTCTTTTGAGAGGTTCAGGTGTCAAATTAGTACTTAAATTCCAAGGTGCATGCCTCTGCTGGAATTTCAAATAACCAAAAGGAATTGGGAAATTCCCATAAGCAGTGTTTGTATCCATTACTACTGTAACAGCTGCTGAGTCCTGACCCTTTGAGATTTTTTGTTAAGGACCTATGCCACAGACATTCAGTTAAGCTGGGCTTCAATCAGATCCTCTTAACTGGAGTAGCTATTCTATGAGTAGGATTATGCATCTCCCTCCTGTGCTCAAGACCTAGAAGCACATTGGTCTCTTGTTTCTGTAGAAATAATTGCTTTAATTTTCCCTAAATGATGTCCCGTCAGAATAGAAACATGATCTTAAATATACTGCTTGAAGGCTGGGGCTCCACTCAGTGTCCTGTATGTTCACAGTAAGTCTGTGAACTTACTAGCTCCTATAGAATTTTTTTCCAGTGCAGCTTTACTAGCCAAAACCTTACCTCTTCCAGAAGAACCTCTCCATTATTATCTTTGTCAATCTCTTCAAAGAGATTAGGAGAGACTTCCTCATGCCATACAAACATATAGCCCTCTGGTAAGCCAGACACCAAGTCGAACAGTTCAATGTCAAAAACCAATACGGCACTACCAGGCACTTCTCCTTCTGTAACAGTAAATAACAAAAAATAAAGTAAGATTTCTGTTATGTAGGAGCATTTTGGAATTTGGCCCACCCCCAGCATTCACAAATTGTGCAGTTAATACAAATTGTTCACATTTCATCCACTGGCTTAGAAACATCAGCAAGCTAAAATATGAGAAAATAAAGCCTGCAGGATCCAAAAGAAATATAGCTAACGTATTCTTTATCTTAGAAGGTACACTATGCTTTGTGACTATTTGCACTTAGGGGAAGGTTGTTTGCTAATTCACAAGAATGTATAGCCTTTCCCCATTGCTTTATTAATTTGGGCTATTTTCATTCTGAGAGAAAACCATTAATATAATATAATATAATATAATATAATATAATATAAAATATAATATGATGCACCTCTTTACCTTAGCTTTTAAAAATTGAAGTGTATAATTTTAGGACACATTTCTATAAATTTAAGTTTTAAACTGTTTTTAATATTGTGTTTTTAATTGTTATAACCCGCCCTGGGACCTTGGTGGGAAGGGTGGGTAATAAATGGTGGGGGTAATAATAATAATATTAATAATAATATCATTACACAGCTATATTCTCAACATCTCATGTTGTGAATATACTTTTTAGACTAATATTTTTACTTAAATTGCATGGGGGATACACTACTTCAAAGCTGTTCATGAACCAATGAACACATTTAAGGAACAAAACAAGACTGCTCACAGAAGCCAGCTGTGACACCTGCTACAGAAGAAGACCAGACACATTTGTGTGTCAGCATCACTATTAGCTTCACTTACCAACTCCAGCCTCTCCATAGCCAAGGTGCGGTGGGATAATAACTGTTCTTTTCTCTCCAACACACATATCTCTGAGACCCATATCCATTCCCAATACAACCTGTCCAGAACCCAGCACTATATTATAGGTTTTCCCAAGGCTAAACCTGAAAGAAGAAAATAGTAGTTCATAAGCTAGGATGTGCCAATGTAACATCAGAATTCCACCTCCTCTAGCCTTTTGACATTTACCATTTCCAATTTCTATGTGATGATCTGAATTCTTAATAGACCCTTTCTAAGAAATAGATTATGGGATGCGGGTGGCGCTGTGGTCTAAACCACTCAGCCTAGGGCTTGCCGATCAGAAGGTCGGCGGTTCGAATCCCTGCGACGGGGTGAGCTCCCGTTGCTTGGTCCCTGCTCCTGCCAACCTAGCAGTTCGAAAGCACGTCAAAGTGCAAGTAGATAAATAGGTACCACTCCGGCGGGAAGGTAAACGGCGTTTCAGTGCGCTGCTCTGGTTTGCCAGAAGCGGCTTAGTCATGCTGGCCACATGACCCGGAAACTGTATGCCGGCTCCTTCGGCCAGTAAAGCGAGATGAGTGCCGCAACCCCAGAGTCGTCTGTGAGTGGACTTAACTGTCAGGGGTCCCTTAACCTTTACCTTTAAGAAATACATTGCAAGTTGGACCATGCAGAAAATTTGTTAAGACAAGTGACCCCAGAATCCAGAAATCCCTCAGTCTGATTAGCCCTTCCCTTCATCATTACTCTCTCACCAATTGTAACTTGATGAAAGCAAATTTATAGAAATAAGTGATTGGGTAGGCCCACATGCACAAAATATTCCCAGTTTCATGCTTCTATTGTTCTTTGCTGCTAAACTACATACTTACGTTGAGTCTAGCACAGTGCCATCTAAGAGTGAGGCATTGTAGTGATACTTCAAGTAATCGCCTTTCTTGCTCAGAACAGAGCAGTTGCTAGGTTTATAATGGGTGGTAATAGCCACAGAGTCAGATGGATTGTGGAAGTCTATCACATGAATATCAAAGACCAGCACAGCAGATCCCGGAATCTTTCCTAGAACAATAAATGATATGAAATATGAAAAGAAGCCACCCACCCTTCTGCTCTTACCGTAAAGAACTGATCTGATATACTAAAATTATGTACTCCACAAATGAGACTTGGTCATCTCCAAATGTCATGAAAGGGGCTTTTCAGAGGTTGGCAAGTGTGATAATTTTCCACTAGCACGAATTCCATGCACTTTCAAGAGATGGTGAGACATGAGATAATTATATTTTCAGTATTCCTAGTTAAAAGCTAAAAAGCAGAGACATCACCTTGCCGACAAAGGTCCGTATAGTTAAAGCTATGGTTTTCCCAGTAGTGATGTATGGAAGCGAGAGCTGGACCATAAAGAAGGCTGATCGCCGAAGAATTGATGCTTTTGAATTATGGTGCTGGGGGAGACTCTTGAGAGTCCCATGGACTGCAAGAAGATCAAACCTCTCCATTCTGAAGGAAATCAGCCCTGACTGCTCACTGGGAGGACAGATCCTGAAGCTGAGGCTCCAATACTTTGGCCACCTCATGAGAAGAGAAGACTCCCTGGAAAAGACCCTGATGTTGGGAAAGACGGAGGGCACAAGGAGAAGGGGACGACAGAGGAGGAGATGGTTGGACAGTGTTCTCGAAGCTACCAGCATGAGTTTGGCCAAGCTGCGGGAGGCAGTGGAAGACAGGAGTGCCTGGCGTGCTCTGGTCCATGGGGTCACGAAGAGTCGGACACGACTAAACAACAACAACATCCTAAGCAAAAAAAGCAGTCTCAGCTGAGGCATGATCTTGCAGTGGAGTGTGAACAGGCTAGGTGAGGACCAAGTGGCCACATGGCAGGACTGCTATACTGGTGCATTGGTGGAAAAAGCAGCCTGCCTAGGGCAGATGCTGTAACAGAAGGGGCCATGGTGCCAGTAGAAGACATGGGAAGCTGGGAAGCTTCATGAACCAGAGGCTTGCAAGCCTTAATCCGCCTAGCTAAACTGCCTAGGTCAGCGGTTCTCAACCTGTGGGTCCCCAGATGTTGTTGGACTACAACTCCCATCATCCCTGAGCTCTGGCCTTGCTAGCTAGGGGTGATGGGAGTTGTAGTTCAACAGCATCTGGGGACCCACAGGTTGAGAAAGGATGGCCTAGGCGAAAGGAGACAAACGGGGTCAGTTTGTTTGTATGTGGGCTTGATGTAAATTTTGAGCACCTGCCTGATGTTCAGGTTGTGCCATGCTGCTGCTGCACTGTGGGATGGATCTGGGCAGAAAGGAGAGAATTCACTCACCTTGCTTATGGAAAGTGGAGTTGACACTGACCACAAATATGATTACAATATATCAATGACTACATTGGCATTGGGGTTTGCCCTGCAGCTAATGCCAAGGTTCCTTGGGGTTGTTTGACCACCCGAATAGGTGTTAGGCTGGTCTGAAGCCACTGAGCAAAAGCCCAAGCGGGTGGGAGTGGGGGAACGGCAGTAAACAGAAGAGCGGAAGGAGAAAAAGAAGGGGAAATGCCTCTTTCTTTGTAAACAAGGAGCCAACAAGAAAACAGGAGAGCTGAGAAGTTCTGCCTCCAAGCAAAGGAGCACAAAGTGAAGCTTTGCCAGGAGAGAGGACTACAGCAGCTTCCATTGATTCCTATCTTCTAACCAGAAAGATGGAAGGCCTTTGAAGAAACATTAAAAATTTTATTCAAGTAAAATATGAAGAAAGACAATGCAATAACACTTAAAATTATTTAACATGCAGAAGATAACAAATAATGTAACACGCCAGAAGGGGAAGATGAGGGAAGTCAACGGGAGGGAGGGAATTGTAAAATATAAAACTGGATAATTGTATTTGCAATTTGCTATAACAAAAGAAATCTAATTTTAAAAATTTATTCATATATATATATATATATATATATATATATATATATAAACGGCCTTGGTCCAGTATATCTGAAGGAGCGTCTCCACCCCCATTGTTCTACCCAGACACTGAGGTCCAGCACCGAGGGCCTTCTGGCGGTTCCCTCACTGCGAGAAGCCAAGTTACAGGGAACCAGGCAGAGGGCCTTCTCGGTAGTGGTGCCTTCCCTGTGGAACGCCCTCCCACCAGATGTCAAAGAGAACAACAACTACCAGACTTTTAGAAGACATCTGAAGGCAGCCCTGTTCAGGGAAGCTTTTAATGTTTGATGTATTACAGTATTTTAATATTTCTTTGGAAGCCGCCCAGAGTGGCTGGGGAAGCCCAGCCAGATGGGCGGGGTATAAATAAATTATTATTAATATATATATATATGGATGGAAGATGGAAGGCCAACAAACTTATTCCATGCAGTGCACTGGGCCTTAAATCTTTTAAATGCTGAAGTAAAAGAATGACTGGAGGGCACTGCTGCTGAATTAAAAACAGTACTCACCTCTTCCCTCCTCGCCATACCCCAAGTGAGGTGGGATGGTTATTCTCCTCTTCTCTCCAATGCATACACCAAGCAAGCCTTCATCCATCCCAGCAATCACATAACCTTTCCCAATGTAGGTATCATATGTTCGGTTCCGTGAATAACTACAGGCAAAAAGGAAAAACCTTTGCTTAACTAAGTCTGTTATCAGTATGCCCATAGCTTACTGGCTTGACAGCAAAAACATCAGAAAGAAGTATCAACAGGGTGTAGTGGAACTGATGAAGTCATGTCTTATAATAGCACCAAACCTAAGTGTGACTAGAAGAAGTGAGGAAATTAAGCTAGCAAAACAAATACATAAATGTGTGTAATATAATAAAACTTCAACTGTGAATAAAAAAGCAAGCCAAATATGTACCGTATTTTTTGCTCTATAAGACTCACTTTTTCCCTCCCAAAAAGTAAGGGGAAATGTGTGTGTGTCTTATGGGGCGAATGCAGGCTGCGCAGCTATCCCAGAAGCCAGAACAGCAAGAGGGATTGCTGCTTTCACTGCGCAGCGATCCCTCTTGCTATTCTGGCTTCTGGGATTCAGAATATTTTTTTCTTGTTTTCCTCCTCCAAAAACTAGGTGCGTCTTGTGGTCTGGTGCGTCTTATAGAGCGAAAAATATGGTAACAGGATTACAAATATATTAACGGATAGGTGAAGTAACCTTAAACAATACTGAGCAGACCAAGCGCATAGACAAGAAAACTATTTTAATATACTGTATAGCAGCAAAATGAGAAGTCACATAAGAAGAACAAAACTAGAAAAGCTATCCACTTTGTGGTATGAAAAACACAAAATAAAAAACTGAGCCCGAATAGCATATTAATGTCATCCAATCAAGAGACACTACTCTCATGACATAGGGTTGTGTCTTGTTATCCCTTGGTTTTTATTCCAGAAATTCCTAAATGGGTCCCATTCAGATTCAAACTTCTTAAACCCTTGTTTTCCCTGTCTAACCCATATAATCCATATGATCTTACTCAAAGTAGCCATGCTTTTATGAAGGGGATTCTTTTCTCTTTCATTGTCTGGCACTGACAATTCTAGTAGATAGTACCATTTGAAACAGTAATTTATCTTTTCTGTTTGAAAGATGTTGATCTTTCAAGTATGTCATCAAAAATAGCATGGGGTCTAACAAAGTAATAGAGAACCTCTCATCTAGGTCCACCATGCCTCTGAATTTGGCTGCAAGGATGTTTTGGACAAACCACACCCATCTGTCAGTCACTTGATGTCATATTGCATCAGGCATAGAGATCTGTTATCTCCAATATAAGCACTAAGTGCTAAGATGGGATGTAATGGCTAATTTTTTCTATTCTTTTAGGTTTATTGAAACAGATGCTCTTTGTTAAATCATGTGCCCCTGGAAGTAAGTGTCCAAAAGCAATTATCCACAGCAGAAAGAAGCAAAGCACTTAATGTTTTGGTTGGTGATATTATTCTTACTGCACATTGACATGTTTTGATAAAACATGCTATAAACGTAAAGAATTGGTTTTCACCGTACAAGTTATTATAAACTAGCTTTAGTACAGATCCACTTTTGCTTCCCATTTATTATCATGGAAAGTGGAAAATCCACTAAACATTTATACACTAAAGTTACCCAAGAGGAGAAATAGGAAGTATTTTAAAAATTTCCCAAATGTGTTTACTTTATGTGCTGGTGTCCTATTAGCTGTGCTTTTCTGTCTGCTTGTTGAATGTAGTAATCTATGCCATCATCTTCTGTGCATTTATTACTTAAATCTCTTGTTTCAAACAGAGAAAAATGAGAGTTCAGGATAACCCACATCCATTGGAACCATTGCTCTACTTTTTTAAACTTTTTCTTAGTCTTATTTATTTATTTTTTATTGAAGACCTTTACCAAGCTACTTAGAATACCTTTAAGAATGCTCAGCAGAATAGAGCTATAAAAACACCCAAAGAAATAAACAGAAAGTAGGAAACGTGTGTTCAGCAGTGTGGTTACCTAGAATCAAACAATGTGCCATCCAAAAGTGTACCATTATAATGGTATCTGAGGAAGTCCCCTACTTGGCTTCTACGCTCACAGGTTTCAGGCACATATTGTTGTTCCACAGCGATGCTGTCTTTGGGGTTGTGGAGATCTAAGAGAGCCACATCAAAGACCAGAGACGCTTGACCCGGGATTTCTTTACCTATAATCAAGGTGGATGGTAGGCATTTAAGTCAACGCAAGAATTCAGAAAGAAATTCAAGCTAACCCCACATATACACATACCCTCAACCCCACATCTATTCCATGCTATAATATACATTTCATTTCTCTGCACCCCCGCCAATTCTAAAGCAACTTATGTTTATTAACATAAGAGATTCTGCTTCCAGGAATTTAAAAAAATAACTTCCATTTTGTTAATAGCAGTCTGGTTATTCTGCCAATTTTCTATCTGGAAAAAAATAAAGTTGAAAGAAATTAAGATGTAACTGAGATTAAAGATGAATATTCCCTGGGCGATCAGATATTGAGTTGATTCATCAGTTGCTTCCTACACAAAACATTATGAGTTCAAATTCTGTGGAAAGATCTTCTCTTGATTTATGTTTCTCAGGGTTGTCTAATATCCACTAGCATGGACAAACACAAACCCCTGGGTTGCAAAATGTAACAATCAACGCAAATGCAAACGCAACACGCTGGCTAATAACTGGTAGTGGATATATTATTAATTACAATGTCATTCAAAATATACTAATACACCACTTCAAAATAAAGTGCATATCATACAGTACATCTCACAAAATATACATGTGACTGTAAGTTGTTGTACATAAAAGAGTGAAATGAGAAGTCAAACAAGTCAATGAATAGCGAGGAACGCCAAGCCATCTCTCAAAGGAAGATGTTCTATAAAAGTCTCAAAGGAAGATGTCTCTCAGGAGTCTTAAAAGGAAGTGGTTTGCGCTGTGGGTTAAACCACAGGGCCTAGGGCTTGCTGATCAGATGGTCGGCGGTTCGAATCCCCGCGACGAGGTGAGCTCCCATTGCTCGGTCCCTGCTCCTGCCAACCTAGCAGTTCGAAAGCACGTCAAAGTGCAAGTAGATAAATAGGTACTGCTCCGGCGGGAAGGTAAACGGCGTTTCCGTGCGCTGCTCTGGTTCGCCAGAAGCGGCTTAGTCATGCTGGCCACATGACCTGGAAGCTGTACGCCGGCTCCCTCGGCCAATAAAGTGAGATGAGCGCCACAACCCCAGAGTCGGCCACGACTGGACCTAATGGTCAGGGGTACCTTTACCTTTACCTTACCCGTTATTAGCCAGTGTGTTGCTTTTGCATTTGTGTTAATATTCAAGACCAGCATAAACAAATTTGGCGTTTACCATCTCCGTCTTCTCCATACGCCATGAAAGGCGGTACTGTGATGATGCGCTTTTCTCCGACACACATTCCAAGGAGACCTTTGTCCATACCGGGGATCAGCCAACCGATACCCACATAAGTGTCATATGTTCGCATTCTATTGTGGCTGAAAATATAACAAAAAAGCAAGTTACTCATAGCCAGTGTCTTCCTTTTTAACACTGGAAGCAGGAAAAAACGTGACGAGTTGGGCTGAGTAAAATCAATGTAGACCAATGCGCATTTTGTTTCAAACCATTTTAGAAGTATACAGAGTATAAAACAACAAAACTTAGTTGCACAAAGGCAAAGACACCAAATATGCCACATTCTTTCCCTATTGCTTTAGTGGTTAAAAGCTGAACATTTGAAGCTGCCTTATAGCAGGCATGAGAGACCATTGGTTTATTGAGTCCAATGTTGTCTTATACTGACAGAAAGTGGTTTTCCTAAGCCTCAGGCATAGATTTTGTTCCCAGCCCTGCCAACAAAATATTTTCATTCACATTTTTATGGAAATTCTCACAGAAGCCCTCAAAAATCAAGACCTCAAAAAACATGAATAATAAAAAGAAAGAAATATATATTAACTACCTCGAGTCAAACAGTGTACCATCTAGAAATGTCCCATTGTAATGGTATCTTACAAAATCAGACACCTGGATTGTTCTTGTGCAATTTTCTGGCTTGTAATAAGTTTGAATATGAACTTGGTCTTCAGAATTCCAAAGGTCGATCAAAAGCACATCAAAGTGAAGCACTGAGTTTGCAGGAATTACACCAGCTGTGAATGCAAAATATATTAAAACGGAAATGATGTTTGCTGAAAAAACAGAATTAATGTAACAAACTACTGTCTCTTTTCAGATGTAGCAGGCATGCACAAAAGATGTGCTGGCTTAGGAACTGTTTCACCAGTGGCCCAGGCGTACAGAGACAGAGGCCACATTTAGAGTACTATAATACCACTTTCAGCTGTCATGGCTTCACCCAAAGCATTCTGGGAGCTGTAGTTTGCTAAGAGTTACTGGATACAGCCCACCATTCCCCTCCCAGAGCAAGAATTCCCAGGATGGTTTATCAATCAATCCCTCTTTACAGGGAACTTGAAGTGCCTCTGTTTATCAAGGATTTGGGAAAACAATGGACTTAGAGTGAATTCACTTTATTACTGTCACCCTGCTCCGAGTCATCACTACTGAAGCCTCATATTGTATTAAATTAATCTTGATCAGAACAGGACAACAACTTGTTCCTCACTGAGGAACAAGATGGATATTTCTGCCATCACGTATCTCTGCAACAATTGTAGCTAGAAGTCCATCTCAAAGAAATTAACAATGGGGAGAAAACAAAGATCCTCACATTTTTCAAAAAAGGGGGAAAAGGACTTGATGTGGAGAACAGGAGGAAACTTTAGCAAGGATAGTTTGCTTGGTGTGCATGACATTGTAGTAATCTGGCCTCTTGAACTCGATTCATATAACATATCCAGAGATCTAAATATGTGGACTGAGCGGGAGCAGGAACTCCACGTGTTTCTCAGAAGTTCAGAACTTAAAATGAAAATGTGGAGTTTGGGAGACAGGGTCCGTCAGCATGGTCCCATGTCCTCCTCATCCACACATCCAGATCCACAGATATATCCCATGAACAGGACTTATCAGGCAGCAATGCATTCATTAAAAAATCGGGTTTGATGAACTTGTTAGAAACTCTGTATTTTCAACAGGCTTGTCTTGGATGAACATTTCCATACAGAGTACTGTACTCACAAACACCTTCGCTCCCGTAGCCAAGATGGGGTGGGATTTTTACGAACCGCCTCTCATTCACACACATGCCAATCAGAGCTTTGTCCATCCCAGCAATAAGCTGGCCTTTCCCCACAAACACGTTGAATGTGGAACCCCTGTCATAGCTAGAGAGAGAGAGAGAGAGAGAGAGAGAGAGAGAGAGAATATGAACACAGTAGGTTACTTGCAAATTCATTTGCAATTCACTTAAATCCAGTTTGCAGGTATTTTGTTGGCAGCTCTTTTATTTTTACCCATTTCTCAGTCATGACTATGACTAACAGCTGCTGATTCCCCCATGAACTTGTCTCACCTCTCTTTCAAAAGCCATCTAAACAAGCGTTGCTTTCATACCTTGTGTGGAATACCCTGGACAGTCCTAGAGCTAGAAAGGTTGTAGAAAACCAACACGATGTAGAGCTTTGAGTATCTTTCCTACTAGGAAAGGCTAAAGAATTTGAGGCGGCAGGGGTATTTTAAAGCCAAATATGGACAATGGCTGGTTAAGAGAGAGATCTATACAATTGTTGTGGGGAAAGAAGTGAAAGAATTTTTTCACTAATCTTTCAAACTCAGAATTACCCATGGCAGCTGATTCAGCACAAACAAACAAAACATTTCTGCCACAAGTTCTGTGAAGGTGAACTTTATTTTGTCTTGAATGGATAATGACAGAAATGCCATATTCAAGGCAATTTTAATTTGATTGACAGATATGGGGGGGAAATGAATGGTTTTGCTCTTCTGGAGCAACCCCAATCATGTCTACTCAGAAGTAGGTCTCATTGAATTCAATGGGGCTTATTCCCAAGGTGTGGGGTTAGGAATGCATCATTCTACAACAATGCTGAAAGGGTAAAAAATATAAGCTTCCAAGAATATGCATTCTCTCCAAAGAGATGTCTGGAATTTTGCCAAAGGGCATATTCACTTTCAATGATCACTTGGGAATTTTTGATAATTAACATAATATCTCTCATCAGATGTCCTCTCAACATAATGTCCTCTCACCAGAGGAGAAATAGACACCCCCTTCTATGCCTTGCGTAGGTGCTGTTATACAGCCCTATAATTATGATGAAATTAGATGTAGCCCACGTTTTACTCACAGGAACACTTACAGTGCACCCAAGTTATATTAAATCTACCTTTTACTTCAAGGACTTCAGTGGGAATGCATTCAAAAGTATCATACACAAAGAGAAATATAGCAGAGGCCAGTTCACTGTATTGTTCGACAACATTCCTAAGAGCCTCCATCACTTGGAAATGGACCAGTTCCAGAGCTACAACTGCAGGCCCAAGGGGGTGCCCTGTGATCCAAAAGGTTGCGCTGTAAGCAGCCTCTCCGCCTAGGGTGGGGTCAGAGGCAGACATTGCTAATGTGGTGCCTGCAAGGAGGAAAAAATTTGGCAAAAAAAACCCCTATCGTATTTATTATTTTCACAATAATTCCTTTTGGTACAGTTGCTTTTTTATGGATATTGAACTTAATTCGTTCTGGAGGTCCGTTCTTAACCTGAAACTGTTCTTAACCTGAGGTACCACTTTAGCTAATGGGGCCGCACGATTTCTGTTCTCATGCTGAAGCAAAGTTCTTAACCCGAGGTACTATTTCTGGGTTAGTGGAGTCTGTAACCTGAAGCGTCTGTAACCTGAGGTACCACTGTATTTATTAGTAGTTCTGGGCCGCTTTTCATTCAAATGAATCCCAAAGCAGCTTACAAACAATACATTGTGGAAACATAACAGAACATACTTGAGCAGGGCAAATGCAGCATAAATCATATGGAAACATAAAGCATCTGTAATATCTTCTCAGTTGGTACCTGTATAAATATATGCATTTAAATTATTATTATTATTATTATGCCCCCTTAGCTCACCACCCTATATCTGGCACTGGTGGGGTTTTCTAGACTAGGAGAGGAGCTTTGCCTTTTGAAGATGATGGCAGGTATGGCTTCTCATAGACTTTCCCAGTTTATAAACAAATGCCTCTACACCTAGAGCCAGGGGTGCCCACTTGAATAAACTATTGAGGGAACCCGTGTAAACCCCACCCCACATAACTGATCAACTTGGGAGGGGCGACCCACTCAAATCGGGGGGGGGGGGCAAAGGGACCTCAGCCCTAGCAGTTGGCTGCATAGAGCAGTACAGTGGTACCTTGGTTCTCAAACGCCTTGGTTCCAAAATACCGAAAACCCGGAAGTGTTCCGGTTTTTGAATGTTTTTCGGAAGTTGAACGCCTGATGTGGCTGTCGGCTATTGTTTCCAGGATGCCTGCACCAATCAGAAGCTGCGCCTTGGTTTTCAAATGGACTTCCAGAATGGATTAAGTCTGGCGCTTTTGTTTTTGCTATTTATTTTGCGTTTTTGTTTTTGAGGCTTTTTCGGTTAATTTGTTTTTGTGACTGTGTGGAACCCAGTTCAGCTACTGATTGATTGATTGATTGATTGATTGTGTGACTGCGGAAATGGATAAAAGCCCCCCATCCAAACAATGACTATCATCAGTGCAGGTAAGGGAAAAAAAATATTTTTAACTTTTATCATCTACAATACTATCTTATTCATTTTATAGTACAGTACATTGATCATTGAAAGGGACGTGGGTGGAGCTGTGGGTTAAACCACAGAGCCTAGAACTTGCCAATCAGAAAGTTGGCGGCTCAAATCCCCATGACAGGGTGAGCTCCCGTTGCTCGGTCCCTGCTCCTGCCAACCTAGCAGTTCGAAAGCACGTCAAAGTGCAAGTAGATAAATAGGTACCGCTCCGGTGGGAAGGTAAACGGCGTTTCCGTGCGCTGCTCTGGTTCGCCAGAAGCGGCTTAGTCATGCTGGCCACAGGACCCAGAAGCTGTACGCCGGCTCCCTCGGCCAATAAAGCAAGATGAGTGCCACAACCCCAGAGTCGATCACAACTGGACCTAATGCTCAGGAGTCCCTTTACCTTTTTACATTGATTATTACTTTCATTTTATGGACCAATGGTCCCGTTAGATAGTAAAATTCATGTTAAATTGCTGTTTTAGGGGTTGTCCTTAAAAGTCTGGAACGGATTAATCCGTTTTGCATTACTTTCTATGGGAAAGCATGCCTTGGATTTGGAACGCTTTGGTTATGGAACGGACCTCCGGAAAGGATTAAATTTGAGAACCAAGGTACCACTGTACAGTAGTACCTCTGGTTAAGAACTTAATCCGTTCCAGAGGTCCGTTCTTAATCTGAAACTGTTCTTAACCTGAGGTACCACTTTAGCTAATGGGGCCTCCCGCTGCCACCGCACGATTTCTGTTCCCATCCTGAAGCAAAGTTCATAACCTGAGGTACTACTTCTGGCTTAGCCAAGTCTGTAACCTGAAGCGTCTGTAACCCGAGGTACCGCTGTATCCCGGGGAGAGCTCTCTCAGAGTGTGGGCTCCCCATTTTAGCAGGAGAGGGCAGGGGCTGCGGCTTCCCTCGTGCGAAGCGGGCGCTCTGCCCCACACCAAAAGCCGCCCTGGGCTGGATCAGGGCCAAAGCCCCGAGGCTCGGCCGGCCAGCGAGCCTGACGGGGCGCGAAGGCTGCCGAGCGTGTGCGCGCCCGCCCGTAAGTCCCGCTGCCTCCGACGGGCCTTGCTGCCGGGGCCGCGCGACGAGGCGCCGTACCTGGAGTCGAACTTGGCGCCGTCGGGGAAGGTGCCGTGGTAATGGTAGCGCACGAAGTCGCCGGCGCGGACGGTGCGCGGGCACTCGCGGGGCACGTAGCTGCGCTCCACCAGCACGTCCTTGCCGTCCCACGGCGGTTCCCCGCCGCCCGGCACCGGCGGAGCCTGGCACGCCGCGCAGCTCACCAGCAGCGCCAGCAGCAGCGGCGAGAAGCAGTGGCGGTGGCGGCGTCTCCTCTGGCCGGGCGGCATTCCTGGCCCTTCCATGGCGGCGGCGGCGGCGCGAGGAGCGGGGAGGCGGAGGCGCGGCCGAGGCGGAGGTCCTGCGCCCAAATCCCGGCTTCCCAGAGCTGCAAACGTGGAGAGGGGCGGAGGAAGGAGGCGGAGGAGGAGGAGGGTCGGGGGGGAAACGGGCAGCCGCGGCTTCTCCGCCTGCAGAGCGGGCGGGAGGAGCCAGCCCTGAGGGGAGGCGAGGCAGGGGGACGTCGAGGAAGAGGAGGGCCCGGGAGACCAGGCGGGAGCCTGAAGGGAAAACTGAGGGAGAAAAGGCCGAGCAAAGGGGAGCCGCCAAGAGTCAAGCTGCTCCTATTTTGTGAGCTAAAAAGTGGGAAACCCAAGAATTGCCGTTACCGAAGAATGGCGGATGAAGATGATGGATTTTTCGGAGCTAGCCGACCTAACCGGAAAAGTCGGCGACCAGGAGGAGGAGAATGGAATAAATTCAATAATTATTTAGTTAAATATGTTCAATTAACTGAAAGCAGCTTGCAGAGAATTGGCTTCGGATTTTATTTATGTGAAGCGATGAATCGATATGTTTAATTTCATAACGTGAAGAGCTAAGGATGTTAATGTTGAAGTTAAATTTCAGAAGAGCTGCGATTTTGGAAAACCGTTAGAAGGATATGCAATGAAATTCAGCCGAGGGGAAGCGAGGAAGTCGCTTAACAAAGTTAATAAGTGCCATTTTCAATAAGGCTGTGATTTATGTTTGTTTGTCTAATGTGTTTGTTTGTTTATAATGTTGTGAAAACCAATAAAAAAAATTTTGGGGGGAAATGAGTCAAGTTTCTAGTTCCTGCGTGTTTTTTCCGTCTCGCGGGGGTGCAAAAGGGGGAGGCAACTGTCCCCTCGCGTCGCGACGTGGCGCCTCTTCGTTTCCAGCCCAGACACGGCTGCTGAGGGCTTGAGGGTTTTTTCCGCAGCTGCCCGGCCCGGCCCTCCTCTCGGACCCGCAGGGCGATGAGTCAGGGCTGTGGCGCGCGGCTGTGCGCGCCGCCTTCGGAATTATGAAGTCGCAGGGGGAAAGTTGGAATTAACTGCAGCGGAGGAATGATCTACCGGAGTACAGTGGTACCTCGGGTTAAGTACTTAATTCGTTCCGGAGGTCCGTCCTTAACCTGAAACTGTTCTTAACCGCCAGAGCACGATTTCTGTTCTTATCCTGAAGCACTATTTCTGGGTTAGTGGAGTCTGTAACCTGAAGCGTATGTAACCCGAGGTACCACTGTAATCCGTTTCAAGCTACATACCCTTTTACAGTGGTACCTCGGGTTAAGTACTTAATTCGTTCCGGAGGTCCGTCCTTAACCTGAAACTGTTCTTAACCGCCAGAGCACGATTTCTGTTCTTATCCTGAAGCACTATTTCTGGGTTAGTGGAGTCTGTAACCTGAAGCGTATATAACCCGAGGTACCACTGTAATCTGTTTCAACCTACATGCTCTTTTACAGTGGTACCTCGGGTTAAGTACTTAATTCGTTCCGGAGGTCCGTCCTTAACCTGAAACTGTTCTTAACCGCCAGAGCACGATTTCTGTTCTTATCCTGAAGCACTATTTCTGGGTTAGTGGAGTCTGTAACCTGAAGCGTATATAACCCGAGGTACCACTGTAATCTGTTTCAACCTACATGCTCTTTTACAGTGGTACCTCGGGTTAAGTACTTAATTCGTTCCAGAGGTCCGTCCTTAACCTGAAACTGTTCTTAACCGCCAGAGCACGATTTCTGTTCTTATCCTGAAGCACTATTTCTGGGTTAGTGGAGTCTGTAACCTGAAGCGTATGTAACCGGAGGTACCACTGTAATCTGTTTCAAGCTACATACCCTTTTACAGTGGTACCTCGGGTTAAGTACTTAATTCGTTCCGGAGGTCCGTCCTTAACCTGAAACTGTTCTTAACCGCCAGAGCACGATTTCTGTTCTTATCCTGAAGCACTATTTCTGGGTTAGTGGAGTCTGTAACCTGAAGCGTATGTAACCCGAGGTACCACTGTAATCTGTTTCAAACTACATACCCTTTTACAGTGGTACCTCGGGTTAAGTACTTAATTCGTTCCGGAGGTCCGTCCTTAACCTGAAACTGTTCTTAACCGCCAGAGCACGATTTCTGTTCTTATCCTGAAGCACTATTTCTGGGTTAGTGGAGTCTGTAACCTGAAGCGTATATAACCCGAGGTACCTCTGTAATCTATTTCAAGCTACATACCCTTTTACAGTGGTACCTCGGGTTACATACCCTTCAGGTTACAGACTCCGCTAACCCAGAAATAGTGCTTCAGGTTAAGAACTTTGCTTCAGGATGAGAACAGAAATCGGGCTCTGGCGGCAGCAGGAGGCCCCATTAGCTAAAGTGGTGCTTCAGGTTAAGAACAGTTTCAGGTTAAGAACGGACCTCCAGAACGAATTAAGTACTTAACCCGAGGTACCACTGTATTTTGAGACACTCACTTAGGACAGGAAAGCGTTCCTTGCAAGTCAAATCGACAGGATGCTGTTCATGGGCGTAGGAATCGGGTATGTGTGTAAATATATAAATATATTTAACTAACTGACCCGACTCAGTTCTACCCCTCCCCCCAAAAAAACATAAAGCCTCCCCCCCCCCAATAATAATCCTGACTACGCCCATGACATAAAAGGGCTATTCAGACTGTTCCTCTGTTTGAGAGATAGTCACTCCACAAATCAGTAAAAGGGGATTGCTGGACTGGCTTTTCTAATAAGGACAGAGTGAACTTTCAGATCAGGTGACAGAAGCCTTACGCCTCTCATGATGGAAAATGTTAAGGGTTTGCATGGGGAAAGGCTCCCCTGGAATTTCTGGGTGCCCGGGTCTCCCCATAATTTCTGAAATTAGTAGAGGCAGGTTTGATCAGCGGATTTACTACGGAATAAGTCAGGCCAGCTTTCTCAGCAGACTGGCTGAGAGAGGTGCCATCAGGTGATGGCAGAGCCATTTTTAGTTTGCAAAAATATATATATAGCAGCATTGGGAGAGGGACGTTGCCAGGGTTTCAGGGGGTGTGATGTCACTGCAGGGGGGGAAATGCCATTTTTACACTGACTTTGAGTCTCACTTGCTCCAAAATCAGGTACACATATGTAAACCCCTTATCTTAATTTCTTTTAGTATGTGTACTGTGGCACATCTCTATGCTCACTGGGTAGGTAGGGACTCCTTTTATCTTTAGGATTAAGGTGTTTGAATTTTAATTTGATTTGCTGCCCCACTTATTTGCAACTTCACTGTCTAAAGCAGCACACATCTGCTATGTCTCTTCCATTTGCATGTAACAAACCCATCTGTTTCTGCTTCCTGGGGCGACAAGTTCTTTATTGGGATGGAGGTATACACACATTTTCACACATCCTGACTCCACTCAAAAGGGTCCATTCTTCTTAGTATTGTTTTTGGGTTCGTATGTGTGCTGGGCATGCATATAGGTTCAGGGGTCGACCTCATAACATCAGGACAAGTTAATTTCCACACTGTTGTCGCAAGAATGTAAGACACCAACTTTGACTTACAATAGAGCACATCAGTTAAATATTGAATTGAAAAGCAAAGGTATTATTTTCTTCTTTGTCAGTGAAAATCTTCAAAAGAATGTCCCGTTTGTAAAGTATAGGGCAAACTGTGAGCAGAGAGTTATCCTATAGTTTAGCATATGTGATTTGCCCAGCTTTTAGCTAGCCGTGGTTTATAATAACCTGTTACATTATAGCTAAGGGCTAAACTCCTCAGATGCCTTTAAACATTGGTGGGATTTGCAGTTTGGATTACATGGCAGGGGCACCAAAACACGGGTTGTACTTCTGCTGCAAAGGAAAGTGCTCTGTAATCTAGAGAAATGGCCTGTTTTGAATTTTCCTGGATTGTATACATGCAGATGAGCAAGAAGATAAATGATTGCAGGAAAGTACAATAAAACATGTTGCATGAAAACTTGGTTCTGCCTTACATTTAGTGTGTTGCAAACATTCATTCAGACACTTCCTTCATTACCCCAACAATTGCTGGTGAGGCTCTCGGGGCACAATTGTGACACAAACTATTTTTAAAATGTTGAACTCTCCTACCTTCCCCCAGGCAGTTCTGGGAATTGTAGCTGTGAAGGTGCTGAGACCTTTTTATAACCATTGTCCAGTTCTACTCACTCTTGCAAAAGGGACTTGTCTTTTTAAAAAAAAAAAATAAAATATTAAAAGTTTAATAGTTACAGAAAAAGAAGAAAACAATAAAAAGTTCACAATACATCAAAAATAAAGAGAAAGAAACAAAAAAAGAACAATACAACAAAACAACAAGAAAAGCAAAAACATTCAAAAAAACACATCCAATATCTCTATATCTCTACCTTTCATTTACTTGTATCATCGACCTACTCACACCTCCCTTTTTTGTATTCTTGTTCAGTTAGCTATTTCAGCAAATCCTTTCCATCTTTCTCAATTTTTGTTCTGTAGCAAAAGAGACTTGTCTGGACTTTTTAGATGGTTTAGTTATATGGATCATGGCATCAGTGCAGAAGACATAAGTTTAATATAAATTAGATCCCTCAGGAGCTATCTGTGACCCTGGCACAAGCTCCTATTTTGTACGTGACCTAGACACAACAGCATCCTGACCTACTGGCTGCAGAAAATATTGGAGTACCAATCTCTGTATTTGCCAGATGGATCTACCGGTCACCCTCCTATAAGCAGGAACCAGATTTAAACAGAGACAATTAAAATCTTGAGGAAAAAAAATATGATTTGGGAGCTGTAAAGATATAGATTTGGTCTTTCCCCAATTAAGGTCTTCATTTAAGCATGGATAAGCCTTTAAAGTGTGCATATCTGACCAATCAAAAATGCCACGCATGCAATTTTTTCTTTTTGAAACCCAGCTGAAAAATAAAGCAGGTCTCAGCCCTAATCATCACCCCAAACCTCATGAAAAATGGCCTTCAGCAGCTTCTGCGCTACTTCCCAGAGCTCTGGTAGTGTTTTAAAGACACCAGCCAATATTCCATTGGAATGTTGGCACTTCATTAGGGACACGCCAGATGCAAAAGCTGGCAGTGAAGATGAATTTCTGCCCCACTTACCTGAAACATTACTCTGCATTTTTGTGAATTCAGGCACCACTAGCCTTTCTAAAGAGGAAAGCAGCTAAAATGGTTTAGGATCCATTTCTTCATAGGCTGTTTTGCGCAAGCAACTTTTCAGGGGCCACATGGAGGTGGGGAGGGGGCCTATAAGCAAGCATGGTCAGGGCGATGAGTGTGACGGACTGCATTACAGACGCTCCAAGCGTCCCATTTTTCTGGGGACATTCCAGGAAGCCATCCCGGTTTCTGATTGGATCCCCGAATGTCCCGCCTTCCCTTACGGACGTCCCTATTTTCTTTGGAAAAATGTTGGCGGGTGGTGGAAATGACTGGCAGAATCCGAGACCAGGGAGAAGAGTCGGTGGAAGAAGATTGGAAGAAATTTAAAGACTACTTACAGAAATATTGTAAAATTAATGAATGTTAGAATGATGACGGGTTGAAGTTAAGCGGTTTCTAGCGGTAATGGTATAAAAATATGGAAAAATTGGTTTTTAATATGTAAAAATTTAATGTTATAATTTATCAAGATTAAAGATTAGGATTAAAAAGGAGGGAAAGGAATTGCTGGATTAACATATTGAATTGGAATACAAAAGAGGGAGGTATGAGGAGGTCCGGGAAACAAGTAAATGTAAAAGAAGTGATGAAAAGATGGAATTGTTTTTAACTGTTTTTTCTTTTTTGTATTTTGTATTTTTCCTTTTTATTGTTAATTTTCTTATTAATGTGATTTTTCTTCTTTTGAAATTTTAATAAATATTTTTTTTAAAAAAAAAATGTTGGCGGGTATGCTGTTACCTGATTCCCGAGCCATCTGAAGGCAGCTGTGAATAAGGCAGATTTTTAATATGGTAATGCTTTACTACGTTGTTTAATATGTTGGAAGCCAACCAGAGTGGCCCAGTCAGATGGGTGGGGTATAACTGGTAAAATCATCATCAGGGCTTTTTTTCACCCACAACTCACTGGGACTCAGTTCCGGCTCCTCTCAGATGGGCACCACTGCCACTTAGCAATGTTTTCTTCTGAAATGTTTAAGTTTTTTTGGTTAAATATGTATTCTGTAGTTGACCTCCTTTGCAACATTTTATTTTGAAATCTTTTAAGATAATATTTTAGTTTCCTGTTCATTATGTTGCTTTGACTGTAGACTTTATATTTGACTTTCTTCAGTAATGTTTAATTTTGGGTTGTTTTATTGATGTTTCAATGTGCTGCAAGCCGCTTTGAGATTTTTATTAAAAATATAAAGCGGTATAGAAATGAAATGAATAATAATAATAATAATATTAGAACAAGGGAGGTGTTCATTGTGAAGTTCTGGCACCTCTTTTTCTAATTGCCCACCCTGTAGATCAAGACCACCCCCAAAAACATAATACATACATCACAGAAGGAGGCGGGCTACAGCAGAAAACCTGTCTGGGAGGATACTGATAATGGTCACTTGATTGCTTTACCTGGGCAGCCTGGCCATTCCTTTTGAGATGCTGTATATACAGTGGTACCTTGGTTCTCAAACTTAATCTGTTCCAGAAGTCTGTTCCAAAACCAAAGCGTTCCAGAACCAAGACACACTTTCCCATAGAAAGTAATGGAAAAAGCATTAATGTGTTCCACTTTTAAAAACAACCCCTAAAACAGCAATTTAACATGAATTTTACTAGTTACAGGTAGGTAGCCATGTTGGTCTGCCGTAGTCGAAACAAAATAAAAAAAATCCTTCCAGTAGCACCTTAGAGACCAACTAAGTTTCTTATTAGTATGAGCTTTTGTGTGCATGCACATGGTATCTGAAGAAGTGTGCATGCACACGAAAGCTCATACCAATAACAAATTTAGTTGGTCTCTAAGGTGCTACTGGAAGGATTTTTTAAAATGAATTTTACTATCTAACAAGACCACTGATCCATAACATGAAAGCAATAATCAATGTACTGTAAAGGTAAAGGTGAAGGTATCCCTGACCGTTAGGTCCAGTCGCGGACGACTCTGGGGTTGTGCGCTCATCTCGCTCTATAGGCCGAGTGAGCTGGTGTTTGTCTGCAGACAGCTTCCAGGTCATGTGGCCAGAATGACTAAGCCGCTTCTGGTGAAACCAGAGCAGCGCACGGAAATGCCATTTACCTTCTCGCCAGAGTGGTACCTATTTATCTACTTGCACTTTGACATGCTTTTGAACTGCTAGGTGGGCAGGAGCTGGGACTGAGCAACGGGAGCTCACCCTGTCGCGGGGATTCGAACCGCCGACCTTCTGATTGACAAGCCATAGGCTCTGTGGTTTAGACCACAGCACCACCCACGTACTATAAAATAAATAAGGCAGTATCGTAGATGAGAAAAATTAAAATTATTAGTTTCTTACCTGCACTGATGATAGTTATTGTTTGGAAGGGGGGCTTTCCACAGTCACACAATCAATCAGTAGCTGATTGCAGTCACAAAAACAAATTAACCGAAAAAGCCTCAAAAATGCAAAATGAATAGCAAAAACGAAAGCGCCAAACTTAATCCATTCCGGAAATCTGTTTGACTTCCGAAATGTTCAAAAACCAAGGCGCAGCTTCTGATCACTGCAGGTGTCCCAGAAACAATAGCCGACAGATGCATCAGACGTTCGGCTTCCGAAAAACATTCGAAAACCAGAACACTTACTTCCGGGTTTTTGGCGTTTGAAAACCAAGGTACCACTGTTCCTAGTTCCTGAATCCAGGTACAGTCTCACCATAGTATATCCTGAATATAGGATTTGTGAACAAAGAGGCAATGGGGAGGTTTTTCCAATTTCCTTCCTCACTGCAGAGAATATCTGAGGTCACTGGAAGAGTCAGAATGGCTTCAGGATTGCTCTTCTGTACTATTTCAGACATGTGATTTACATACTTATGTATATATTTGCCTTGTAGATTTAGGAACATATGATTTATATATATCTGAGACCTTAGAATTCCAATAATAATAATAATAGAATGGGACACCTCTATTTTAATCAGATAAATGTTGGAGGGTATGGAGAAAGTTGTGGAGCGGGGCCAGCGAGAGGTGCCAATTTAGGTTTGATGAGGCCCTAGGCTACTGAAGGTAATGGGGCCCTTTATATGTCCAGCTGTCCTTTGTCAACAACAAATTGTCACTGTTTTGTGTGTTGAATATATGCTATATGCTAATTTATGGACCTAATAGGTATCTAAAGCCATTTGCACATAACAAAATATGTATTTTATCAAAGTAATTGTTTTTTTAAAAAAATAATATTTATTAAAATTTCAAAAGAAAAAAATCACATTAATAAGAAAATTAACAATAAAAAGGAAAAATACAAAATACAAAAAAGAAAAAACAGTTAAAAACAATTCCATCTTTTCATCACTTCTTTTACATTTACTTGTTTCCCGGACCTCCTCATACCTCCCTCTTTTGTATTCCAATTCAATATGTTAGTCCAGCAATTCCTTTCCCTCCTTTTTAATCCTGATCTTTAATCTTGATAAATTATAACATTAAATTTTTACATATTAAAATCCAATTTTTCCATATTTTTTTATACCATTACCGCTAGAAACCGCTTAACTTCAATCCGTCATCATTCTAACATTCTTATCAAAGTAATTGTTACAACCAGTCCATGCAGAATGTAGGCACCCTATATAGAGAAATGAGCAAGCCAGTGATATTTTAGGGAGCAGGCTAGCAGGCCATTCCTTGCATCATAGGACAACACAAAACCCTGTTGCTGCATGTAGGTTTTATTTTATTTGTTTTTATTTTAAATTTTGGAAATATACATCCAGTTTTCCCCCCATTATATTTTTGGGAGGTCCTCAAGAGAGTGGGGCCCTAAGCTAGAGCTTGCTTAGCTTCTACGTGAATCCGGCGCTGCTCAGAGAGGATCTAAATGCGGCGCCGCAAACGACAATCGGGTTTTATTGTGACTTGATCGGGTTTCGTTAGGGATCGATCATGGCTGGCTTCGATTCCGTCTGAGCAGGCGGCGCTGGGAAGCCGCTCCGCCGAGCGCCGCGTGGCGGGGGCGCTGCCGAGGGCGAGGCGGCCCCGTCGGGCCGGAGGAAGTGCTCGCTTGGCCTCCCCTGGAAGTGAGGCGCTCCAGGCCGGGCTGCGGCGGCTCCCCGGCGCACCATGTCCCGGCGCGGCGACGGAGGCCCGAAGCGGCACCGGAGCCGCAGCGAGTCGTCGTCGTTGCCCGGCGGCAGCCCCGCCGGCTCCAGCAGCCGAGGCCACGAGCGGAAGGAGCAGAAGAGGAAGAAGCGGGAAGTGCAGCAGATCCAGCAGATCCAGCACCTGGAGTCCTTGTAAGGCGGGGGGGGGGGTCCCTCGGGGGGCGGCTTGGACCCTCCGCCTTCCTCCGAGGGCAGCGGGGAGGCGCAACGGCATCCCTCACCCGAATCTCAAGCATCCCCAAACTTGGCCCTCCTAATGCTTTGGGACTACAACTCCCATCATCCCTGACCACTGGTCCTGCTAGCAGGGGATGATGGGAGTTGTAGTCCCAAAACATCAGGAGGGTCGAGGTCGAGGAAATCTGGTCTGTGTAAATGTTCTAGCTCTGAAGGGGATCCTTTAGCTCAGGGGTGCTCTCTTATTCCCCACCCCCCAACAAGGGGTCAGGCATAGCAAACTCGGCCCTCCAGATGTTTTTGGGACTACAACTCCCATCATCCCTAGCTAGCAGGACCAGTGGTCAAGGATGATGGGAATTGTAGTCCAAAAACAGCTGGCGGCCCAAGGTTGGGGAACCTAGATTCTAGGGGGCCGAGTTTGGGGGTGCCTGCCCTAATCCCTAACCTGCCAAACAGCCCTGTGAGGTAGGCTGGGCAGGGCTGTGGGCGACGCACGCCCTCTGCGTTGAAAGCAAACCCCTCCCCCCTGAATAAACATACACAAATTTATTGAGGGTCAACATAATAGAGAGATAATATAAGGATGTATACAATTTTATAATATGCAGAAGTTAAAATTGGTTGAGAAATCAGAGAGAGGAGCTGAGGGAGGGAGGGTTTGTTGGGGAGGTGGGAGGGAAAAAGGGGAGAGTAATGAAGATGATTTGTTTGAATAATTTGTTATGTGAAAACTGTTAATAAAAACTTTAACAAAAAGAAAAGAAAACACCCCCCCCCAAAAGACCAATAATTCCGGGAAGTGGCTCAGCTGTTCTTCTCAGCAGTCTTAACAAACTACAGATATAGATACAGTCACGGTGCCGGATTTACGTCTAAGCCAGGCATAGGCGAACTCGGCCCTCCAGATGTTTTGAGACTACAATTCCCATCATCCCTGACTTCTGGCCCTGTTAGCTAGGGATGATGGTAATCCCAAAACAGCTGGAGGGCCGAGTTTTCCTATGCTTGGTATAAGCTAAACAAGCTATAGCTTAGGGCCCCACTCCCGTGGGAGCCCCCCCAAAAAAATTAAAGGGGAAAAAAACCCTGGATGCACATTTCCAAAATATAAGATAAAAAACAAATAAAATAAAACCTACATGCAGAGCAGTGTTTTGTGTTGTGTAAGTTCCCTATGATGTAAGTAATGGGCCCTGCCTGCTAGCCTGCTCCCTAAAATATTACTGGTTTGCTCCTTTCTATATATAGGGTGCCTACATTCTTCATGTGCAAATGGCTTTAGATACCTATTAGGTACCATATAGCATATATTCAACACAAAAAACAGCAACAATTTGTTGTTGACCAAGGACAGCTGGACATATAAAGGGCCCCATTACCTTCAGTAAGGGCCGCATCAAACCTAAATCCGGCCCTGCCCCCCGAATCCCAGGAAGTGGCTGAGCAGCTTTTCTCAGAAATCTTAACAAACTACAGATAGCTATAGATGATAGATAAGATAGATAGATAGATAGATAGATAGATAGATACGTGCATACATATACGCACACTACCACCTATTCCCTTGACAGGATTCAAGACGGCTTGCTGATAAAATACGAACAATCAGAAACACAGGAAAACCAATTACATATTTTTGGCCTTCGTTTTTATTATTACGTATTTCGTGTTTTTGTCTCGTATGTTCATTCCGTGAACTGCCCCGAGATCTTCGGGTGAAGGGTGGTTTCATAAATAATAGCAATAATAATAATTGTTAGCTTCAGCTATTTCTATCTGTCTGGGTTTCTTTTATACATGCACACATGTATAATTTATTAAAACCATACAAATACAATAAAAAACAGCACAGCACCAGATCTTTTCATTAAAAGCAGTCAGTTTCCAAAACGCTGTTTTAACAATAAGGCTGTTGGTTCAGCTGTTGGTGGATGGAAAGGAAGCAATAAAATTGCTGGCATATTTGCAAAGCTAAGCAGGGTCCAGTAAGGTTAGGGTACCAGGTGTCGTGATTTCTGCATTGCCAGTGGTTCGACTAGATGACCCTCGGATCCCTTCCAACTCTAGGATTCTATCTTCTGCAGGGAGGGAGTTCCAGGGTCTAGGAGCAGCCACTGAGAAGTTCCCAATATTCTTTTTTGGGGTGTTTGTGGAAATGTTCCCTCCTTTCTGGTTTGTTCTGTTATCTAGACCAGTGTTTTTCAACCACTGTTCTGCGAGATGTTGCCTGGTGTGCCGTGGGAAAAATTGAAAAATTCGAAAGATTTTAAAAAAATAAATAAATGTCAAATTTTCGCCCACTAGGCGGGCGCCGGACTGCGTCCACCCTATTTTCCATCCGTCCTGGGTGGGGATCAGATCGGATGGGATCGGATGAGAGCGGACAGGCGGTCCGCTCTCATCCGATTCCCCATAGAGAGCAGCGGGATTCTGACATCTCCCTCTCCGCACACAGTGCGGAGACGGAGCTGTCATCCGCCGGCTCAGCGGGGATCAGCGGATCGATCCCCGCTGAGCAGAGAACGGTCCGCAACGTTCGATTCCAGCCAGAATATCAGCTTTGTGTTCAGCCAAACAGGCCCAGGTTGCGCACTGAATAAAGTATTTTATAATTTTTCATATTTCTGTTTACTTACTATTTCATAATAAAGTAATTATAAATACTTGCTTTGTGTTTATTTGATTCCTATTCAAGAGAATTACTTTATATATAGTCAATATAGGCACAGAGTTAAATTTTTTAACATTTTCTAATGGTGGTGTGCCTCGTGATTTTTTTCATGAAACAAGTGTGCCTTTGCCCAAAAAAGGTTGAAAAACACTGATCTAGACATAGCCTTAGTGATCACAGGAAGTGATCAAAGGTTTAAAGGGCATCCTGTCTAGTGCTGTTTTTATTTACCCATTCTGGCTTTGTCAATCAGTTGCTGTTTTGGTGTCAAATTAGCACATCCACTTGTATCCATGAAATGGCATCGCTTCAAATCCATGACACAGAATTTTATTTTATTTTATTTTTAAAAGGAACAGGCAGGCTGCTTCAAGTCAATATTACATTTCTGCCACTAAAAAAACACACAAAAGTTTTCAAAATTTCTCATTTGTGGCAAGGTGGTGAAAATAAATATTGTTTTCTCAGAGATGGCGGCACTACGTCTGACAAATAGGTTGTTGCTTGAAATAGTTTCTGGGATATAGTCATTTTCAGCCAAACTCAGATCAAGATTTGTAGTTATCCTGAACTCTGTAACATCTGTTACATATCAGGGGGTACATTTTTTCTTTTCTTTTTTTTCTTAATACCATTCCCAAATCTTGAAATACCATTGCCGGCATCAACAGATAGTTTAGGCCTTTTTGATGTTGCTTTAAGATTTCTGATTTATTAAATCATCTTTTACTATGTAAAAACACTACTGTTTGGAGTTGATAAGTTGGTTTGGAATTTTAATAAGATGCTTTTTATTAGCTGCTTATGATCAAGTATCTTATATTTTTACTTGTAAACCAGTTTGTGACTTTTGTGAAAAATGGATGACATAAATAATAAGCCCGTTTGCTTATTATTTAGATAAGGGACGGGGAATTGAGTGACAGGTGTTCAAAAACATTACCCCCTTCTCTATTTTTGCTTCAGCTGAACTTTCTGCATTGCTTTGTAGTTTATTTTCTAATGACACTAAAGGTATATTTTCAATTTTTTTCCAGCTATGAGAAACTTCCTCCAGGGTTTATTAAGGTAGGTTGGGTAGCTTGTAAAACTGTTCTTTTTTAAAAAAAGAAAATACAGTAAACCAGGAACAAAGATGCAGTTTCTCTACCACTTTATACAAAAAGAAACCTTGAAGTGTTTTACACAAAATATAATTGAGGGACACACACACAATATGTAAAAATTCAGCGCAAGACTTTAAAAGCTAAATGAAACTAGAGTAAAACTATACTTATCTATGGTATAGATAAAACGGGGGGTTGAATTAGATGACCCCAAAGCTCCTTATTGTAATCTCATGTACCCTGAGGTGAGTGAGTTTGTTTGTGGCAGCCATGTAGTTAACAGATCAGAATAGGAAGCCAAATGATTTACTCAGCCTGCCTAGACGTCTTGGTGCACACACCGGCCTGGTTCTTCAGAATTTGAAGGAAGCCCTGTTAAAAGGTCTGCCTTTCTCCAGAAGTGCAAACCGTAAGTCTGTATTAAAGGTAAAGGGTAAAGGGACCCCTGACCATTAGGTCCAGTCGTGGCTGACTCTGGGGTTGCGGCGCTCATCTCGCTTTATTGGCCGAGGGAGCCAGCGTACAGCTTCCAGGTCATGTGGCCAGCATGACTAAGCTGCTTCTGGCGAACCAGAGCAGCGCACGGAAATGCCGTTTACCTTCCCGCCGGAGTGGTCCCTATTTATCTACTTGCACTTTGACGTGCTTTCGAACTGCTAGGTTGGCAGGAGCAGGGACCGAGCAATGGGAGCTCACCCCGTCGCAGGGATTCGAACCACCGACCTTCTGATCGGCAAGTCCTAGGCTCTGTGGTTTAACCCACAGCGCCACCCGCGTCCCTTAAGTCTGTATTGGTTGTGGGCTAAAAAGTTGGAGGAGATAGCAGATCTGCTGTAAGAAAGTAAGAGTGTCTTGCAGTCCGTCCCACCTCGCAGGGGTGTAGGTTAGACCAGTTTGTCCCATTTTGTTTTCGCTTCTTCATTTCATTTGATTTGCTTCTTTTGCGTACAGGAAGATGAGACTAAACCGGAGGACTGCATTCCTGACGTACCTGGCAATGAAAATGCCCGAGAATTCCTTGCCCACGCCCCAACAAAAGGGCTTTGGATGCCATTGGGGAAGGAGGTCAAAGTTATGCAATGTGAGTGAGGGAAGTAGATTTCTGTGCAGCTTTTGGGGAATGGGGAACAAAGAATGAATGGCTTTGCTGGCTGGGGCTGATGGGAAATGTAGTTCAAAATATCTGTAGAGGACCAAGTTGATGACAAGCTGGACTTGACAGGCTGGAGAGAAGGAAGGAGGATGCAGAGGCAGGAGTCAACTGATATGCAGACAACGAAGTCCTAGAAGGGTTTGGCAAAATCTTGGCAGAAGAGGCAATGGTGTCTCTTATCTTGCTGTCATTTTTCATATTGCACTTCTGGCTGTGGTTGGTACGGCAGCTTTGACCAGGAAAGCTTGATCACAGCAATTCAGGCACTGGTGATTTCGACACTGGATTTCTGCAATGTACTCTATTAATAATAATACAGTGGTAACTCGGGTTAAGTACTTAATTCGTTCCGGATGTCCGTTCTTAACCTGAAACTGTTCTTAACCTGAAGCACCACTTTAGCTAATGGGGCCTCCAGCTGCTGCCGCGCTGCTGGAGCACAATTTCTGTTCTCATCCTGAAGCAAAGTTCTTAACCTGAAGCAATATTTCTGGGTTAGCGGAGTCTGTAATCTGAAGCGTCTGTAACCTGAGGCGTATGTAACCTGAGGTACCACTGTAATAATAATAATAATAATAATAATTTAATTTCCATACTGCCCTATACCTGAAGGTCTCAGGGCGGTTCACATAAAATACATAAAATCAAAACAAAACCAACAACCCAATAAAAAAACCCCAAAAGAGCTAGCATTTTTTCCCCTAAGAGCCAGCATTTTAAAAAAGGGTATAGGATGTAGATCAAGTCAGGCAAAGGCCTAGTTGAAAAGGAATGTTTTTGCCTGGTGCCTAAAGGTGTATAGTGAAGGTGCCAGGCAAACTTCTCTGGGAGAGCATTCCACAGATGGGGAGCCACTGCAGAGAAGGCCCCGTTCTTGTGTTGCCACCCTTCTGACCTCTTGCTGAGGAGGCGCACAAAGAAGGGCCTCAGAAGATGATCTCAGGGTCTGGGTAAGTTCATATGGGAAGGGGTGGTCCTTGATGTACCGTGGTCCTGAGCCATCTATGTGGGGCTTACCACAGTCAATGCAGAATGCTGCAGCACGGTTGCTGATAGCTTGTAGCACCTCTACTCAGCAGATCTATGCTGGTTGCTGATCTGGAACTTGGACATGTTGGAAGTGATACTGTTGGTATATAAAGCCTTGTACAGCTAGGGACTAGTTTACCTGCGTGATCTCCTTGTGCCATTTGTGCTGACTTGTCCGCTTTGAACTGACTGAAAGACCACATCTGTGAGGGCGAAGGAAGCCCCAGAGAGACCAGAGGTTCAGCAGGGCTTTGTTTAGGCTGCTGAGCCACCCCATCTAACAGCTGATGTTTGCGGTAGCACACCAGCACCGGCCATTTTTACAGCCCCAGAGCTGCAATTATAGTGGGGGGTATTTTTGGATACAGTATTTTTTTGTCTGGATTGGAGAGAGTGGCAGAGAGGGCGTTTAGAGGGTGCACCCGAATTTATGCCATTTCACTTATGTGCAGGGCCGTAGCTAGGGGGTGGTGAGGTGCCCCCCCCCCGGCCAGGGGCTCAGGCGAGGGGGGCCGCAAAACTGGCTAAAATATGTCCATAAATAGTAAAGGTAAAGGGACCCCTGACCATTAGGTCCAGTCGTGGCCGACTCTGGGGTTGCAGCGCTCATCTCGCTTTATTGGCCGATGGAGCCAGCGTACAGCTTCTGGGTCATGTGGCCAGCATGACTATGCCGCTCCTGGCGAACCAGAGCAGTGCACAGAAACGCCGTTTACCTTCCCGCCGGAGCGGTACCTATTTATCTACTTGCACTTTGATGTGCTTTTGAACTGCTAGGTTGGCAGGAGCAGGGACCGAGCAACAGGAGCTCACCCCGTCACGGGGATTCAAACCGCCGACCTTCTGATTGGCAAGTCCTAGGCTCTGTGGTTTAACTCACAGCATCACCCAAGTCCCATGTCCATAAATACGTCTATATATAAAAATATGGATTGTTGCCTCATAAGAAAAGGTTTTAAATAGAGGGTGAATTGAATGGGTGGAGTGGGGGGTTGGAGGAGAGGCAGAAAGAGCAGCTAATTTGTCCATGGCTAGGGGGTGCAATCTGGACGGTTCTGCCAGGGGTGCAAGATCGCCTAGCCATGGCTCTGCTTATGTGCCCCGTGCCCCTCAGTGTAACCCCCGAGTAAGGGGGGGATGACATGCCTGTAATCTTTCTCAGTGCCTGCTTAAAACAGAGTGGGGGGGCATGTCAGTTTTGCTCTATATGTGCTCTCATGCCACAACTCCCTTTCCTCTGCAAGACAAGGGCAGGGAGAAATCTGGTCACGTGAGGGCAAGCAACTAATGGTCAGTGCTTTGTTTTGTAAAGAAAAGCCAATCATTTTTAGATATTGGGTTTTAAAGGTACTGAATATTTACTTTTTTGGTGCACAGCACTATGTTAATATTTCTTATTTCTCCCTCAAGGCTGGAGATGTAAACGTTATGGACACAGAACGGGAGACAAAGAATGCCCATTCTTCATCAAAGGCAACCAGAAGCTAGAACAATTCAGAGTAGTAAGTAAAACATTGCGGCATTAGTTTATTAATGGTGCTTTTGAATATTCTGCCACGTTAAGAGTTTCTGAATTCTTTCTTTTAACTAGGGAACTTTGTATCTTCTGCAGTGTGCTGTTAGGTAGAGATAGGATTTCCCCCATCAAATGTTCCCTACTGCTGCTTTTAAGGTTTTTATCCCCAGCTTGGTAATGAAACTGTAAAGAAGCCCAGCTGTAAGAAAAAACAGTTGAGAAAGGGAACTTATAAGAGAGAGTTCGCGAGTGCGAAAGGGGTGAGGCACCTATTCAATTGAATCATTCATTGATTTTAGATACCTATATCCCCTGGTTCTGACTCTAAATTAAAGAAGAGCAGTTAATATGGATAAAACAATCACCAGTGATTCTGCATGAGGACATAGGCTGGCAAGGTCTTTGCTTGAATCCTTAGGAAACAGCAATTATTTAAAAACAAACAAATTGCAAGTTATTCTATTGGGCACTGAGCTTCCCTCCCCCTTTTTCTTTAAAGGCACACGAAGACCCCATGTATGATATTATAAGGGAAAATAAACGCCATGAGAAGGAAATGCGGTAAGACTGATTCCTGTTTTAATCTGGGTCCATGCATCCAATAATAACCGCAGTCATAATAGCACTCAGTCAGTCAGTCAGTTTTATTGCACATAGCCAAAGGCTGCTGCAATGTACACAGATAATAGCACTCTATAAAGTGTTTTGAGGCCTCCATTTGCTATAGCAGGGGTCAGTAACCTTTTTCAGCAGGAGGCCGGTCCACCGTCCCTCAGACCATGTGGTGGGCCAGACTACATTTTGGGGGGAAAATAAATGAACAAATTCCTATGCCCCACAAATAACCCAGAGATGCCTTTTAAATAAAAGCACACATTCTACTCATGTGAAAACACGCTGATTCCCGGACCATCCGCGGACCGGAATTAGGAGGCGATTGGGCCCGATCCGGCCCCTGGGCCTTAGGTTGCCTACCCCTGTGCTATAGGAACATAGGAAGCTGTCTTCGCTGCGGAAGACCACTGGGTGCTTCCAGCACTGTACTGTCTGCACTGATTTGCAGAGGCTCTCCAGGGTTTCAGAAAAGGAGACATTTCTAGGCCTACCTGGAGACCTCAGGGATTGAACCTTCTGCAAAGCAAACGCTTTACCAGTGAGTTACACCCCTTCCCCTAATAATAATCCATTTTCAAAAAAATCAGTCTTACCCTCAGGCCAGGGCATGTGTGTGAGTGAGGCTGAGATTACCAGTTATGCATGATGAGGTTTTTTTTAACCCAGGGGAACTTTTGATTCAAAGTTCAGTGTGTCTGCCACTACATTTCAGTAGCTCATCTAATGGTGATGGTTTGAAAAGTTCAGTGTTGCTTTCAAGGGTAGAGACCTCCACTTTTCCAGTCATAATTTCCATTTCCATTTAAGACTACCACCCACCTAAAAAACAAAACTGCAGGTGGTTTGCCCTGCCAGGCAAAAGGGGGAATTTGATCTTGTGTTCATTGGCCATTTGTACATTTAGGATACAACAGTTAAAGCAGCTGCTAGAGGATTCCACTTCAGATGAAGAAGGCAGTAGCAGCAGCAGCAGCAGCAGCAGCAGCAGCAGCAGCAGCTCCAGCTCTTCGGGATATAAAGGAAAACACAAGAGGAAGAGGAAGAGGAAAGAAAAGAAGAAGAAGAGGAGAAAGCACAAATCTTCTAAACCAAGCAAGAGGTCCAAACTGCATTGAGGAGACTTGTGGCAAGCTTGCAATATCTTGCGAAGCATTCGGAGAACAATTCTCTGCAAAGGGCGTGTTTTAGGTGCTCCTTGGTGTCATTTTGTGAGTCGTCCTGTCAGGTCTCCCCCACTGTCCCTCCACATTGAATTTTTCTCATTGTTCAGGTTTGACAAAGTTTGGTACTTTGAGCACAGAGGGCTGCACCTGAGATAAAGAGCCTCTGGTGTCTTAAGTGTTTTTCTCTCCACCCCCTGCAATTTCCCTTTTTGACAGTTCTTGGGCCCTGTTGTTCTCCCCCCCCCCTTCCAATTTCTTTTTAGCCTCCTGAGAGGTCAAAAATTAAATCTAGAATTTTCAGGCAGGGGGAAGCTGCCAGTGGAGAAGCTAGGCACATAGCTCCCAAGGCGTAGAGAAGCGCCCCATGGTATTTCTTGGAGAATATGGAGAAAGGGATTCCTTTAGCGGCATGTAAACAAGGCCTCTGTGGTCCTGGCACAGCCAATACCTGGGCTTTGTTGAAGGAAGACTAACAAGGAATGCCTCTGGCCACTCAGTTTGAGGCACACAATGGGAAAAATTGAGACAACTACAAAGGAACTTGGTGTGACCTTCACTCCAATTGCCTGTACTGCAGTTGACTTTTTATTATTGTACAGAACAGTGTGATTAAACACAGATCACAGTATTGTGGAAACGCGTTTGTTTTCTGCCATTGGAAGAAATGTCTTCATGGCTGCAGTTGGACTTCAATGTAACCATTTTTCCTTTAATGCCAGCCTGTAAAATAGGTGACCCACTCAGCCAAATGCAATGCAGCAGCCTTTTATTACAGACCATGAGGGGCTCTTCAAATCTCCTGTTTGGGCCGTCTGCTTGGAACTGCAGCGGAAGGGGTCGTCAAGCGGTGGAACAGGGTTAGTTGGCTGCATTCATCTTGCAGAATCACAAGCTGTAGAGAACCAGATTTAAAGCTCTCTGTCCCATATGAATTATGGCACAGTTTTGTCTTGTCTGATAATTCCATACTTGAAAGCGTTGTGTATATGATGTAACATAGGGAGCCACAACAAGCCTTTTCTGTTCACAGGGCAAAATGATGCAAATTTTGCATATGATGCCATCTTCAAGCAGTAATTTTAAAGAGGTGTGCTTCATCATACCAAAAGCATATAACAGGATTGGCATTACTACAATTGAAATCTAGACTTAAATTTCAGTTGCGCTTTTTCCTGCAAATATCATTATGCAGAGCACATAAAATAGTTCTGCTGCCCTATGGAACTGAACCCTTAAGCGTTAAAAATAGCCTTGCTACTATGTTTTTTAAATAATAAGCAGCAAACAGGTTGACTGCTAGAAAGATTGCTTGAAAAGCTAAACATTGTCTGTAAATAAGTTAGCAAGATGTATTCTTTTGGGATGTCAGAAAATGTTTGTGAAGTGGTTATAATCAGAATATACTTTTACGTAGCATCACTAGACCATAAATTCAGGTTCTCTTTTGTTAAAAAAAAGAAAAGAAGAGAAACCTTATAAGGGTAGAAATGTTAATATTGTTGCAGCCGATTTCTCAAATAAAAAACTCATTCACCTGTATTGGCTTGAAGATACGTGCCAATGAAAACCAGGTAACAATGAGAGGGCAACAGGAGCGTTTGGGCCACAAAAATTGAAGCAACTCTTGCTGTCCCTGGATTTCACAATGCTTGAGCGAGTGAATAACATCCAACAGAGTTCTTCTGAAAATGGAACTTCATTCAACCCTTAATGAAAGTTTCTCAAACTAAGTTGCAGTTTCCAAACAGAAAACTTACTTGCTTCAAAGTTTGCCATTTCAAGTAAATGTTTGAGGCGCTACAATTAATATTCCGAAGACATCCCATTAGTGCAATTTTAAACTTTTATTTTGGTTAAATGTCAGTTGTGTTATTTACAAAACCAAGTGCCTTTGTTTTGGTGTTCATTTTTTTATACATTTTGTCAGATGTGTGCTCAGAAACCTTTATAGTGCAACTTTAATCTTGCCGAGCCACTTGCAACCGTTAAATAGGACTCATCTGAATGATATCTGGGGTTTACAGTTCAGTTACGATTATCTTCTTTTATAGAGAGATCTCCTTGTTCCACGTCCTGCACAAATGATATTAAAGGAGGTTAATTATTAAGGAGACTCTGCTGCAGGCTCTCTTTTTATCCAATCACATTTTGATGGACACTGACCTACTAAAGGAGTTGTCCGAGATTCACCTGCAAACCTTAGATGAGGCAGAGCCTAAACGTGGGTCATGTGCAGGAGTGATGAGAAAACAATACCTGTTTGGGGGAAGCTCGCAGGACTCCTAAAAAAAAAAATCTGTTCTCAAGAGCTCACCTGTGTGTTCCACACACTTTCTAAATGTTTGACTTGTCCCCAAGTCTTAAGTGTTAACTCAGTGCAAAGCCCCACAAGACAGCCAGTATCGTGGCACAACAGAAACTTGCATCTCACTCATTTTTGCAGCTACAAACTCTCTGTGCAATAGGTGCAATTTAACAGGCAACAGGGCAAAATGCAGCAAAAATAAGGTGAGTTTGCACGAGAAGCTGCCTTATACCATGTCATGACTGATTTGGTCCATCTAACTGGCAGCAGCTGTGCAGGATTTCGGGCAGAGAATACTCCCTGCCCTACCTGGAGGTGCTAAGGATTGAACAAGGTATCTTTTGCATGCAAGGCGATGGGCCCTTCCCAATGCACAAAATACTTTTCCAGCTTGATGAGTCAGAATACAGGCAAAGCTATAGCAAGCTGAGTATACAAAGTCACCTTAGCCAACACCTGAAATCAGGTTGCTCATCTCTTCTACATCCTACAAAGCAGGGCTGGTATTTCAGATATCCATGCTGTAGAGATTATAACATCAAATGGCTTGTATTTGCAACTCAGAAAGTGTCTGTGGCCTCTCTTATCATCAGAGATAAGCCAAATCACTATAGAAAAACACCTGAAGATTCAGATTCATGTGCACTTTCATATTTCCCCAGACCATGTTTCAAATCCGACTTCCTAGGAGCGTCCCATGCACAGATTCACAGTGAAGTTCTCATACTAAGTTTTCCAGTTCTACTGACCAGCAATTTCTTCTGAGAATCTATTCTGGCACCTACACTCTGAAACCACTGGACTAAGTCTTAAAGTAAAGGTAAAGGGACCCCTGACCATTAGGTCCAGTTGTGGTTGCGGCGCTCATCTTGCTTCATTGGCCGAGGGAGCCGGCGTACAGCTTCCGGGTCATGTGGCCAGCATGACTAAGCCGCTTCTGGTTAACCAGAGCAGCGCACGGAAACGCTGTTTACCTTCCCACCGGAGCAGTACCTATTTATCAACTTGCACTTTGACGTGCTTTCGAACTTCTAGGTTGGCAGAAGCAGGGACCGAGCAATGGGAGCTCACCCCGTCGCGGGGATTCGAACCGCCAACCTTCTGATCGTCAAGTCCTAGGCTCTGTGGTTTAACTCACAGTGCCACCCGGACTAAGTCTTAGGTTAGACTTAATAAACCTACCCTTGTGTTGGGTGGCTTTGGGCTTCTCCCATTCTTCAACTTCTATGTCATGTCTTGTGTCTCTACGCTTATGTGGAGGCTTCCGTGCTTTTCTCTTTGGCATGCCTAGAAGCAAGTCACCTGAAGAAAAAGGGAAAAAATATTTCTTCATCCAAAATATACCAGAGTTTGCTCCCGTGACCCCTTTCTCCCTCCCAACCCCTCTCCCTTTTCTATGAAGTCTTATCACAGATTTATCATCTGCTGTTTGGTTGAAGGGAATATGAAAACGCTTTAAATTATACCAGTTTTATTAACCCAGTTTAGACCAGAGAGCTGTTTATTCCCTCCACTGATGAATTAAGATGCATCCCCCTCTCTCCCAACTAACTTGAATGACTGATAAGCTGGGCTTATACTGTTAATACTTTCATGGACAGCTATGGAGAATGGTGTGGATTAAACTCAATTGTAGCAACACGGGCAACTTTCTCTCCTGCTCTGGAGGGTAGGACTCGAACCAATGGCTTCAAGTTACAAGAGATTATGACTAAACATCAGGAAGAATTTTCTGACAGTAAGAGCTGTTTCACAGTGGGATGGTATCCCTTGGGAGGTTGTGGACTCTCCTTCCTTGAAGGTTTTTAAGCAGCGGTTGGAGAGCCATCTGTCATGAATGCTCTAGCTGAGATTACTGCATTGGAAGGGGGCTGGACTAGGTGAGCCTTGGGTGTCCCTTCCAACTCTACAACTCTATGAACTCTTGCCTTGTGTAGATTGGCCCTCAGGATACATTAAAAGGTCAATGAAAATTAAGCGTAATAATAATAATAATAATTATGTATACCCCACCCATCAGGTAGGATTTCCCCAGCCACTCTGGGCAGCTTCCAACAGAACATCAAAATACAATAACTTGTTAAACATTAAAAGCTTCCCTAAACAGGGCTGCCTTCAGATGTCTTCTAAAAGTCTGGTAGTTGTTGTTCTCTTTGACATCTGATGGGAGGGCGTTCCACAGGGCGGGTGCCACTACCGAGAAGGCCCTCTGCCTGGTTCCCTGTAACTTGGCTTCTCACAGTGAGGGAACCACCAGAAGGCCCTCAGAGTTGGACCTCAGTGTCCGGGCACAAAGATGGGGGTGGAGACGCTCCTTCAGGTATACTGGACCGAGGCCGTTTAGGGCTTTAAAGGTCAGCACCAATACTTTGAATTGTGCTCGGAAACATACTGGGAGCCAGTGTAGGTCGTTCAAGACCGGTGTTATATGGTCTCGGCGGCCGCTCCCAGTCACCAGTCTAGCTGCCACATTCTGGATTAGTTGTAGTTTCCGGGTCACCTTCAAAGGTAGCCCCACATAGAGCACATTGCAGTAGTCCAAGTGAAGGATAACTAGAGCATGCACCACTCTGGTGAGACAGTCTGCAGGCAGGTAGGGTCTCAGCCTGCGTACCAGATGAAGCTGATAAACAGCTGTCCTGGACACAGTATTGACCTGCGCCTCCATGGACAGCTGTGAGTCCAGAATGACTCCCAGGCTGCACACCTGGTCCTTCAGGGGCACAGTTACCCCATTCAGGACCAGGGGAGTCATGTGCATCATACTGCATATTTGCAAATACGTGTGTTGTATTAGATACACTGACTTGAGCCCTGTGATGAACTGCAGCTGCATACCGCGTCTACCTTATCTGTGCCAAATCCAGCTTTGCCTATACTTGCTTTATGTGTGCATTCAAGCTGTTGTGTTGACAATGTGTTCTCCCCTCCTTTGGGCCGTAACAGAGATAACAACCAAGTTTAGATGAATTGCTACCAGGACAGAAGAAAGTGCTTTGTGCCTTACATTTAACAGGTGCACTTTCTTAAAACATTTATATAGACTGCCATACCTCTCTCTCTGCTTCTGATTACGGGGAAGTGGTCACCATGTACGAGGCTAGCAAATTTGGGCCTAGCTCCACTTTTCACCCAGTATTCAGCAGATGCAGTCCTCCCACTTTCCTTTTGTAGCCTTCCTGGGCAAGATAAGGAAGAAGAATCCAAGTCAGTCATTGTGTTTCCTGCTGTTACTAGCCTTAATGCTCTCCACCCCCCTTGCCAGCGCCCCCCTCCCAACAAGCCTTCAAGATCATTTAATCCAGAAAGCCTTATTGAACTGAACTCTACCACCGACACCCAGTTTTCTTGGGTTCTGGGCCGAGACATTTCAACCATCAAGTACCACCATCTTACTGTTTTCCCCCACCCACTTGATGCACTGATTTAACTGCAGAGCAGGATCACAACCACATGTACAAAAATCTGTAGCAATAGCAGTCAGGATCCAGGCCACAACTGACTATAAATCAGGACTGGAGCCCCTTTCAAGTTAGTTTTTGATAAGGCATTCAGTCTAGCCTGACTTTTAGTAAAGCTGTTACAAGAATAGATTGCATCAGAAAGACTTTCTAATTTTATGTGCACTGTTTGCGGATTTCATATTAAGTTTTGGATTACATTTATTAAAACCTGATTAAATCCTTATTAAGTAGTGATAAATTCTTCCAAACACCTAAAGAGGCATATCAGTTTGTTTGTATGTATGTATGTATGTATGTATGTATGTATCTGAGTGAGTGACAGAGAGAGAGATACATACATGTCCCGTATTTTTCGCTCTATAAGACGCACCAGACCATAAGACGCACCTAGTTTTTGGAGGAGGAAAACAAGAAAAAAAATATTCTGAATCTCAGAAGCCAGAACAGCAAGAGGGATTGCTGCGCAGTGAAAGCAGCGACCCCTCTTCCTGTTCTGGCTTCTGGGATAGTTGTGCAGCCTGCATTCGCTCCATAAGACGCACACACATTTCCCCTTACTTTTTAGGAGGGAAAAAGTGAGTCTTATAGAGCAAAAAATACAGTATGTATAAACGTACTGAATATACATTGGGACAAGAAGAATGTGGATCCCACATACACCAGTCTATTAAAAGGTACTTTAAAGCTTCAGTTCCTGCCCCCCTTCCAACTGGCAAGGCCCACTGTGTGTGAGAAAATGAATACTGCATGTCCCAACATGCAGGAATGCCACTTGTGTGTTTGCTATTTACCTGAACTCTTTTGTGAATTTCTTCGTGCCTCAAGCACTTCTAGTTGCTGGGACGTAGGCCTCTGAAGCCAGAAGCTGTAGTCGCCAAAGAGATCCTCAACTTGTTCTTGGTCCTTCTTCAGTTTAGTTGCCGTTTTCATTTTATCTTGCACAGGCCAACTAAGGAGGTGTGCTGGCACAGCATTTTTCGGTACTCTCCAGATCACTTGCTGGCCAGTCTGCCTGTAAGGGCAACTTTTGGTGGGGGTCAAGGTTCTTCTGGAGCCTCTTTGATTCAAGTAGTCGTCGTTGTCCTCCTCCTCCTCCTCTTCCTCCTCTTCTTCTGGTTCCTTTACCCAGTATTCTTCAGACTCATCTGCTTCTGATGGAGACAAACTCTTAGTAGCTTTCTTCTTGAGAGACTGGAGATGCCTTTTACTGGAAGTCCTGGGGAGAACACCCAGCTTGCCACTTGGACTGGAAACCTCTTTGATCTTGACCCATGAACTGCCCTTCAGGTTCTGGCTGCAGCTGGTATTGGCCTGTTCCATCCCCACCACTTCCTCATCTTCATTGAGGGAGCCTCCACTTTTTATTTTATCTATCTCCAAGCCTTCGACGCTTTTCTTAAAGGTATACATATTCTGAAGCATGTAGTCAGAAGCAAAATATGACAGTGGTGCATCGTCCATCGACGAGTCTTCATCTCCAGAAGACATCTCATCCGAGGTAAAGCTAAGTACACTCGGACGTTTCCTTCGGGAGAAATGCGGATTGTAATTTGAGTTGGAATCCATGCTGTTTAAGCAAGCTAACCAGCCCTCAGAAGGAATATATTTCTCTGACTCGTCACACCACATGCTTTTTTCTGAAGTTGGCACGTGTTCCTCACTCACATCATTGTGTTCATTCAACTTGCGAGGGAAATATGAATCATTCATGATCTCCATGCCAGATGGAAACAGTTCCCTTTGCCGAACAAGGTTGGACACATCGTGAGGAGTTCTGGAACCACCGAACCTCTTCAAGCCAGATCTTTTCGACATCAAAGCCTCTTGCCTCGCACCTAACTGGTCAGGTCTGTTCTGTTCAGCCAGCTGCACTGTTCTGGCTTCGTCTAGAGGAGACTTTGGCCCATGAGTAGTAGCTCCTTGTTTTTCCAAATCCAGCTTCGATTTATATTGAGGCTCTGTCTCTTGCACATCTTCAACAGCCTCTTGCTCCTCTGGGTAAGAAATGCTCGGCACCAACTCAGTCTGTTCACGAGGCCCATATGCAACGCCTTCGCAGGAACTCATAGCAAACATATCCCTTTGCATTACGTTCTCCGGCACTGGTTTCTTCACCACATCATAAAGAGGAATTGTTTCTTTGAAGGACTTCCATAGTTGAATGGCGGGACCACCACTGTTCCCATACTCTATTCTCACTTCCTCTTTCTCAAAAGCGTAACCTGATGGGGGAAGGCTTCGGAACTGTAAAGAACCTGCAGAGCCCTTGGCAAAGTCTCTCTCTGCAATCAGAGGAGATACAGCCCTCTCTGGCTTTTCCAAAGCGATATCAGCATCTTTACCAACACCAGATGAGACACAGGCCATGTTCCCCATTTCACAGTCTCTCACTTCTATACCATGATCCTGATGTTTTTTCGGTTTGCTTTCAGCCTGCCTAGGGTCAGTCTGAGTTTCTTTGGTCTCTGTTCGCTTCCCGGGATTATAGTGCCTGAAGCGTGTGGCTTGGAAAAACATGGGTGATGAGGGCGGAGGACCATTGAAATAGGGTCTCCTGTTAACTCTCATCTGCATGGGATGCTGTGGAATAAGATATCCGGGATACTCTTGAACAGGAACAGAGTAAAAGGGGAAATATGGGCTCCCACTTCTTAAGCCTAAGAAGAACAGAAACATGCATTTTCTACCAATCTAAGTTTTGCCAAAACAATCTTAAGATTCATTACTTCATAGAAGACATTCAGACCTTTAACAAGACCTACTTTTGATCAGCAAAAGTTAATTGAAATCCCTCTGTGATGTTCAAGGATGAAAGAAGGTTGCATCTATCATTACCAAAGCAACCTCTTCGGGTTGCTTCCGTTCCTTCTTGGCATCATGTAAAGAAATTGGTGTTCTTGATTTCTGCCGCAATATGCACTGAATACAGCAGTTGGGGGAATCAAGAACAGGGTAGCACAAGCAACCGCATTATGCAGGGAAGAGCCCTGTATTTTGGAACCATCTGGGGTGAAGTGTCCCATGTGCTCTGCCCCACTTCCCCCCACCCCCTGGGGACTTTGCAGACGTCAGCTGCCAAAGGGGCAGCACTCAAAACTTGATAAATGCCTGGCTGTGAGGGGTAAACAGCAGCAGACAACAGACCAGCATGGTCTGGAAGGAAGCCCTGTCCTGTCCTATATTTACACAACTGCATTTGCATCACAGCCATTCTGGGGCGCTGAGGGGCATTTGGGGATGACCCAACACCTTCAGTGGATTGGATCACTCTGCTGAGCTATAATAATAATAATAATAATAATAATTTATTATTTATACCCTGCCCATCTAGCTGGGTTTCCCCAGCCACTCTGGGCAGCTTCCAACAAAACACTAAAATACAATAACCTGTTAAACATTAAAAGCTTCCCTAAACAGGGCTGCCTTCAGATGTCTTCTAAAAGTTTGGTAGTTGTTTTTCTCTTTGACATCTGATGGGAGGGCGTTCCACAGGGCAGGTGCCACTACCGAGAAGGCCCTCTGCCTGGTTCCCTGTAACTTGGCTTCTTGCAGCGAGGGAACCACCAGAAGGCCCTCGGAGCTGGACCTCAGTGTCCAGGCAGAACGATGGAGGTGGAGATGCTCCTTCAGGTTACAAACTGAATAGTCATACACTTTTCAGGTTTAGCCTTTTGGGGGATTGGAGTTGCCTAGAGAACATAGGGCAAGGGGCTAGCTTCTCTCCCACTGAGGCAACCATTAATCTTGGGCATGTTCCCAATTTAAAGAGCTTGTGGGTATTTATTTACACCAATTGTTTGTTGGCTCTGGATAGACAAATGAGATGGTGAAGAGACCACCATTTGATTTCTCTAGTTCACCTGGAGTAAGCTTCTTATCATCTGTTCCAGGCTTCCTCAACCTCGGCCCTCCAGATGTTTTGGGCCTACAACTCCCATGATCCCTAGCTAGCAGGACCAGTGGTCAGGGATGATGGGAATTGTAGTCTCAAAACATCTGGAGGGCCGAGGTTGAGGAAATCTGGTCTGTTCAAATGTCTAGCTCTGAAGGGGATCCTTTAGCTCAGGGGTGCTCTCTTATTCCTCCACCCCCTGCCAAGGGGTCAACCTTTTTAGGGTCAGGGGCGGCATTCCCTAGGTTGGAGCCTCACACTGTTGCCAGATAGGTTCAAAGCAAAAGTGAAATAAAGTTTATTGAAATAAAGCAACTTGAGTAATGAAGTATTAAAATAACGGCTATGATAAAATTTGCTTTAGGGTTTTCTTTTTCTTCTTCTTACAGGACAGCATGCAGAAGTTCAGTAGGTGAAGTGTTTTCCATCACTATTGCTTGTTACTGAAAGCTTTACCCATTGCGATTCCTCTGGTGTAAGCGGTTAACCAAGAGGAAGAGAGCACCCCAACATGGCAAAACCACAGTTGTAATTGCTGCAATCATGAAGGCCTCTGTAGAATTCTCTATTATATCACAGATTAAACAAACTAGAACTGCCTTCGCCAACTTGATGCCCTCCAGGTGGTTTGGACAACGCTATTCAGTTCTGACCAGCAGAGCACCAGGTTGGCCAAGGCTGAACTGGGAAATACCAACATTAAATCCAAACCTGAATATGAACTGCAAGACCAATGCTATATAATGGATTCCATTCTTATTTCATCCGTGGCCCAACCTGTACCTCTTCCTCAGCCTTACCTGCTGTAGGGATGCCGTACGGGTTGTACATTGGGCCAAGGAACCATGGATTAGGGAAGGGTTGCTGTGCCGTCGGTTGTGCGTAAAAAAAGGGCCTTTGGTTTGTGGAATAGGGTCCGTTTTCCGAGGAAGCTTTCATTTTGTAGGCTGGAAAACAAAAAAGCAGCACTTTAAAAAACACACACACTGACAAAAACACACATACCACCTTCGTTAAGTTTGTGGATGGCCTGGGTTTTCTGGGGATGAAACAGATTCAACACTCCCCATGGAATGGTGGTTCTGTTACGCATTTAAAGGACTCTGGCAGGGCTCAGGGAACAGGAAACAAATGCTAATTTCTATGTTATCTGGAGAACTTAAGTTGATGGGTGGCTGGGGTCCCACCAGCACTCTGTTCTGCAGTGCAACCGGCTGCCTGTATGCAGTGTAAATGGCTGGGGAAACCCAGCCAAATGGGTGGGGTATGTATGTATGTATGTATGTACGTATGAATGAATGAATAAAATTAAAGGGAAGCAGAGGGAAAGTGGCAAGTAAGGCTGGGGGGGGAGCATGGGCTTGATACCCATTCATCTAGCTATCATTCCCCTGTTCTTTCCCCCCACATTTTTGGACAAAGCCCCCTTAAAGTAGAGAGCCTTAAGGGGGCTTTATGGGACAGGTGGGTATTGACCATTCACTAGGCTCCCTTGTGACCTTAAAGCCATTCTTGCATTTAGGATAAAAACAACTTCAGCCTGACTGATCCCTGCAATGTTCAGAGAACTCTATCATTTATTATTGGAAAAGTCCTCCAAACAGTTTTTTGTGAAACCATGTCCTTAAGCCTCATTGCTCTCTGTGAATCTTATGCCGTAAGTGCTCTATCTGGTCACACAAACATTCAAGCAAATACTCTTTCTCCTACTTTAATAATCACCTTTTCCACACAACCCTGACCATTTTGTGCAAACTGTTGTAGAGAAACCATAAGTATTAGTAGAGACTATGGCCACTGCTTAAATCCAATACTAGAAATGGAAAATGCATATAACTTTGAAAGAATACATTTCACATCGCACAGATACATTATAGCTCACTCCTGTGCAAGCTTACTCAGAACTGATTCCCGTCAATTTCAAAATTTCAGTAGGACCAATTTCAAAGTATACAGGGCACAATGTTGACTCAGCTTGCTTAATGACTAATCAGAAATGGCAGAAGACTATTACAGTGAACACACCCATCTCGATTCATTACAAAGTTCTCTTCTTTCCTTCTAGGCAAAGACACTAAACCTCCCATTACCCCTCAAGTATCATTACTGCTGTTGTCAACATTATTTCTAGGATTTAACACATACACAAAACTTTAGCAGTAAATGCCCACATGATAACTTATCCAGGATACCTCGCTCAAACTAGTTTTGTATTTTTAGAAAGGGGCTGTAAGTTTATAAACATATAAAAAGCAAGACAGGAAGAGAAATATACTTATTCAAAGGTAACAAAAAGCCTACAAACCTCTTCTGAAACCCAGACAGTCCAACAAGACAGAGAATTCTTTCAACAACAGGCCAGCCTCTTCCAGGCCTCCACTAAAGCTCTCACCATCTTTCTACACCTTTCTATAAACCAAGAATCCCCACCTTCCAATTGCTTTTTACTCCTTAAATGCAAGCTCTACGAAGCCAAGTCATTCCTGCCCTTGCTGTATTTGGCCCCAAACCAGGTATCCATGCTGCTGCTGCAACCAAGCACAGCCCAGCAAAGAACTAATTGCTAACACCTCTCTCCTCTTTCTTAAGCACAAGCCATTCCTCAGCACACCACACCTGTAGCTAATTGAGGCCTTTTCTTTAAAGCAACAGGAGACTTACAGCTAACAGTCTGGTCCCGTGCAAATTTGAGTGCATCTAAGTTGATTAATTTCAATGGGCTGATGCACACTTTACTTTGCATAAGATATGGCTGCATGCATTCACCGCCCCTCAACCTATAAAGTTCAGGCTTATTAACAAGGTAGAGACACAGTAAGGCCAGTGACCACTGCATTTCATGTGCACTTTGATCCTGCAAATACTTAGTGCCACTCTGCATCCAGTAAACTCACTCTCATGTCTCCCTTACTCTGCATAGGCTCAGGCTAACAGAACCAGTCTGGGACCCCTTACCTAACGAAGTTACAGTTGCAAGTAAATGGCAAGAAAAGATTGTGGGATATACAGTGGTATCTCGGGTTACATACGCTTCAGGTTACAGACTCCGCTAACCCAGAAATTGTGCTTCAGGTTAAGAACTTTGCTTCAGAATGAGAACAGAAATCGTGCTCCAGCGGTGCGGCAGCAGCGGGAGGCCCCATTAGCTAAAATGGTGCTTCAGGTTAAGAACAGTTTCAGGTTAAGTACGGACCTCCGGAACTAATTAAGTACTTAACCTGAGGTACCACTGTATTTGCCCCCCCTGCTAGGGCCATTAAGGCAGCTTTCCAACAGAATGCCTGACCCCATTCACCCTAAAAAGTCCTACCACTTTGGACTGAGTGCCTCTGAGCATGTGCAAAGCCCCCCTGGGGGAAAAATGAAGTTTCAATGACCTAGTGTCGAAAGCTCCCCTGTGCACGTACAGACTTTCCTTCATGGAAAGGATGCTCACTCTGCTATTGGGGATCTGGTGTCCTACACCTTGCCTCCAATTCAGTCTGCCTGCCTAAGATGCTGATTGTTTCACTAGCTCTCATCTGCTGAGAGAGCATAGGGTAAAATAGGGTAAATACTGACTTAACAGAATGCAAGGTTCCATGTAGGCAACAGAGAGACTGAAACACATCCTGCAGTCTGGCTCAATACCACCTCCAAAATGGCCTGTTTCTTTCCCCTTAAGGACAAGAAGAAGAAGAGTTTGGATTTGATATCCCGCTTTATCACTACCCAAAGGAGTCTCAAAGCGGCTAACAATCTCCTTTCCCTTCCTCTCCCACAACAAACACTCTGTGAGGTGAGTGGGGCTGAGAGACTTCAAAGAAGTGTGACTGGCCCAAGGTCACCCAGCAGCTGCATGTGGAGGAGCGGAGACGCGAACCCGGTTCCCCAGATTACAAGACTACACCACACTGGCTCTCAAGAGAGCTCTCAAGAGAGAGATGCAAAATGTATCTCAGTGGCACAGCAGCGTGCATGGAATGCATTCAAAGCATGATGCACGTGCACTTGTTCCACACAATTTGCTGCTCACTGTCCCAAGGTGGGACACATTATTGTGCCGGTGTGAATTATGGCAATGCACAAACAGGAAGCAGCAGCAAACGTGGTTAACATGGGGAGTTTTCTGGAGCATAGCCTTCCACCGGTACCTGCAGTCAGCTAAGAAGGTAAAATAACTGGCCAGGGCTGTAATCCTCTGGCTACTTACCTCAGAGAGGAAGACACTTTGAATGGATGGGGCTTACTTCAGAGTAGGAGAAAATACATATGTAAATTCAGTGCTTTCCCCCCTGAAAAAATGCCTAGGGGTACTCTCATTTTCCTACTCATATTGAAATACTGCCCCTCAATGAGGCTAAACTTAGATTCACAAAATGTTTAATAATAATAATAAATTTTTATTTATACCCCGCCCTTCCCAGTTTAAAAATCGGGCTCAGGGCGGCTAACAGCAAATATAAAACATTGATTAAAATGCGACTTAAAAACAGCATAAAACAGCATAATATACAACATAAAATGCTGCATCAATATCAATAAAATTCAAAAATTCAGGGGTCATTTTTTTTGGGGGGGGGACCCAGTCAGTAGACATCAAATGATCACCAGGGTTAACTGGCCAAGTTGGTCCTACTAGGGCCAGCAAGGAGACCAGGGAAGAATTTAAATGTGGGGTCCCAGAAAGGGTTTCTTCATAGAAGAGGAAAGGGAATAGAGGATCAGGCTAATTCAGATTGAAGGCCAGGTGGAATACCTCTGTGTTACAGGCCCCGAGGAAGGAGATCAAATCCTGCAGGGCCCTAGTCTCGTGGGACAGAGCATTCCACCAGGTTGGAGCCATCACTGAAAAAGCCCTGGCCCTGGTGGAGGATAGCCTGGCTTCCTTAGTGCCTGGGATCTCTAAGCTATTATTCATGGACCTTAGGGTCCTCTGCAGGACATACCAGGAGAGGTGGTCCCATAAGTACAAGGGTTTAGGGCTATGCGTACCCTGCGTCCCCCCAGGGGAAAAAACCACTGTGTAAATTTATGGTCTGCTGGCAAGCCCCATAGAAACATTCCCTGCATATAGAATGTAAATAATGCACATTAGGTTTGTGGTTTATAACTGTTTGCATATGGGTAGCTGGGGACACCTCCCCGGTGTCCTGCGTACATGTAGAATACGGTTTCAAAACCGTCGTTTGTGTTCCTGAGGGCAGGAAAGATGCTTCCTTAGTTATTCCCCAAGGGCGACTCTCACAAGCATTTCTTGCGCCTTCCAGGTGGCACCAGGCGGCTGCAGTTACATCAGCCGGCCGCCAGGGGGCGCAAAGCAGGGAACAGCCTCTTCCGCCAGGCGCCCGAAGGCGCGCTGCAAACAGCGCGCTGCATTCTGGGAAGGAGCCTCTTTCCCCGAGAAGCGGCGGCGGTAGGGTGGAGCGAGCTGCGCGCGCGCACGAAGGGAGAAAGGCCGCGCCGGGCGGAGGCGGCCCTGCCCATGCGCGAAAACATTTCCCACCCACACACCCAAGCTCCGCCTCCTTGCCATTTCTCTCTCTCTCTCCCCCGCCCGCGTCGTGCTCCCCTCCCTCCGAGCATGCGCCGGAGGGCGGGCTCGAACGCCGAGAGGGTGCGCCCGCGCGCGCTGCGCTCCTTTCAACGGACGTCGGGGCGGGCAAGCAGGCGGGCGGGCGGGCGGAGAGCGAGGTAAGGCCTCCCGCGCGTGCGCAGCCGCCCTGTGTGTCCCTCCGCCCCGGGCCCCTTTCCCTCCCCCATCCACCTCCCCCCCCCCTCACCTCCTTCCGCTTTCCTTTTCGCCCCGGAGGATCCTGAGGGGAGGAAGGCGACGCGGGAGGGGAGAGGGTGGCGCAGGTTTGTGAGGGGCGTCTGTACTGTGGGAGCGGGTGACGGGATGGCGAGCAGCCGCCTCCGGTATCTCCTAGGCCTCTGCCCGGGGGGGGGCCCTTCCGTGACAGGAAACGCGCGCGACCCCCCTCAAGAAAACAAAATCCGCCATTCCCCCCCCCCCCACGCGTTGGCCTGGACAACCGCCTTCGGGGAGCGGCCTGGGCTCCTTCCTGGCCGGGTTGAGGGTGGTCGGCGCCGGCTTCCGCGGACGGTGATGGGGGGAGAGGAGGAGGAGGAGGAGGAGGAGGAAGGCCGCGGGGGTGTGAGGCGCCTGAACGACGGGCGAGAGCGACGTGTGTTTGTGTCAGTGTGTTGTTCTCGGGGGCCCGCGCGCCGTGAACGGCTCTCCCCCCCCCCCCGACTGGAGAGTAGGTGCTTCCGGGGGGGATTTCCCGCTCAGGGCCGCCGCAGCGGCGCATCCACCGCGCCTGCCGCCTCCAATGTCACGCTTCGGCTCTGGGCAGCGGGCGCCCAAGGTCTTTGTTCAGAAGGGTGGGCGGAGGGGTTGCTGTTTCTCTTTTGGGGTGGGGGGTGCGAGGCTTTGGGGAGGAAGGGGTGTTGTGGTGGGTGTGGAGGTGAAAGCTGATGAGTGGGCCTGGCCTGGCTTAGCATCGCATCCAGGTGAAGCCATGCCTTGCTGCATCCTGACGCCGCTGCATAAAAATACAGTGGTACCTCGGGTTACATACGCTTCAGGTTACAGACTCCGCTAACCCAGAAATATTACCTCGGGTTAAGAACTTTGCTTCAGGATGAGAACAGAAATCGTGCAGCGGCGGTAGGAGGCCCCATTAGCTAAAGTGGTCCATCAGGTTAAGAACAGACCTCCAGAACGAATTAAGTTCTTAACCCAAAGTACCACTGTACTGGTTTTGGGTTGTCATCCTTACAGAGCTGCTATTTAGAAACACACCTTGTTCCCCTCCCGGGATGAGAAAAGCAGGTGGGGTTTTTTTGACACCACAGCCTCCTAGCGGAAAGAGGTTGGCGTCTCTTAGCAGAGAGGGTGAGGATGGGATTCCGCTCCCCCTCCTCCCCCCAAAAATGAATTGTAGGTGTAAAGTTACAATTAATGATGCTGAAATGGAGGTACTTAATTGAAGCTGAGCAACAGACTCCTTCTGCTTCTTCGGTTTTAATCTTGATCTCTCTCTCTCTCTCACTCACACACACACACACACACATAAATTTAATGATGATTTATATTGGCTTGGCATAATTATATAGTTGCATTGTGAACTTGGCATGTAAATGGATGTTGGGGTTGTAATGTTTTGAGAATGGTGATCAGGTTACTTTTTCACCTGTTCTACATAGAACAGATGCAAATTTTAACTACTGAGTTGAAGTAACAAGTTCAGTCTTTACAGAGGTGTAAAGAAATACATTGTGCATTTGATATAGCTGTTGCTGCAAGAATTTTTTTGTGGGGGGAGGTAGGGAGTGGGCATGGCATCATAGGGCTTGCTTGGCATTCTTAATTTTGCCAGGTTTAGTGACTGGTGCTATTGCTGTTCCCAGGGGCTCATATTTCAGCAATAGTATGTGTTTCTGTGCTGGCACTACAATTCATATTGAGCTTTAATTGATATCTTACTTTTTAACAGCGATTATTGGCTGGGTTAATAACCGAGGATCAGAAGGACAATTCATACAGCTTAATTTCAGATGATGGTGTTTTAATAAAAATAATATAAAGTGCAGTCCTGTATATAGGCTTTAAAAGAAAAATAGTTTTGAATAGGATTGTGTGTGTGATTTATAACACATCTTGCAATTCTTGTTTAGAAATCAGATTTCTCTTGATCTGAAAGACTGAAGGTTGGAGAGTTCAATCTTCCACAGTCATCCTATTTGGAAATTTGAAGTGTATGCCATTTAGAGTGTATGCCAGTATAATACTTACAGAAACTACCATAAGCAGGGCTTTTTTTAGCCAGAACTTGCCAAAACTCAGTTCTGGCACCTTTCAGGTGAACACCGTTGCCATTATGAGAGAACAAGGGAGGCGTTCAGGGTGAGCACCAGCACTTCTTTTTCTAGAGAAATAGCATGGACCATAAGAATAAGTGATTGGTGATGGTAGTGATCAGAAAAGATGTCGTTTGGTATTACAGAGGGATCCGAACTGAAGTTTGGTGCAGCTGAGCAGCCTTGTTAAGACATGGTTGAAAGAGTAGCGTTTGAGATTTGTAGGTGTATGGGAGTAGCTGAAATAAATGTTGTCTAAAAGTTCAAAATAAGTTCAATGATACGGGAAAGTAGTAATATGTATTATATAAATGTAAGCTGTGTTGACAGAGATAAGTTGGACAAGTTTCTGAAATGAAGCCACCAAATTGTGTACAAGTTTTGATAGGATGTACTGTAACTGGTTAGGCCACAGAACTCCCAGAAGAGATTTAGAGATGTAGTGGCTGTCTGTGCATGAGCCAGTAGTTGGTGCTGTCACAGTATAGTTCTAATAAAAGAAGTATTTCCAAGACTTTAGGAGTAGTAGTATTTGGCTACATTTGAGCTTTGGTATTCTTTTTTCCTTAGTACTATGGTTTAAGAAGGATGTTTGGAGGGAATCAAAGGAGTATGTATGTTCTACTTGTATTTAGTAAACAAGCTAAAAACTTTGAAACTGCCAAGCTTGCCTAATACTGTATTTGTAGTTGGCATCCACCCATTGTTATTAATGAAGTTAAAAAAGAGAAAATTTTTGACAGAAAAATAAAGCACTGGAATTTTTTCTTCTCCACATCACTGCTAGAAAACAAATAGTATAAGCAAAGGTTGAAAGCATTTAGCTTTCAAGTTATGGAGACCTTGCTGGTGTTTAATGGGGAAACGTTAATCTTGATTGGGAACAGGCTAAGAACCATCTGCCCTTGAATTGGAAAGTGGCTTGCCATGACAGTGAGCCCCACTTTCTCAGTGGTGATGGCAGTATTAGAAACTGAGATATGAAAAGTCAGGAGCTAAATGGCACCTTATACCTAGGTTATGGGCACAACAACTGAATGTCTAGGCACACTTTTTTATAACAAGAATACAAAGCTGAAACTGAGTGAACTGCAGCTAAAATATTATGTCCATTTTTCACATAGTATAGTCCTTTCCCTGCTCACCCCTCTAATATTCTTAAGAGGGTCTTTTCTCCAATCTTCGGAGAGTAGCTGGAAGTTGGGAGACAAAAAAAGGTCCTCTTTTCCTTCCACTCTGCAGTTTTAATCTGAAATCTTCGGCATAGTACTGCGCCCAGAGCTCAGAAACTGTTTGCACTAATGAAATTCCCTGTCGCAAAATGCGCCTAGAACAATGGGAGATTTGAACATTGGGTGGCGATCTCCCCCACAGTTGGAGTAAACTTGAACCAGAGAGGACAGCTAGGATAGGCTGCTGAGATTCTCATAGCATCTCTATTACCCAGTGCAAAAACATGGGCCACCCTTTCTGTCTCCACCAGTGTTAGAAACTGGGATAGGAAAGCTATTCTCCACATGACGCCTGGTTGTGTGTGTCAAAAAGAATGGGAAAAGGTAGTCTGACAGTAATGAGCCAGTAGGGCATAAGAAGTGGTCGTAGCCCCCTCTGTAGGATTGCCACGTGCGTAAACTAAAATACTTGAACGTGACATTGCAGATGTAGTTTCATCTTGATTGAAATCTGTCTCAAATAATGTTAAATATGTGAAATTAGGTGGTACCTCTCAACTAGCCTAAACAGAATTGGAGAAATGTTTACTGTGTCACAGAGATCACAAAGCTTCTGTGGTATAGATAAAATCCAGAGTCCAATGACATTTGTGGCCAGGTTAAATATTGTGAAGAGAGACAAAAACTTGATCCATTATTGCAATGATTAAAGAGACATTGCCAGTACTAGGAGAGGGAGGACCATTTAGGACCACAATAGATGGGTTTAATAACATTTCTGCGCTGCTACTCCTATCCAATGCTTCATTTTAGTTCTGGGCATTCTTAAATCATCAGAGGAGTTGAGAAGGCATCAAATGTGTTCTTCACTGTTAGTCTTTGCATTTATAAATGGCCTTCATAACAGCAACTTTATGGTTTAAAGTAGCATACCAAACAGTGCTCTAGGCAGACCAATGGTAGAACAGGCTTAGAAAAATTGCTGACATGATTTTTTTTTCTTCTAGTCACAAGTGATTGAGAGATGGTTCAAGAAAATCTACCTCACAAATTGCATTCATTTGCCCATGAACTGCATCACTGGAAATCTGAACAGGAACTTGGCGGTCGTTCTTGAAAGTCTCAGGCGAACGGATGGACACCAAGTCAGTTTATTGCATCCAAGGAGTGGGTTGCCATCTGAAGTATTGATTCAACAGTCCAATCTATCATTGCTGAATGTCTTAATAAAGTTAGCAAAGGATTCAAAATATCCCTTGTAGTTTCTTCTGAGTTCTTCAAAAAATGGTTGCTTGACCTCTTTCCTGCTGAAGTAAAGTGGCTTCTATAACCTGTTTCTGGAAATATTAATGGAATGCAATCATGTCTACCCAGGAAGAAAGGCAGATCAATACGGAATATGCTGTATCCTTACTGGAGCAGTTAAAGTTGTTCTATGAACAGCAGTTGCTAACTGACATTGTTTTAATTGTTGAGGGCACTGAATTCCCATGCCATAAGATGGTTCTTGCTACATGCAGCTCTTACTTCAGGTATGTGATTAAAGTAGTGTTATTTCTTCCATTAAAATGTATTCTGTTCATCTCTTATGTCTAAGACTACAGTATATAATATAATTTTAAAATGGTTCTACTGGGTAATTTGAAGCGAATGGAGTTGTGGATGTGGAATAGCTAAACGGGGATGTACAGTTACTTTGATGGCTTCACAAAGTGTGGAATATCTATTGTAAGAGTGATGTTTGGGTGCCAAACATGACATTTGCGTTATGGAGGGAAGCTTGGTTAATGAAAACAAGGTCTGAAATGTCTCCAGCTCAATTTCACAGAAGGAGAAGGAGGTTTTTCTTTTTACAGTTTTGAGGTTTGCAAAGTTTTTTCTTTTTGAGCGGGGGGAAGAGAGACAACTGTCCCTCTTGCCCTAGAGTTGAGTGTGAACAGATCTAAAGTGTGTGTGCGTGTGCACATGCTTGCAAAATCCCATTGCTCTGTTGTGTGTTAGGAAATAAGGAGGCATGGAAATAGAATACTCACATGAAATAAGAGCATGATTCCACTATTCCATGATTCCACTCTTCCATGGCAGGTTAGGGAGAAGAGTGCAGTCTGCTTACAGGAGTAGCCAGTGGGGCCCTCCAGCTGTCGTGGACTGCAACTTCCATCAATCATTGTTTACAATTTGCCATGTGTATGTAGTCCATAATTTACAGAAAGCATCGCACACTGGCTACCACTAATCTAGAAGACTTAGGCGAGCTCGAGTGCAAATTGACCATGGGGAATATGCCCAGAGTTCTGGCTCAATATCTGCTGTGATGTTTATTGTACAAGAGCAAAATAACTTGTGCAACTAATATCTTTATAAATAAAAATATCTTATACATATTGTAGAAGATGTTGGGACATGCTGCATTTTCCATGTGCTTTGTTCCATTGTGTATTTGAAACTTCTGGTATGGTTGATATCTCAGTGAGTATTAATGAAATGAAATAAAAGCACAGTATCAGTGGCTCCTCTTGGCTTTCAGTTGTGCTATGTGTACCAAGACATACTGGCAATTCCAGACCTTTTGAAAACTTGAAACTTGTCCCAAAACGAAATGATTTTCACACCAGTAACATGGAAGTACTCAAGGAATACTAACATCAAACTAATTTAAATTTTATGCCTGTGTGTCTCTGGTGACTGCATGAAAGATGAAGTTAAAATTACTAGAAAGTTGCAAATGAGTGTGAAATACTCAAATGAAACTAGTTTTAACTACAGGAATCTGCAATTTTGTGTATGTACGACTAAGTGTTCTGGTGCTTACTACAAGCCATTGACTGATGTCAGAATGTGTTTGACCAAAAAAAGATTTTGACCATTGACAGTTGTTCTAAACAGGAGATTTCGCAAGTAATAACTCTTTTTATACTTTAAAGAAGGGCAGAATGGTTGGATTTCAGTCAGCATTGCTCTTATGGGAGAGATTACATACCATATTTTTCCATGTATAAGACAACCCCTATTTTTTTGAACCCAAAATGAAGAAATCTGAGCCTGTGTTGCCAGAGCCTAGACCACCTGAGCCCGGGTCTCCCCCACCAGAGCCTGAACCCAAGCCCAGACTGCCTGCACCAGAGCCCAAACACAAACTTGAGCCCAGGCTGCCCACACCAGAGTCCAAACCCCTGTGTATACAGCCCTGCGTATAAGATGACCACCAATTTTTGACTACTTTTTTAAAAGCAAATTTAGCTAAACATAGTCTTATACACTGAAAAAGATGGTATATGTGCTTAATGTAACCTAAACACAGAGGAAGTTCATATATAGCATTTATTAATATGTTTTCTAAACTGATTTGTACCTCAATAAGATCAGGGAGTCCACTTGCACACAAACTGGACAGTAGCTTATCCATGAAACTGGATGTAAATAGTGTGAAATCCCAATCCTTGGAATGCAGCCTTTGTGAACCATTTAATAGTTTTGAATGCTCTTATATGTACTGAATTTTATCCAGCTCCAGGCTTCAAAGAGTTGGAGAAAGTAAGATAGAAGCTAGAAGTTAATGTATTTTGTTTTATCTTTCAGGGCTATGTTTATGAGTGGGTTGAGTGAAAGCAAGCAAACGCATGTCCATCTAAGGAATGTGGATGCAGCCACTTTGCAAATCATAATAATTTACGCATACACGGGTAATTTGGCAATAAGTGACACTACAGTCGAACAGCTTTATGAAACGGCTTGCTTCTTACAGGTAGGAATGTTATATGCTAACTTTTCTAAGACACTTTAAAAAAGGTATCTTTCTGAATATTTAACTTTTTATTTTCTTTTACATTTAACAGAAACTGTCATGGAATTATTTGCATTTTCTGCCCTAATGGTGCTACTATAAACTAATTACAATATATTTCTATTTGGTTCAAATGAGTTTGCTCTCCATTCCATACTTCTAGAATTAAGATGTAAAATTGATGTATTGATATAGGGCAAGGATAGCTAACCCTCAATTTGAATTTGCAGTATAATTAATTTTATATATTTAATTTGTTAACCTCTTTACAACCAAAATGCAATATATAACAGACCAATTAAAAATAATGATACACATTAAAGTGTTTAGCCACAGAAGCCATTATAAAACACAAATATCCCTCCCACTAATGGCCAGATACATACCTAAGTACACTAACTTAAGGCCCACATGCCTGGGATAATAAAATAATGTCATAGCACGACACAGAAGAGATATTGGTGAACTTCCCTAGGGAGAGCATTGTACAACTGAAGCACTAGCGCAGAAAAGGTTTGATGCCACCCTCCAAACATCTCTTGTAGGAGGCACACAGGGGAAAAATTTTATATGATAATTTCAAGAGTCTGGGGAAGCTTATAAGGGGAGTGATAATCTAGAGGTACTTGAGTACATTGCAACATTCTAGGGTAAGGGGCAGTAGTGCAGTAAAAGGAAGTGGAACCTCCCAGATTTGCATCTGTTGCCTTGTTAGGGACATCATTACTGAAATTCTTTGGAGACTGATGTTTACAGCTAACAGTAGAATGACTGTATTAGCCAGTGAACTAGCAGAAGGTTTGATTCAGCTTTTTCTGTTCATTGCCATCCCTGCAGAAATTGGAGCTGTCTGATACCTAGTGAGGTGGGAAAGCAGGGATTTTGTTTTGTTTTGAGGTATGTAACAATTTGAGCAGCAATAGGGAAAACCTCTCTCCCTATTATCTACAGAGATAAATAGGGAAGACCCCTGATCACTGAAAGATGGTCAGTTTCTTCAGTAACCAATAGACTTTGGCCTTTGCAGATGAACTGAGGCACTTTCCCCCTTCCTTTCCTTTTTGTGAACAATGGTATGTTGTAGCCAGTATGTTTAGGCACGTTCTGTAAATGATCCCTTCACCTTTGTTCAGTAGAAGTTGTTTATTCATTTCATTTCATTTCTATACTGCTTAAAATATAAGAAAAAATCTCAAATCAGTTTTCAACCTACATTAAAACATCAAAGAAAGTATTACTCTATAAAGCATTACAAAAGAAGCTCAAATGCAAAATATACAGTCAAAGCAATGTAATTAACAGGAAACTAAAATATTTTCTTAAAGATTTCAAAATAAGACATTACGAAGGAAGGTGAAGTATAGAATACACATTTAAAACACCATAAATGGCAAGAGAATAAAATATTATCTTAAACATAGAATAAGTTAAGGAGAGGTTGCTTTTATAGAAATGTAGGGAAATTTGTTTCTTTTCCTGTTTCTTTTTCTTTTCTGTTGACCTTAAATATGAAGCTAATGTAAGCATTGCATTGTTTTTTATTGCAGGTAGAAGATGTGTTACAGCGTTGCAGAGAATACTTAATTAAAAAAATAAATGCAGAGAACTGTGTGCGGCTGTTGAGCTTCGCTGATCTTTTCAGCTGTGAGGAGCTAAAACAGAGTGCTAAAAGAATGGTAGAACACAAGTTCACAGCTGTATGCCACCAGGAGGCTTTCATGCAGCTCTCACATGACCTGTTGATAGATATTTTGAGTAGTGACAACTTAAATGTGGAAAAGGAGGAAACCGTTCGTGAAGCTGCTATGTTATGGCTGGAATACAACACAGAATCTCGATCACAGTATTTGTCATCTGTTCTTAGCCAAATAAGAATTGATGCACTTTCTGAAGTTACACAAAGAGCTTGGTTTCAAGGCTTACCGCCGAATGATAAATCGGTAGTGGTTCAAGGATTATATAAATCTATGCCGAAGTTTTTTAAACCAAGACTTGGAATGACTAAAGAAGAAATGATGATCTTCATTGAAGCTGCTTCTGAAAACCCTGGTGGTCTTTACTCTTCAGTTTGCTACAGCCCACAGGCTGAAAAAGTTTACAAGCTCTGCAGCCCTCCTGCTGACTTGCATAAGGTTGGGACGCTTGTAACTCCTGATAATGATATTTATATAGCAGGGGGGCAGATCCCATTGAAAAATGCAAAAACTAACCACAGTAAAACGAGCAGACTTCAGGTTGCCTTCCGAACTGTGAATTGCTTTTACTGGTTTGATGCCCAACAAAACACTTGGTTTCCAAAGAGTCCAATGCTGTTTGTTCGTATAAAGCCATCCCTAGTTTGCTGTGAAGGCCACATCTATGCAATTGGAGGAGACAGTGTAGGTGGAGAGCTCAACAGGAGAACTGTTGAAAGGTATGATACTGAGAGAGATGAATGGACAATGGTAAGCCCACTGCCCTGTGCGTGGCAATGGAGTACAGCTGTTGCTGTTCATAACTGCATTTATGTAATGGCGCACAACCTGATGTACTGTTACTTCCCCAGGTCAGATGCTTGGGTTGAAATGGCTATGAGACAAACTAGTAGATGCTTTGCTTCGGCTGCTGCTTTTGGGGATAAAATATTTTATATCGGAGGCTTGCACGTTGGCAGCAACTCTGGTATAAGACTCCCTACTAGCACTGTAGATGGGTCTTCCGTTACTGTGGAAGTTTATGATGTGAATAAAAATGAATGGCGAATGGCAGCCAACATCCCTGCCAAACGATATTCTGACCCCTGTGTCAGAGCTGTTGTAATTTCCAACTCCTTATGTGTCTTCATACGAGAAACCCACATGAATGAGAGAGCAAAGTATGCCACCTACCAGTATGATATGGAACTTGACCGGTGGTTCTTGCGCCAGCATATATCTGAACGGGTGCTCTGGGATTTGGGGAAAGACTTTCGGTGCACTGTGGGAAAGCTATATCCATCTTGCCTTGAAGAATCCCCATGGAAGCCTCCACCGTATCTCTTTTCACCAGATGGAGCTGATGAGTTTGAGATTGATGGAGAGATGCTGACACTGCCACCTGTATAGCTCCCAAAATTAAGAGACTGCATGCCTATAACTGGTTATCATGAAAACTCTTTGAGAGAACAGGGCTGGAATATGAAACAATAAGCTGTCTTGTATGTATGCCCTATTTAACATTTTGTGGCCATTGAGTGTAAATCGGTGGAATTTATAAGCAGATATGCTTCCATAATCTGAAACAATCCCTCTGGTAGCTGATGGGATCTGTATGTATATTGCAAGCTTAAAGCATCTGCTTATTGTCTAAATTTTTAGTCTTGTGAAGACTTTTAGTTCAGGAAACTTTCACAAAAGCAGCTTCTATTTCTAGGATGGTATGTTAATTGCTCAAAGTATCTTCCAGTTATATTTGAGTGAGTTCTGGAAATCTTTGTATGTGCTAGTTATTATAGATTGTGTGGCCTAATGGAATGTGCTACACCTATTACACAACAGCCGTGTTGGTATAATAATGCCATGTAAAGAGAGAAACAAATCCCATGGATCTACCTGTGGTAGGAAGGGTAGATCTTCCAATTTACGGTGACATGCAGGGCAAAATGACTGCAGGCTCAGTCAAGCTGTATTATTATTATTATTTTATTATTATTAGGTGCATGTATTTTCACTAACTTATACCTGTCTATTTAGAATACAGGTCTTCCGAGCAGCTGGTAGTTTGCCAGGTGTGAACTTACGTTGCTGGGCTTGCAGTAAGAATTGCCAGCCCTACCTAGTGCGGGTCTGTGTGGAGCTTTTGCTCAGTAAACAGTTCCACATTCTGTATTTCAGAAACAATGGCTCATGCATATTACTTCCTGCTGCTTATGTCCCCCTGCCCCAATGTTAACCAAGATATAGTGTGGATTAACCAGGTTTTTATTTTTGTTAATTTAATAACAAGCATTACTGTAGTGTGACTGTGTATAGATATCCCTTAGTTGTCTCTCTTTTGTTTTTGTTTTTTGGGGGGGAACAATTTTTTTTTTCCCAGGAATACTCTGTGCAGGAGAGCAGTTCAGTAGTGCTGCTCTGGCATTAATCCCAGGAACCACTAGCAGTAGCGGCGCGCCGCCAATCTTACATGAGCACAGGTGCTTCATGATGGATCATACTAGCATGTTCAGCTGCATCATGTTCTGGCACTGTATTTTGAATGATATTAATTTATTAAAAAAAAAACCTGAGTCAAAGACTTGTTTCCCGCGTTTTCTGCAAGACAGTATCTTCCCTCAAACTGTTATGTCAAAAAAAAATAATAATCCTCAAACTCTTGATGTCAAAAAATATTCTGGTACTGGGTGGCTCAGTAAATTAGGCGCAACAGGAAGTGCAAGTGCCTCATGTTCCAAAATATTCCAGAGAGGTAAGTTACAGTATACAAGTTTGTTTTCCTCTGAGGGCCACAAGGTGTAGAGGGGGCAGATGATGCTGTACAGTGCACTCACTACACTTTGGAATCATAGGCAAGGTGCTGAAAATTGTATTTAAAATGCATGCTTTCTGATAGCTGGTTCACACGTCATGCTAAGCCAAACAGTGGCTACATGTGAGTGTGCGGTCTTCCAGGGAGATGGTGCCTGGCTGGCTGGCTCACTCACTCACTCACTCACTCATTGCATTGCTGCTGTGCCGTTCTGAGACCAAGAACAAACCTTGGTTTAACTCCAGATGTAACCATGAACTGTAACCAAGATTTGTTCTTGATTACCTTTTGTCCACGACAAACCAACCACGAGCCCAGGTTTGGATAGCATGCTAAGACAAACCATAGCTTGGCTGAACATGGCACAAAACAGCTGGTGAGGAGTGAAGTGGCCACAATCATCTCCCTAAGCTTTGTTTTGGCTTAGCATGATGTGTGAACCAGGCCACTGTTAAAGCTTGCATAGTTCTTTTCAGTAGCTGAAAGATTCTTGTCCAGCACTTTTCTGCCAATTGTTTTTGGTAAAAAAACTGAACCTATTAAAAAAAAAAAATCCCACCTCCAACTTGTTAAAATAAGGTTGGCTTTGCTTCTAAACGTAAGTTGAATAGTCATACCTTGGATCCCAAACGCCTTGCAAGTCGGAACATTGTGGCTTCCGAATGCCGCAAACCTGGAAGTGAGTGTTCTGGTTTGCAAACGTTCTTTGGAACCTAAACGTTCCACTGGCTGCAGGAGCTGCAGTCAATCGGAAGCCACGCCTTGGTTTCTGAACGTTTTGGAAGTCGAACGGACTTCCGAAATGGATTCCTCTTGACTTCTGAGGTACCACTATAAATCTGTCCTTCTAACAGGAGGAAAGATTATTCAGGAATTTGTAACTAATACTAACTAGCCAATAGGTTTCTTGGAAGAAAACAGTATAGGAAAGAAATACTGGAGGAAATTATTATCACATTGATTGCAAGTTCGTGAAGATAAACAAGTAACTGGTTTGTATTTTTTATGAAGATGGTTTTGTTCCTGTAATATCAGTGCACCTAACCTGTGGTCTAGATTGGATCAGTTTCTTTGAGATTTTGCTCAGTGTCAACTGAATGTCTTGGGCAACTTTAACAAGGAGAAGAAAACATTATGGATTCATGTTTGGTATTTAGAATGTCAGCTGTAATTTTGATTGCAGCAGGTGAAAATCAGGGCCATATAATTAAAAGCTACTGCTGATTTGCATGAGGCAGATAATTTTAGCACACTCTTGAAAACAAACTGGTATGAGAAAGTCATGAGTGAAGAGAGTTAAAACACGAATTCCCATTTTTAAACCACCAAAATTAGTCTGATATAGCTGGCAATGGGGAGGGCCTGTTCACACTTGTTCGTGTTTCTTGCCTCTATTTCTCTTCCCCTGTCTAGGTTGTGAGAGAGAGCAGGTCTCAAGCTTTTGCGGTTCAAACTGCAAGTAAACCCTTGTGCCAAACAAGTTACATTCAAGCAAAACAAGAACAATCTTTATTTTCCTTAGAACAAAATATACAGCAGAAGCATTAATAGTCTTTTGAACATAGTAACCTATTTTTTACACATTGATGATGGATGAAATACCTAATATTTACCAACCCTCCTCTTCCAACAGGCTGGTAGCAGTAAAAACCATATGGAAATAAACTTAGGTGTCATTTCACTTAAACCATGATTAGATAACTGATTTCAGGTTTATGTCTCAAAACCAGCCTTGAATGATTGATATTAATTTGTTAAGTGGTATAGAAACTGGAATAGAGGTATTTCTAGTCTATTTCATACTGTAATATGATACACATTTCCAAATACTTGTAACATTTAAAAAAATATAAAAATCAGTTTCTCTACTGTGCATGATGCAAATATATACGTTTGTAATAGGGAGCACCAGCACATAAAACAGCCTTACAAAATACCAAGTTAGCAGCCTGATTCTAAACACTTGTGTGGGACAAAATGTTCAAACACCAGCATAATACTCTTTCAGCAGCCATAAAGCACTGTACTATGCAGTATGTTGGCACCAGTCAAGGTGTTGCATCCTGAACATTTACTTGCTTGTGGAGCAAGTATTAAGATCATACTGTTAGATATAACTCGGGGTGGAGGTGTTCCTTTGGGCTGGGCAATGCTTTTACATTTGGAAGGGTATTTTTTAAATTTTACTTTAACATCCTCTTGCCATTTTCTATAGAACAGCACATGTATTATTTGAATTTGAAGCACTTCATGTTCTTAATTTGGCTTTAGGTCACATCAACCTCATGTGCCCTATTACGGGCAGAATTTGCCTGCGGTACTAACCAGCCCTTAAAGAACGTAACTGAAAATAGGGGTAGCCACTGAGTGTGCCCTAGATGATACTGAGCTCATAACCATTCCTACTAGCCATGCTGGCTGATACTGTGTGAATCCAACATCTGGAGGGTACCACATTGACTACCTCTGCATTACAGGAACAGCAAGGCTTAAGTCACTAGAATTGTCACTACAATACTAGAGTAAATGACAGTGTTTGCATTTTAGCTGGTGCTTTCTTGATGTGAAGTGCTTCAAGCAAGAATGCTTCAATGCGCTACATGTGATATTTCAATAATACAAGCAGCACTGCTTTTTACGTTTTCCACAATAAATTAAACTCAAACCTCAAAACTGAAATCAGTGGCTAGAAAACAAATGCTATTCATATTAAATTTGAATTATTTTCCCTTACAGACCTCCATCTAATCTAGTCTTTCAATACCCTTTTGCAAAGATATGTATGTGACCCCACACATTTGTAATACACTATGTGCTTATGCCGGTTTTTTCAGTGTATATTACGACTACCTGCTAAATCCAGATTATGTGATTGTAACTACTGCAGTACACACAGTAATCATTTTCAATAGGTTTTACAGTTTATTCCTGCATTTGACTTGTACAATTAACTACTGCCAAATTTTTCCCTGTAGCAAAATTATAAATTGGTCACTCCAAGATGATGGCTACTATAAACACTTATACAGCGTATTGTCATGTACTACGAGCGCTCGCCAAAGAAGAGAAGACATTTTAAAAGAATCACCAGCTTTTCATACCATCTTGTCCCTAAGGATTTTGCTGATCCCTCGTTATGGTGCCTGTGGATTAATTGGCAAAAGGTGTTAGTCAGATGCCTCCTAATTTGTGCTCCCTTTAGGGAAGGATGAAAACCAACAACTGGATGTAACAATTCCAACCAAGGAACTCCCAAGAAAGAAAAGTCTGTTTACAAGCTGTGTCAGCTTGCCTGCAGTGTAATGACTGTCATGGCATGCCTAGTTCTGTAGTTTCAATAAAAGGGTAACATCTCCAAGCCACAGCATCCTTGTAAAATGTTTTCTTTAGGAGCACAGTCAACTTCTGTGGTTAGAAAACTATAACTCTAATTTATGGGCTCATTCATTCGAGCAAAGTAGTGTAGAAGAAAACATACAAGGGTTTTTTATGCTGGCTATATTATTTCAGATATCTGAGTAAGCTTGAAAGCATATGATGTGTCTTGCAAACAGTACTATATACATGGATTATAGCAGGGCACCTGCCACTTCATAACAACCTCCCTTGTACAGCACCTATGAAAAATACACAGGTGTGTGAAAATTGCACCTGTGTACTGGTTGCAGTCCACAATTGGTCATTAATTTTCATAATGCGTATGTGGAACAGGTGTGAAAACAGCTGCACACAGTGGTATACATGCTTCTCTCGGGAAATTAATCTACAGGAAAGTTGGGTGAAGTAACCCAAACTGCTTATATGAAAATCTTTCTTGAAGTGCAACCATAGCCATCTCTGAAAACTGGGTTTTTTGAGATGTGGCCAGAATACAGGAATTCTGGTTGGGGTATGCTGTGACAACTTTGGTGCAGAATGTTACATCATTAATAAATATTCCGTCCCCTAAAAAGGATATGAAGTAAAGCAGTCCAGCTATAGTACACCTGAATTAACACTTTATACGCCAGATCCATTTAAATCATTGCAGTTTGGAAAAGAAAACCAAGAAGGAAAGGGGAGGAGACTTGAATTGGCAGTTGTAAGCAAAAATATGAACTAAGGGAAGCCCTGGAATTCTTTGTTTTGGTAAATCATTCATATTGTAATGTCCTACACTAAGATGAATTACTTAAAGTCCAAGGCAATCTCACGGCTTCCTATATTGCAATCCATAAAACTATCGCTGGCAGAAAGCCCAGTAGTATCTCGTTACAGTCATTTCTCAAATGTCTGCTAACCTACACATTAAATTAGAAAACCCTAAAAGCAGCTAGGAAAGGGGAAAAGCACTTCCGACTCTTGCATTTGGAGTCTTAACTGTGCCAGAGAGGTAGGTATTTGGTTATAGGTATTCACTAGTGAAAGTTTTCGAACAGCCACTGTTGGATGCAACACAAGCAAATGGGAACATGAAAGATGAAAGCTAAATTCACACACACAACTTGAAAACGAGGAAATTGCAGTTACTGAGCAAGAGCTGCAAGAGTTGTTTTTCTGCTAAGAGGTATCTTGGGTGTTAATTCCAAAGAGGTAACAAAAATATGGTAAACCTGTGTATTTTAGTCAGTATTAGAACTATCTTCCATTTTATCCATGACCTTTAAAAACAAACTTCTTAAAAACCCAAGTGCTAGCAGCTAGAATTCTGAAAGTTGAAATGAGCTGGTGCAAAACTGCCAACATGTCATTTAGGCGTTTTAAGTGTTAAACTGGGTGTGAACGTCTCATTTAATCTGTATTTGTTTCACTTCGTTCCACCCACAGGTGCAAAAGGTTGCAACATTAGGCTGCAATCCTTTGCACAAGTTGGTTCCACTGAAATGAAAAGATCTTACTTCTGCATTTGGTATGGGAGGGTGGAAGTGAGAGGTCAGCTTTCTGTTCCAAACCTAGACAGCCCCGCTCTTTCTTTTTTTCAAGAAAAAGTCTAGACAGCTGGAGTTAATACAACAAAATTTACATAAATCATTATCAACATCCAAAGAACAGCACACACTGAAAAATAAAGCCCGTCTTACAACAAGGCTTGTATGCTACTGTTGTTACAAAGGCTCAGATTTTTTAAAAGAGGCATTAATGCAAACTGCAATGACATCCTGCGATGCAGCTTTAAAGGCCATTCCTTCCATCCTCATGCTTGAATTCATGGGTGTGTTTTTTAAAGCAAAACCACAGGTCTCTTTCTCAAAATGAATGTAAGGGCTTGGTCCACTGCAGAACAGTTACTCCCCAAGGCTTTGTGTTGACTGGGTGAAAGTAGAAAGCCACGAGGACATGGCTGATTTTGCACTCGTGAGAGCTCCTCCAACTGACTGACCTGGATTTTATAGTAAAAAGAGGGGAAGGTTAGGCAAAGGTAAGGCTAAGATGAGAGCAATTAATAGCACGATGCTTACTTAGAAGTAATTCCCATTAAGTTTAATAGGACTTGAAAAGTATATATGGGATTGTAGTGCAAGGGCACTTATATCTATGTGTAAATAGAATTCTCAAACAGACAGCCTCTTATTTTGGCATTCTAAACAACATTTTTAAAGCTGGTTCAGACTGGCGAAGCTTGGGATGAACACTCCATAGGTCTGTGTAAGTATGCAACACTCATAGCTATCTCTGGAATTGGTGGTTTGGGGAAAGTGGGCTGAGGAGTATGCAAGGCTGAGGGGCTCGCCTCATTTCAGTAGTAAACTTGATGACTGAGATGAGAGGCATGTGGAATCTTACAGCTTTCAAATTCCAAAAATGAGGGGTGCTAAAAAGATGTAACATGACTTGGGAATCCCAAATATATTTTGTTTAAGTTAATATAATTTCGTTCTGCTTGGTAAGTTAGGTGTGTGCAAAATGGTATAGAAATCATGGAAAATGATTGCCAAGTACTTGCATTTATATTATATACAGTGGTACCTCGGGTTACATACGCTTCAGGTTACAGACTCTGCTAACCCAGAAATAGTGCTTCAGGTTAAGAACTTTGCTTCAGGATGAGAACAGAAATCATGCTCCGGCGGCACGGCAGCAGCAGGAGGCCCCATTAGCTAAAGTGGTGCTTCACGTTAAGAACAGTTTCAGATTAAGAACGGACCTCCGGAACGAATTAAGTACTTAACCCGAGGTACCACTGTATTACTTCTTATTATTTAGCATTACCTGACATTTTCAGAAGGTAAAATTAAAATTCTTTGGTTTATGTGGTTTTTACCAAGCTAGATGTTGTCCAATCACAAAAATAGAAAGATTTGAATTCCTCACACCCAAAAGCATATTTTTAAGACCCCTTACTGAAGAAATATGTGATAAAGTTTCACCTCCCCAAAAGACACGTCCTACGAGTGTTGTGCATGAAGTTTCCTGTTTCACTTCTCCATACGTAGTGCTTCAGCTAGTTTCCAGCTATCCCTTCATTTACGGAAGGTAGCAACAATGCGTGCTGTTGGTAGAGATATATACCACCAACAAGATTCTTGAAACAGGCTGTGGAAGTTAAGGTTTCTGTTTGTAGCATATAAGTGTCACAGCGCATACTGATTTCCAGTTATGAAGCATCTTACCTACGGCTCTTCCTGTCTGTACAACATTCCGGCTCGTTGTAACCATGGCATTTCCAATCTTCTTGCCCCGTTCACTATTCTGTACAGAGCTAAACGAGAGGAAAATGTCATAGCATCATACAACTGACTTTCACTGTTTCCAAGCATGTAAACTGATCATGAAACTAAACAAAGGAGTTGGCAATAAAGAAAGAAAAAGTACCTAGTAGGCAGATACTTTTATCAGGCCAAGCTACTAGATTTAAATGGCAGGTATTAAGCCCTGTGGTCACTAACTCTCAAACAATAATAAAGGTTCTTTATAATATTGTAAGCATGGATGTAGATCTAGTTTGCACATACTGTTAAACCATAGTTGTAAAACTCAACTCAGCTACCAAAAAGGGCACTTTAAAAATGGAAAGAATTAGGAACCATAGAAATATAGAAAGCAATGATAAAACTACTATATTTAAAGCAAAAGTTTTATGAATTTGGAGGGAAGAGACCTAAACTAGCAAATGGGGGGTGGGGGGGTGGAATAAAACAACTTTAACAGGAACAAAGACCAAAACGGGGGAAATTATTTTCTACTATAATTTTGTGAAGATTTAAGGAGTTTTCCTCATCTCTATACTCTTCTAAGTCCACTCCACTCAGAAGAGATACAAAAATTTCTGGACACAATAACAACACCAACTTTGGGGAATGCAGAGGCAAAACTTATGGAAGAGCTGATTATAGAAGAAGAGATTAAATTTTTTTTTTTAAAGGTAGGCAAACCCCAGGCCCAGATAGGTTCTCCGCTGTGTTTTATAAAGCATTTAAATCTGATGGTTACACATATGACCAAACTATATACTGATGTTCTAACTGGGACCTATCACCACCAATCTGGAAACACAGAATTCTTTCTACAGCAGAATGGTCAACAGAATGTAAAAATAAAAAAAATAAAAAAAATATTGGAAAATGCATTCATCTGGATCTGGTTGGTTTGTCCTGGGCCATAAGATTACAGACCCAATTAAAATAAATGTAATTTATTATGGTCAACAAACTATTCCATCAACTGCTGCTTTGCGCAGAACACAAAATCTGTACTGTGTTCGCACAAATGTGGCACAGGCAGGCATGGGGGATGAGTGAAGTGGGGACTTTGGAGCAATGTGCAGCAGCACGCTGCTTGTTCACGTTATTTTAAAACCATGGTTTAGTGTTATGTGTAAACTGGGCCACAGAGTCAATCTGACAATTACTGTGAACATTTCAACAGTCATCGCCTGCCAGAATACCAAACCCCAGTTTAACATGAAACTATGCTCGCCAATTTACAAAAATCCTAGCCTTCAAAAGCGTATTCAGTTATAGTACTTACTGTGACAATCTTAATTTCACATCTGAAACCGAGTATTGGCCTTGGAATGGGTGACTGAAAAGGGTTTTGTAAGGAGGTGGAAGAAAAGAGAAGAGAAAAACAGAACACAAATTTAAAATGTTTTGTGTGTTGTAACAATAAAAACAGAAAACATAAGCCATTCCTTTCTAACTAGACTGAAAACATTACCATTTCTTAACTCCTGGTCTGATCAGTTTGCACTGGGGAGAGGGGGAGATCTCAGAGGCCCCCATGACTGTACAGTGGACAAAACATTTGGCACTGATCCATCTCTGAATTTCTTCCCTGGGTTACAATCTGCTGCTCCTCTGAAATGCCTTCCATTTTAAAGTGGCTGTTCAGTTACACCACAGTCACTTCCAATGTCTTCCAGTCTTCTCTCCTACTTCTGACTCTTTGGGACAGTGGCCACAATCAGTACTTGTTGGTGTGACAGTGCAGCGATATGGAAGAAATTAAATTTTTGGCTAAAAGCCTCTGGAGTTCAGTTGGAATTACATTCAGATAAAATGGTCAAAGCAACATCAAGAGCACAGATACATCCTGCTCTTAGGGGCTTGGAAGCACTAATTGCTTGAATTGTGTTGTGTTCTGATCTGCAGAAACAGGACAAATTTTGGCCACCTTACACCAGGCAAGCAGGCAGAGAGTACCATATTTTTGTTTACCTAAAGAACAGCGTTCAAGGCAAGCTAAATGCAGAACATGCAACATCTGAAGCACAAGCAAGGAGAAAGATATGTGGGGAAAGTGAGTTCCAGAACTAGAAGTTTGTAATTTTGAAGCCTGGTACTACTAGCAAACGGAGAATTCTTGCTTGTGCTTCCTGGAAATTAAATGGCAGACCTAGGAAGTCACAGATGCTCAAGCACTCCTCTCTCTACTTCTTCCATACAAACATTAAAGCTAAAATTTCTTACCTGGGATTTACCTCTGCGAGAGCTGGGTGTTTATTGCTGTTCCACACTCTGTAATTGTGTGTATTCTTCCAAGCCGCTACAAAAGTTGTTCCAAAGTCTGATAATATTTTTTCACTGTCTGATGAATAAAATAGGTAAGAGAAACTTAAGCAGTTTCAGTACTTCGCATGATATCCGTTTGCATGCAAAGAAGCAAGCACATTTTAATTTTTTTTAAGGCAGTGTGCACCTTCTGCACAGTAATACTGTCAATACAACACAGCAACAAATAGAAAGGGGATGGTGCTGGCTTACACACTGGATTTCCACGTTTGAAAGCCCAAAAATCTAATTTTCCCCCTTGATGTGTTGTGTATCACTGTAAATACAGGTGTGGAAGGGCTGGTGTCATCCCTGATTACGTCTATGACAGTGATGGCCAAATTTGGTCCTCCAGCTGTTTTGGGACTACAATTCCCATCATCCCTGACCACTGGTCCTGCTAGCTAGGGATGATGGGAGTTGTAGTCCCAAAACAGCAGGCGGGCCAAGTTTGGCCATCCCTGGTCTATGACATACCAAGTCACTGAAAGACAGCTCCTCCACAGCTGTTTTTCAATGGCATAGCGTCAGCAGACAGAAGAAAGACTCCACCCTCATATATAAACATGCACCTGGGCTAGCAGTCAAGAACAGGAGTGTGGACTTGGGACCAGATGGCAAACAGGCAAATCTATCCTTCCCCACTCAGTGCGGAGTGGCAGCTGCAACTGCCAGGAAGCAAATAAACAACTGGAAATAAAAGGTTTAATTAGTGAAATTAATTAAAACTAAGCAGATTATGCAATTAAGATATAAAAAACAGCTTGAAAAGAGACAGAATTTTAAGAAGGAACTAATCTGGATTTTAACTGGATTTGGAGAGGTGGGACCATTTCTTCCCATGCATCTGATATAAAACACTCCAAATCATCACACAGTCCTTTAGACAGAGCCAAGCGCTTTGATAGTAAAACCTGGATCTGCGTTACTGTGTGCTAGCATGTAACATCAGATCAGATTAAGAGGCAGATTTAGGGCCGTGCAACCGGCTTGGTTGCACTGAGGAGCCCCAGGGGCGCTGCAACTATGATGTAGAATGGAAGGAGAGAGGAGAGGGGGCAGCAAATTCTGGCATTGCACAGGGTGCTGCTAATATCTGAGACCCCAAGACCCGCCACTGAGATTAGGCGGCAGCAAGTCTCATGGACAAGACTCTCTCTCGGGCCTCAGACAACCTCTGCATGGGCCTGTGAGAAGCAATCCCTTTTTTAAATACAGCATCAGAGCTTCCATATGGTTACTAACTAGGTCAGACCCAGATCCCTATATTTCTTTGTCCTTTCCTTTTACTCTTCCTAGTTACAGCTGCTAAGTATAATCTTAGAGGATTTTTAAAAAAATAAAAAATGGAAGCAATGGCACCAGGGTTTACCTGGCTGCAGAGTAGCAGCAAGCAGCGCATGGAGATATGAGCCAAACTGGGCTCGGATCCACTCATCTCCTCCTTCCCAGCCAGTGCCGTCTAGGAAGACGTCATCCCGGTTCTCAGTTACGTGCTTTACCAGGAAGTCTGCAAATCTCAAGTCAGCTGTTGTGGGATTCAGAACCTTCCTGAGCTCTGGATCATGGACTTGAACCAGAGCTTCCTCAATCTGTTGAGAAAAACCCAACATGAAACAGCAGTGCAGAGGAAAAACTAAACAACCTGAGCTGAGCTCTTAAGAGGAGCTACTCACTTCTGTTGAACCACAAGCCACAACTGATGTGCAGTGCTGCAGTGTTTGGGGATGAAACTCAGTCTGACTGCAGAGTTGCAGGTGGCAACAGAGGAGTTTGGATTTGATATCCCACTTTATCACTACCCTAAGGAGTCTCAAAGCGGCTAACAATCTCCTTTCCCTTCCTCCCACACAACAAACTCTGTGAGGTGAGTGGGGCTGAGAGACTTTAGAGAAGTGTGAGTAGCCCAAGGTCACCCAGCAGCTGCATGTGGAGGAGCGGGGGAAGCGAACCCGGTTCACCAGATTACGAGTCCACTACTCTTATAACTAACTCAATCACCGATCAACCATCTTTAGTTCCTACAACAAGCAATCAGCTTCTTTTTCCTTGTGATAAACTGAGGTGTAGAACAGACCACAGAGTGAATTTGGGGTATGGGTCCTGTTCTGGGGAGGCAGGGCTGAACAGTCTCTCTCTGGGTCTATTTCAACTCTACAACTGGATTGCTGGAGATAGAAGGGAAGTTCTCCAAGCAATGTTGCCACTCCACGGGGCAGGTCACTATGTGGTTACAAGGAAAATCTGTGGAAGATTGTTTCAAGCAACTACCATGTGGGAGCTGCAGTCTGTAGACTGGACATCAAGGCAGTCTTTTCTGGAACAGTTCTGTATGAGTGGAAAGAACCATTAGTTTTACTCTGGGTATTTGAAGTGTGCCCAAATGCGGTCCTGGAAATTATGTTTACGATCTGCTTCCCTCCTACCATAAAGAGACGAAATAGGACTTGGGATAGGAAGAATCTTCCTGTTGGGTAGAATATACTCAGTAGTTAAGCAATTGTATTTGTTAGGAAGTATAACCCTTTGCCGGCTTTATCCTTATTTTTATGGCACATTTTACTAAAAAAACCTCCTTTTTTTTAAAAAAAAAAGTTGCAATTCAGTGACCTGCCTATGATATAAAAGAAAATGATTCATACCTCTACAATAGCATCACTTAGATGCTTTTGCTGACGGAAAAGGATGTTGGTGGCTCCTGCAACAAACCCACGAATGGTTATATCAGACAGGAGATGGTGTTGTTGCAGCGCCATGTACGGCAAGCAAAGGTATCCCTGAAACAGAGAAAAGGGAGGAAGGAGATCAATGTGAGACAGAAAAAGGTTGAAGAGCAGGAGCTGATACTTCAAAATGCTGTGATGTTCTAATGAACAAGGAAAACATAATGAAGATTGTAATTGCAACTTGAACTGTTACTTCCTCATCAGTTAACAATTACACCTCCGTGGAATATTGCTCTGTTGAGTTAAACTATTACTGTCAATAAATTAGCAGGAAATCAAGGCAGAATACAGATTCAGCAAACTGTATGAACACACCCTGTGCTCAGACACTGCCTCCTCCCAGACATACATGGGAGCAAATATGAATTAAATCTAAAGCAGACAAACTGTAGCTTGAAGCCTTTGCTGTGGGTTAAATTGGAAGTGAATATGAAAGGAGAAGTGTGGGAGGGAGGGAACATAGAAATGCAAGGCTTTTTTGTAGTAACGCCAAACCAATGTCTTGTGGTTCCTTGCTTTAAATGCGTCCAGTTGATGGTGCCTGCATTTTATAGTTGTCAGATAAAGGGCAATGAGAACAGATTGATCTGACTGCAAGCCCAATTACTGTGACCTTCGGAGTCTCAGCAAAGAACATAAGGACAGAATGTACTATGCTGGGAAGTTGTATATGAGTAAGGCATACTGCAAAAAGTTGATCGTTTCATTATTAAATTTTATAGGAAACTGTCACCACTAGAACACTCTTGCTTTGTGACTACTCACTTTTAGAAATACCCCCCCCCAAGTAATATTGCAGTAACACTGTGAGTTTAACATGGAAAATTTTTGGTGGAGGAAGGGGAACTGTTTTTAAATGAGTAACCATGGAAGAAGTACAGGAAGTCAAGCTTATGATACAACAGTATCCTATAAAAACTGAGTAAGTAAACTCATTCTAAAAGAAGCTGATATCAGGTTTTCCAGCTAGAGTTTCACAAAATTAAGATTACAGAGCACATGGCTATAGTTTGCGTGTGTCTGCCATCAATTACGCCAGTATTTTCCAGGAAAGTTTACTATTTTTAAGAAGTCTTTGAACAAAACACTTTTATGTAGATTATACCCTAATTTTAACTGATGCTATTGAAAGCATAATAATTTTAACTTATAAATAGAATCAGTAACTCTAGCCCACTTCCAGCTGTTATAAAAACTGTGCTGTTGACTTGAAAGACTAAAGACACATAGAGGGGAAAGGAAACAAACATGAACTGGGGCGCTGCCTAATACAATCTGGGCATGAGAGACAAGAATTCCCATACTATAACATCTGTAATGTTGTTTAGCTCTTCAGACCGCTTTGCATGGTGCCCTTCCAATGTTTCGGTCCAAAGCTCCCATATCACCCTTGACCATTGGCCTTGCTGGCAGGGGCTTAGGAGAGTTGGAGTTCATCTGGAGACCCCCACCTTGGCTACCTCTGGCCTAAGGTATCAACATGCTCCTGACATTATCTTACTTACAGGAGCCACCAGCACTGAAGTTGTTCATGATAGATTTATTTATACAGTACAGTGGCACCTCTGGTTACGTACTTAATTCGTTCCGGAGGTCCGTTCTTAACCTGAAACTGTTCTTAACCTGAGACACCACTAATGGGGCCTCCCGCTGCCGCCGCACGATTTCTGTTCTCATCCTGAAGCAAAGTTCTTAACCCGAGGTAATATTTTTGGGTTAGCAGAGTCTGTAACCTGAAGCGTCTGTAACCTGAAGCGTATGTAACCTGAGGTACCACTGTATCTGTCAGCCATAGTAGTCAATGGAACCCAGATATTCTGTAGGTCTCTTTTAGACAAGCATTTCCCAATCTGTGGGTTGTGACCTGCAAGTGGGTCATGGGCTTTAGGATTCTTGCTTGGATGTCTCAAGTTACAGACATAAAATCGGCAAACATGCAGTTAAAATGCATGAAGCCGATGACTGCTGAAGATCTGAGGTCCACAATTCATGTGACAATAAAACCACTGTTTTACACTACTGGATAGATAATCCCTTAGTAGTGAGAATTTAACGAGTGTTTCATACATGGCAAGTGCTGGAAACGCAAAGCTAGGCTAGGTCCCAGACTCACCAAGTCAGTGCTGCTCTTTTGAGACTCTTCGTATGGAATAGGGACACAGGGCAATATTCAACCAAGTCTTGTTCAGAGTAGACACATTAACTTTACTGAAACTAAGCCATGTGCATTAACTTTGGTGGGCCTATTCTGAGCTGAATAGGAAGCTGCCTTATACCAAGTCCGACCAACAGCTCATCTAGCTCATTATGGTCTCTACACTGACCAGCAATGGCTCTTCTGGGTTCCAGACAGGGAAAACTCCTAGTCTTTCCTGGAGATGTTGTGGACTGAACCTGGGACCTTCTGCATGCAAAGCGGTTCTCCACCAATGACCTATGACCCTGGCCAGATCAGAGAAAGTGTTTATTACTTCCATCCTAGCAGGGCCTTGCCATGAATGAGTACACCCCAGTTCCTGGTGATGGCACAAAGATTCTGGGGTGTTCTGTCTGTTTTGGTTTTTTGTCCCACTCCCTTTGGGTATTAAGATATCCTTGCAGTTTCCCAAAAGGTTAACACCACTGACCCTGTCAGCACAGCTGCCCAGCTTGTATTACCAGGACAGGGAGAGCTGGAAGACTTGTGCTGTGCTTTTCCCCCCTGTCACATTATTGTATTTCCCCCCTCCTCTAATTGTGGAGCTTTGATCGGATACCTCATTCACCTCTCTACAACTGTGGCAGATTTAAACTGTGCAAGGTTTGTTATGACCCCATGACATTCACCATCCAAAAAAGGAGACCTTGTAGAAAACGGGTCCTCACCTTTTCAAAAGAGAGGCCACAATGTTTTGTTGACTGATTTACTAAAGGAATTACAGTGGTGCCCCGCAAGACGAATGCCTCGCAAGACGGAAAACCCGCTAGACGAAAGGGTTTTCCGTTTTTGAGTTGCTTCGCAGGACGAATTTCCCTATGGGCTTGCTTCGCAAGACGAAAATGTCTTGCGAGTCTTGAGATTTTTTTCCGCTTCCCCCCCCCTTTATCTAAGCCGCTAAGCCTTTAATAGCCTTTTAGCAGCTAATCCGCTAAGCCTTTAAGCCTTTAATAGCCGCTAAACCGCTAATAGCGCTAATCCGTTAAGCCGCTAATAGGGTTGCTTCGCAAGACGAAAAAACCGCTAGACGAAGACACTCGCGGAACGGATTAATTTCATCTTGCGAGGCACCACTGTACTTATTTGTTTTTAAAAATATTCACAGTCCACCTTTATGAGTAGCACTTGCTCCAGGACAGCTTACCCAATGAAAGGATAAAAATACAACTTTGAAAGAAGATAAAAAGCAACGCGGAAAGTTTCCAGAAGCCAGAACATGCCAGGTTACCTTAGTGAAAACAGCTAACGGCATGCCATACTGGTCCTCTTCCAAACCTGATATAAGGCCAGGAACAAAGACGGCGTGCCCTGTGTTAGGTTGAGGCTGCACAGTAATGGGAATGCTTTCAGAAACTGCAGGTTCCTTTGGAAGGATTTCAGTCTGTGCTGCTACTGCAGTGATTTCACCTTCTCCTTCTTTCAAGCTGGGGTCCTCCAGGATGTTAGGATCCAGGGTTTCCCAGTCACTTTCAGATGATTCTGGAGAAGTGCGTGAGGGAGGTTTCAAATGCTGCCCATTGTCCCTGGAGACGTGTGCTCCGTTGAGATTGTCCTCGGTCTGAAATAAAGGTACATCTACTTTCTCAGTGTCCCGTTCTTGGTTTCCGGACAACGTTGGGCCTTCTGCATCTGTTTCCACGTTTTCGTTTGAAAGCGCCACAGTGGACAAGGAAACATAATAATCTGTAGGAGGTGGGACTTCCTGTTGGCCGACATCCTCTGAAACACTCTTCCTCGGCCGGTACTGTGAACAGTCAGTGAGACCATGCTCTATCATACCTGGAAATTATAAAAATCTCTTGGATAACAGCATCATGAAAAGTGAGTTTATCATAATGCAAAACACATTGCATACTTTGAAAGCTACCTTACAGCTCTGTATCTGAAGGCTCCCTTTTTCCTGAGCAAAGATGCTTTAGTTGAGATTCCTGCATGGCAGGGGGTTGGACTAGATGTCTCTGGGGGTACCTTCCAATTCTATAATTCTAAGAATGATCTTAGATTATCATGCACAGTATATTTATAGCTTGAGGCACAGTTCCTTATACTTGCTAAAATATACCATACTAGTGATCTTTCATGAGACAAGCTGCATCCGAATGTCATTCTAATCTATGGTTTAACAATACTGGAATAAACATAGCCTTCTTTCGACCTTGACATTTCCCTTCCTCTCCTCTTACTGTATGACTGGGAGGACTAGTTCTGGTTAACTGTGATTTTTCAGGTGGTCTGGGCCAGCAAACTGTGGTTAACATTAACGATGGTTTGTTTCAAACAATCCAACTTCGAACAGTGATTTCTAAAAATGGCTTGTGTAAACCAACCACAGCTAATCACAGTTCTAGGTTCAGGTGACATGGGAAACTGTGTAACATGCTTTCTATTGTTGTAAATACTTTACTCTCACTTACCAGGAAAGAGTGATAAGACTGTCATTAGGGCTCCCACCAGCCTATTCACTGGAGAGATATAAAACAGAACCTGAAAGGGAGGGGGTGGGTGGGAATGACAAACGTTAATTTCTAGAGGAAGAATGAAAAACAAACAATTCCAGTTCATAACACCTAGAATGACAGCAGCACATGACTTTCTGAGGCATAAAAAGGTAAAAGGTAAAGGACCCCTGACAGTTAAGTCGAGTCGAGGACTATGGGGTTGCAGCGCTCATCTCGCTTTACTGGCCGAGGGAGCCAACATTTGTCCGCAGACAGTTTTTCCAGGTCATGTGGCCAGCATGACTAAGCCGCTTCCGGCGCAACGGAAAACCGAAACCAGAGCAGTGCACGGAAACGCCGTTTACCTTCCTGCCAGAGCAGTACCTATTTATCTATATGCACTTTTTGGTGTGCTTTTGAACTGCTAGCTGGCAGAAGCTGGGACCAAGCAACAGTAGCTCACCCCGTTGTGGGGATTTGAACTGCCAACCTTTTGATCGGCAAGCCCAAGAGGCTCAGTGGTTTAGATGTTTAAAGAACAGCATGCAGAACTCTACAGCACTGGAAACAGGAATCACAAGCAGCAATTTTTTAAAAGCATTAGACACAATTTTTCCTATATTGCAGTTTAGCTAAATTATTCAAGGATGCCCCAACACCATCTATATCCAGAGCCTAGGAGCCAACAGAGTACTGTGTGCTGTTAATAGTTCTTGAATGCATCTGGAGCCAGGTCTCATGGTGTATAGTCTGAGTCAGCATGGACCTGCTCTTAGTTAAGACCTATTCTTCCAGTGCTTCAAGCACTGGAAGACACAAGATCTACCCACCAGGGAAGAATGGCAGATGAAGCTGATGGACTACATGGAACTGGCGGAAATGACTGGCAGAATTCGAGACCAGGGAGAAGAGTTGGTGGAAGAAGATTGGAAAAAATTTAAAGTATATTTACAAAAATATAGTAAAATTAATGAATGTTAGAAGGATGCTGGAATGAAGTTACATGGTTTTAGCAGAAATGTTATTAAGAATTAAGTAAAAATGGGTTGTTAATGGGTCAAAGGGTAAAATTTAAGGTCAGATCGGGTTAAGGTAATTTATAGAACAAAAATTGAGAAAGATGGAAAAGATTTGTTGAAACAGCTAAATTGAATTAGAATACAAAAAAGGGAGGTGTGAGGAGGTCGATGAAACAAGTAAATGAAAGATAAGGATATGGAAATACTGGATGTGTTTTTTAAATGTTTTTGTTTTTAAATGTTTTCGTTTTTGTTTTTCCTCATCGTTGTGCTGTATTGTTTTTTATTTTGTTTTTTATTGCTTTTTGATGTATTGTATTGTAACTTTTTAATCTCTCTCTTTTTTTTGTTTTTTTCTGTAATTGTTAAACTTTTAATAAATATCATTAAAAATAAAAAAAGACCTATTCTTCAAAGAGGTTCACCCGCTCTTTTGTTTCATGACGAACACCTTACCCCCTCCTCTTCTGCAAATTTGTAATGTCCTCAGATAATTCCAGCTATACACCTGGAAGAACCCTCAGTACCCCAGCTGAAGACTGAACCTAGAAGCAGAGGATATGCTACTCTGTGTTTGGTCTTCCTTCCTCATAGGTTCAAGGAAACATCCCACAGATCCAGTGCATTAAAATGGGAAGGGCAAATATGACTTGATGCTCTGGAGCACTATTGCTTTTATGCTTTGTGACATGTAAAAAGTTCAGATTAATAATCATTATTGCTGTAGCTATAATAGCCTGCAGAATTTAATCCAGGGGTCAGCAAATTTTTCAGCCCTTGAGGGGGCGTGGACTATATGGGGGGGGGGAATGAATGAATTCCTATGCCCCACAAATAACTCAGAGATGCATTTTAAATAAAAACACACATTCTACTCATGTAAAAACACACTGATTCCCGGACCGTCCATGGGCCGGATTTAGAAGGCGATTGGGCCGTATCCAGCCCCCAGGCCTTAAGTTGCCTACCCATGAATTAATCCCTTCCACCCTTCATTTTTAAACATATGTGGCTACTGGATGAATATAAACCAAGGGTACCCTAACCTCCTATGGTTCCCGCAAATGATCTCAGTAAATATCCTCTCAAAAATCTACAATGCTTGAGAGACCATTTGCTCTTCCTGCCCAGTTCCTGTTTACATTGGCTTGGCTTCCACTACACTAAACACACACTCTTATAAGCCTGCCCGTCTTTTATTACATGTCAAGGCTGTGACATGGTCTGAGCAAAGGAAAGGTGCAGACAGCTTCTCTCTGGGAGTGAGCACAGTGTTGGCTGATGTAGGTGCCTTTTTCCCAGTGGGGCGGAAGGAGACATGCCTGTACCATTTTGGGGTACTTTCCTTTTCTGCTTTTTTATATTTGGCAGCCATTTTGTGTTATGCTGCCTCTGTACATCTGCATATCTGTATCCATATAGCCACACCACAACTTTAGCAAAGTTCGCTTACCTTTGCCATGGCAACTACTGCTGAACTGAAACATTAAAAAGCAGGCAAACAGAACAGGCACGTCTCCATACTAGCTAACTGCATGCGTGGGATAGCTCATAACATCTATCCACAGAGGCTTTTAATCCATATTCCATTAAACTACGTCATTAAGCAAGTCTATTTCAGTTCTTTCTGCCAACTTGGGGAGAAGGAAAAGATCTTACCTTTTTCTCTAGGAGAATCAGCTTAAAAAGTATTAAGACCTTCAAAGCAAAGAGACACAAATCTTAAACAACAGCAATAGGTATGCATATTAATATTTCTTGATATCGTTTCCATTTGACACTTCAGAAATGCACAATAAATATTTGAACAAATGATTTCATTTGCTTTTATAACTTGGCTTTTTTTTTTAAATACTCAAAGCACTCAAAAGGTTCAATCAACCAATTAAACAACTCATAGTAGCAGCACAGATGAGACACTATACATTTCTAGGTTTTAGGCCCAGATATGGGACAGAAACGGCTTTGGTCGTCCTGGTGGATGACTTACAATGAGAACCAGACAAGATCACAACATGATTCATTTTCTTAGACCTCTCAGTGGCATTCAGTACCATTAACCACGGTATTTTCTGGGTCGTGCAGCTGGATTGGAAAGGGGAGGAATGGTACTACATCGGCCTCAGTCCTTTCTGGAGGTTTGGTTCCAGAAAATGATACTGGAGGATTTCTCTTGTAGCCTATAACTCTGGCTTCTGGAGGCCCTAAAGATCTATTCTGTCCCCCATTCTGTTTATCTTCTAAGTCAAACCATTAGGAGAAATCACCCAAAAGCTTGAGCTCAAATTGCAGATGATGCCAAGCTCCGCTTCTCTTTTCCACCTGTCAATCTCAGGGAGGCTGTGGAAATCCTAAATAGGTGTCTGGAGACAGTCCTGAGGTGGATAAGGGTGAATAAACAGAAACTCAGGCCAAATAATATACAGGTGCTATGCTTAGGGAAGCAAGCTGATCCGGACACAGGGGTACAACTGCTGTTTGATGGGCCTTGACGTCCCTGAAGGACTAAGTTTGTGGTTTCTCTTGGGCTCAGCACTATTTCTGGAAGCAGAAGTGCCTTTTTTCCAGAGGAAACAGGGAAGCCACCTGTGACCCTATCTAGAGGGACTGGACCTTGCCTCAGTAATCCATGCGGTGGTCACATCCAAGGTAGATACACTGTACATGGGGCTGCCTTTGAAGATGATTTGGAAATGTCAGCTGTTGAGTTTGATTGCTAGTGGGTGCAAGGTGATGAGAGCACGTGACACCAATTCCGGGCCATATTTAAAGTGCTGGTTTTGATATTTAAGGTCTCAAATGGTTTGGGGCTATGTTACCTGAAGGCCGTCTACATCAGTACAAGATCTGCCTTGAGAGGAAGCTGCCTCACACAAGGTCAGATCTTTTGTCCATCTAGATCAGTGTTGTCAATAATAATAATAATAAAATTTTATTTATATCCTGCCCTCCCCAGCAGAAGCTGGGCTCAGAGCGGCTAACAACAGTAAAATGATACTAACCATTGGGCTAGAGTTCTGTGAGGATTGCCAAAGGAGGGGGTCAGGCTGTGCCCTGACCAAAGGCCTGGTGGAACAGCTCTGTCTTGCAGTCCCTGCGGAAAGATGTCAAGTCCCGCAGGGCCCTAGTCTCTTGTGACAGAGCATTCCACCAGATCGGAGCCACAGCCGAAAAAGCCCTGGCTCTGGTTGAGGCCAGCCTAACCTCCCTGTGGCCCCGGACCTCCAAGATGTTTTTGTTTGAAGACCGTAAGGTCCTCTGTGGGGCATACCAGGAGAGGCGGTCCCGTAGGTACGAGGGTCTTAGGCCGTATAGGGCTTTAAAGGTTAAAACCAGCACCTTAAACCTGATCCTGTACTCCACCGGGAGCCAGTGCAGCTGGTATAGCAGTGGGTGAATGTGATCTCGCAGCAAGGACCCCGTAAGGAGTCTCGCTGCAGCATTCTGCACCCGCTGGAGTTTCTGGGTCAGTCTCAAGGGCAGCCCCACGTAGAGCGAGTTACAATAATCCAGTCTGGAGGTGACCGTCGCGTGGATCACAGTGGCTAGGTCAGGGCGAGAGAGGTAAGGAGCCAACTGCTTAGCTTGACAGAGATGAAAAAATGCCGCCTTTGTTATAGCTGCAATCTGCGCCTCCATGGAAAGGGAGGTGTCGAAGATTACACCCAAACTCTTAACCGACGGTGCTGGCACTAATTGCGCCCCCTAATACTGACTGGCAGCAGCTTTCCATGTTTTTAGGGAGGGGACCTGGGACCTTCTTTATGCAAAGCAGTTCTTCTATCAATGAGCTACAACCCTTCACTATTAAGTATCACATCCAGCCCAAACGAACTAAGCCAACTATCAACCACAGAACAGTAACCTTTACAAACTGAGCGGTCTTAATACATTTGAGAATGAATCCCCTAATAAATCTTGCTGGAGCAGATGCATCTTCACTGTTTGTCAAAAGCAAAGCAATGGCAGAAGTAGATGTACCTCCTTCAGGATTCACATCAGGAAGAAACGTACCTTGTGTCTAAACTGAAGGACAAGATCTCGTGGAGACAGGCCTAAAAGTAGGGACAGCAAAACAATTAGCACACCTTAGTAAGAACCACCAACCCTTCCTGCTTATAAATGTGGAGAAACCCGCTGGCAGCAGGATTAAAAGATTTTGTACTATTTTCCCAGCACTTAGGGGCAAAGAATCTGTGGGAGCTTACATGGTTCATTGATCACAAATGCAAATTGGATTTTAACTACCAATAATAGTTGACTGCCTTCTCCCATTAAAGCCAGGAGGAAGGAACATTATCTGGCCCTTCTCCTATTAATAGGCCTTTAATAATCCACTCATTACTTTTGAATAAACATGATTTTGAAAAAGCATCTGAGCAACTCTCCTCACACAGCAGTGAAAATGACAAGCATTCTATGTAAAAGGAGAAGAGTGACAGGTTTATCTAGCCCTGTGACTGATGGGAAAAGTAATCACAATAATTAGTACATTATTTAGGCACGCACAGACTTGGCATTAGACTTTAGTACCAATAAAGTACTTTAGGAAATGAAAATTGAACAGTTGTGTTATTTAGTAAATATTGCTTACCAAGATAAACTTGTGATCCTTCCAGGGGGCTTCCTCCCAGTGAGCTATTCATATGCTCATAAAGTTCCTGAAAAGCCATAAATTTTGAAAGCATTAAAAACACTTTCTAAAGGCATCTACTAGAAAATAAATGAAAAGGCTTCATACAGCATGGATCTGCCAAAATACTATGCTACGAAGAAGATTCTTGGCATTTTTTTCAATGAGTCACTAAATGCATAGACATCGATCCAATGGACTCCCAGAGCCTTCAGCTGGAATCCAGAGATCCTTTGGTAGAACCCAGAGTGGCTGTAAACCCAACGGGATCTTTGACCCTTTTTAATGTGCTATACCACCAATGGCATTTGAAAATCCTCTCATTTGCAATGGGGCATGGGGAAAAGCACTGGTTGAGAAAAATAATACATAGCTCCCCTGGGCTCATTCTAGGACAGCCTTTCTCAGCTATGGATCCCCAGATGTTCTTGAACTACACCCTGCCCACTGGCCATGCTGGCTAAGAATGATAGTTGTAGTCCAACAATATCTGGGGACCCAAGGTTGAGAAAGGCTGATCTTGGAATATAGGGCACTGCCTTAAACTGAGCCAGACCCACTCGTTTACCTAGCTCAGTATTGGCTACACCAGGGGTGGGCAGAAAGTAGACTGTGTCCTACCTAATAAATCCTTGGGTCATTTTCAGTAGATCAACAAGCATTTCTGACTCACAACTATTAAACAAAGGTAGCAACAAAAATGGCTCTTTGCTGAAATGAAGAAAGCTTGGAGTAACCAGGAATGGACTTTGGTGGGGAAGGACTGTGAGGTTCTGGGCCTCAAAAACAAACAAACCCCAGGGTCAGAATTCTTTGATTCTAAGTGTGTGCCTTTTTTGCAGCAGGTGGAGCTCAGGGTGATAGCAAGAAAACCCCAAGGATACCACAAGGCTGGGTCTTAACCAGTGGTAGCTAACATAGTCCACTTGAGATACTGTTGGACTCCAACTTCCATCCAGCTGGTATGGTCCGTGTCCAGGGATTATGGGAATTAAGTTCATCAACATCTGGAAAGCACAACATTCATATCCCCTGGTCTATTTTCTTTATTTCATAGAAAGCATATACCGCTTGATTTAAACGCGTGTGCACCCACCCACCCCTCAAAGTGGTTTGCAAAGAGATAAAACAAGAAAATCAAGAAAAAGAAACCTTCTGAATGCAAATAATGTAAGCTTAAGGGCCTTCTTTTCTATCCTGGCTGTGGACTCCAGTGAGTGCACCTATCCCTCAGTCTGCATGGGCTTCCCCATTTGCTTCAAGGGAAAGGAAAGCTATGCAGGTAGAAATGAAGGAAGGGTGACATTAAAGTTTAGGAATCAACTAGATAATAATGAAGGCCCTCTATGGTTCACAGATCAGTATCACACAAGAATTTGCATTTCTATACAGAAAACTTACCTTAAGTATTGAAATTTGAGAGAAGTCTTTTTCTTCAAAGTAGGCATGTGTAATTAGCTGCAGCTTAGCCTGCAGTAGCCCATACAGAGGCTTGAAAGGAAAACACATCATCATGTTACACCAAGAAAGGCAGGCACACAGTCAAGGACAAAAACAGCTACCCTTCAAAGCAAATTACACATATTGATCTCAAATTGATGACAAATTACACATACATTAGGTAACAGTTTATTTGTAACGATTGACTATGTCAGTCATCCTGCTGTCAAAATGAGCAATAGTTTATTAATGTGATAGTGTTCCTATCTGATCAGAGTAGTGTGGTAAAATACAAGCAAAATTGGGCTGCCTTGCTCCATTTGAGAGCTGGCGTAGAATTGCAGTGTTGGACCAGAGAAGGTAAAGGGACCCCTGACCGTTAAGTCCAGTCGCGGACGACTCTGGGGTTGTGGCGCTCATCTCACTTTACTGGCCGAGGGAGCCGGCGTTTGTCGACAGACAGTTTTTCCAGATCATGTGGCCAGCATGACTAAGCCGCTTCTGGCAAACCAGAGCAGCGAACGGAAATGCCGTTTACCTTCCCGCTTGGAGCGGTACCTATTTATCTACTTGCACTTTGATGTGGTTTCGAACTGCTAGGTTGGCAGGAGCTGGGACCGAGCAACGGGAGCTCACCCCATCACAGGGATTCAAACCGCCGACCTTCTGATTGGCAAGCCCTAGGCTCTGTGGTTTAGACCAAACTCAGGTTCAAATCCAATGTTCAAGTCAGCTGTGCAGTTCCCCGAGTGAATCTGGGTCCGTCACTAACCCTCTGTCTAACCTGCCTCATAGGGCTGTTGTGGTAAAACAGGTCAGGGAGAACCACACCCGCTACCTTGAGCACCTCTGAGTAAGGATTGGATAAAAATGCTATACATAAAGAAACATAAATAAGCTTTGCTTGCGCGAGTCAACTTCTCCATGAAGAATCTCTCTCTTGCTCCTTATGCAATTCAACTCCAGAATCTAACTTTGAGTATCATGTACACACTCACAAAAAGTATTTCACATCAGGTAGTTGTTACATGAGGTGTGACTTGAAAAAGCATGCTGGGTGGGAGTTAACGTGGCCCAATAACTAAATTTCTGGATCTTGGGTTGGGAGCTGGGCAAACCATGCTCCAGATTCAGTTCCTCAACTGTACAGTGATGGATCTCACAGATCTGAACGATGATAAAGAGTGTGACCAGAAGTGTTGTGTGTCCTATTTCACTTTTGTACAAAGCTAAAGGGGGGAAATGCTCTGGGATGTATTAAATTAGAAATGCTGTCATTTTAAGAGCTTGCAAATGGCATTTTTCTGTTTACTAGAATACAGTTTTGAAAGAATGCTTCTGTCTTGGATTTCAACAGGAGTGTGCCTAACAAGAAAGAAAAATCCCCAAACAGGCTATTTTTAAGGCATGTAACTATCTCTTACCAGCTGACTTAGAACACAGACACTTTTCTGTACTGTTTCTCGGGTAATATCTGCTTGCCGTACTTTCAAGGCCTTTGAAAAAGAGTAAGAGAGAACAAGCTTTTACTGTATTTTTACACATCCACTTTTAAGGAACAAATACTCATTTAGTCGCAGCATTCATAAAAACAACTGAGCACTCTACAACATAAAAAATAGGACAGGCTCTGCCTGTAGGCATGTTGTCTAATAAAGCACTGGGCACGTTATGGAGAAAGGAGAAGGAAGGTAAGAAGAAGGGGTCAATAAGGAAAAGCCAAGTGAAAAGATTTGCTTTGAATACAATAATAGAAGAGGAGATCCATCCCTTTTCTATACATTGTCGACATTTTTGGCACCCCCAGTAATCATATCAGCTTGAATGTATTTATGAAGCTTCCACAAGTTTACATGTGAAGACATACATTAGTTCTGAAAAATATGGCACTTTTCCTGTGTAAGAGGAATGTTGAAGCAGATATTATCCTTACAGGGCAAGCAATTCTATGCATAGATCTACCCACTCAAGGTCAGTGGAGCTTACTTTCAGGAAAGCATGCATGGGACTGTGAACCTAACACTCACACAGGCTCATCCTTGTAACACTAAACCATGGTTTTGCATCATGTGTGAACTGAGTCACAAAGTCAGTTGCTTTCTTAGCCAAAATTACATAGTACCACCATATAAAGGTAAAGGTAAAGGGACCCCAGACCGTTAGGTCCAGTCGTGGCTGACTCTGGGGTTGCGGCGCTCATCTCGCTTTATTGGCCAAGGGAGCCGGTGTACAGCTTCTGGGTCATGTGGCCAGCATGACTAAGCCGCTTCTGGCGAACCAGAGCAGCGCACGGAAACGCCGTTTACCTTCCCGCCGGAGCGGTACCTATTTATCTACTTGCACTTTGACGTGCTTTCGAACTGCTAGGTTGGCAGGAGTAGGGACCGAGCAACAGGAGATCATCCCGTCATGGGGATTCGAACCACCGACCTTCTGATTGGCATGTCCTAGGCTCTGTGGTTTAACCCACAGCGCCACCCGCGTCCCAAATTGCACAAAAAAGCAAGGGAGTGTAGATGGACAGGTATGTAATGTAAGATCTATTTTTTAAATGCAAAAATAGTAGTAAGTGAAGACAAGACCAGTAAAATTATAACAGTCACAGTGAAATAAAACAGTAGTTCCATTGCCATAAATCTTTTATTGTAATATCCTGTGATATCCAGTTAGAGTTATGAAATTGCTGCAGAGGTTTAACAGACTATAAATGCTGCTGGAGTATGACAGGGCAACAATATTAGAATATAAATGAATAATTTAGGAACTCATGATTTTAAAACTATCATTTCATAGAAAGGAAAAATGGTCTGCCTTTACCAAACATATCAAAACCTTCATAGTCATACCACCCGAGTTACATCTCTTAGGTTAAGATCAGATCAGTTTCTCCCACAAAAGGAAGACATATATTTACGACTCTATTTCTAAACATAAAACTCCTGGAAAATTAATAGTTAATGCTCACGGCCAACTTCCACCTGCTTCATCCAACTGCTAATTTAAACATGAATCAACAAAATAATCTCTATCAGCTTCTCTGGGTTTATGTAAATAGAGGAGTTAGTCATTCAGTAAAGGAGCAAGAGGTTAAAACACATGTGATTATGAATCCCAGGCTATTGGATATTTTGTTGCAGATTAAGTGCTATTTGATAGCTAAATGTATACTAAACTGGACAGAAAGTAAAAAAATATGTTCCAACGTATAGGGATGTTAAATTCTCGAGAATAATCTTTTGGAGAATATTCTCGAGACTGTTCTCAATTAATGAGAGTATTAGAGAATTTTCATTTAAAATAGGAGAATATTCATTTTAATGCACTGAAAAAGATATCATTTTAATGCATTTGAAAATTTATTCATGGGTAAACTTGCTCAGATGGCAACCAAAAACGGTACAGATACTTTTATTCAATGGGGCAATGCAGTGAATTCACATTCTTTGCTAGGCCTAGGTATTTTAAGTGTATAAAGCATTCAGGCCACTTTCTGTAAAAAAAGCACACTGTATGGCCAATTGCTAAGAATAAGGTCACACCAAAATAGAAAAAAAGCGCTATTACATATAGTTGAAATACATATGAATTCAAATGTTCATCAAATTAAATGAATAGCGCTTTTAAAACTAACTAACTAACTAACTAACTAACTAACTAACTAACTGCATTTCAGAACTGCCAATGGTGAATGACACAATGCCCAGTAATGTAACTGGATCAAAAAAATCATTATTCATTACTTACACTGGCAATATCACAGCTTGACTTATTATTTACTAGATTTTTTTAATGTGGGTTGTAAAACTGGTTTTTACATTAGAATTTACAGTTTGTGGAGAATATTCTCTGGAGAATATTCTCACCTCACATCACTACCCATGTAACATTTGATATCAAGAGAAGTCACCGTGTAAACAATGAACATTACTCCTGCAGTTGCATTCATGGTATCAATACAGGCCAGAAAATCTGCAGCTGGATTCTTAGCTAATGTTTCCATGTTCATATTTGCACATCATGCTAAACCATAGCTCAGGAGAGCCTTAGGCTCATGCATTCATCCCCCTTCTTCTCCCATGTGACAGGAAGGAATTCAGAGTCTTTCATTTTGCTTAACCATGGTTTATCATTTCACACAAACAAACAAACAAACAAACAAACAAACAAACAAACAAACAAACTGTGGCTTATATTAACTACATTTTGTTTGAAACAAAGGCCACTACGAAAAGTTCCTCAATTGCCAAATGCTAAATCCAACAATTCACAAGAACTGAAAAAAGCTCAAACATATGATAGAGGCTCTGTCATAAAAAGATTCAGGAAAAATATTACCCTGCATCAAGGGCCTCAAAGACTTAATGTTCACATTATACCAATATCTGCACCAGTACGTTGTACAAATGGTCAAATTTGGAGGATGCCAAACTGGAGAAGCTACCTAAGTTCCTGCACAAGACCTTTTTTCTTTTAATGTTCACACAATAGCAATATAATTACCTTAGCTTCAATCTGCCTGTAGCATGAGACACCATAGACTGTACTTCGATCTCCGCTTCTTGGTGGCAAGTGAAAAAACACAGTGTCTGAAAGAGGAACGAAATGGTCTTACCATTCACTAAAGGTATCACATAGAGGTATGAAGTTTCTACAGCGTTATCCTGCTCAGTATCACCCTGAGAGCCAATTTGGTAGCTAGCCTAACATGTCCAGGAAAAACTAAAACATTATGATGTGGAATAATGGGTAGAACATGGGTCTACATGAGTATTTTATATTACCATGCAGAGCCTACTCAAGCTATTTTACTGCCCTGGGGGAAATTAATTTTGCTCATCCACCAATGGATCTTTTTGTAACAGCCAGGAGTGCACCTCAGTCAGCAGCGATAAGGAACTGTATCTTGCAGCTGCTGCTCCCTATCCCATTCCAGGGAACTATAAACCTGCTGCCAAGAACTGGCTGGTTAGTTGAAATCCGCAGGTGAAACTTGGCACCACCACCATTCCTTAACTCTTGACACCCTCTCAGAATCACCGGGTCACAATGCTGCAATGACAGCAGAAACCAAAACCAGCGGCTTTTCTGTCAGCCTGTGATCCAAATTCTGTCAATGAGTCTCTTTGTCTCTCTCCTTTCTTGGTTTATTTCCTTCTGGCCTGTAAGGAGAACTACTCCGGTTTCTAGGCCCTAACTGAAGTTTTGCCTGAGGCCTACCTTTTTTGGCCATTCCTCAACTTCACACCTCCACCACCCATGGTTTCCTTGGCTTCCGGCTTTTCATTATGCTGCTTACTGAACTTTCTTAAATCACTCTGTTTGTTGACCAGCCAATCTCCCCAGTCCTGTCCCATAGGAGAGCTTCATCAGCTGTTTCTTGTCATTCTACACTGCCTCTAATCTTCTCCCCAGGGTTTCTCTTTCTAAGGGCTCATCCACACTTCCACTTTCCCCCAGGAATACCTGCTCTTCAGCACTGAATCGGAGGAAATGTCAATAGAGTTTTCGCAGACTTATGCGTGCTCCGATTCAGCAGTAAAGAGCAGGTTTTCCTGGGGAAAGTGGCAGGGCAAACAGAAAACTGCTTGGACCCATGCACCCTTCTTTCAGTCACTTTGCCTTCACTCTCTCCCAGGATTTCCCAATCCACTTTATGTCAGGTTTTAATCCCAGCCAAACTGACATTTGCTTTCCTCGCAGAAGATGGACAGCAAACAATTTAAGTTTCCTGTTTAAGTGAACATTCCAAGCCCCACCTTCAGCAAACTTAGCTAATTAGTGTTAGAGCCTTTATTGTCAGAAGTGCATCAGGATAAGCCAGATCTGGCACCTTAAAGCATACTTCCTGCCAAATCCGAGACAAAAAAGTATAGAGAAAAGTTTGCTAATAACTTGTCAGCTACTTTAAGAGCTGGCCAGGGTGGGGCTCCTGTCCATCATCTCTCACTCCCACTTCAAATGAAGAAAAAGGGCTGCTGACCAAGGTTCTACAGATATAAAATTAAGCTTCTTGTGATCAACTGGATTTTTTGTTTTAAATTGTCAGTATTAATCGGCAAAGAACATCAAGCTTGAATGGCAGCCTTACAAGAAGAAAGCACTTGCTCTAAGAACAGCTGTCTTACACTTTACAGCCAGAGCAGAGATACCCAGGGGAATGCTTTCAACTGAACAGGTCTGATTGCTTTGTTGCTATGATAGCTTTGTAACCATTACTTTTGCTTTTACCAAAACTATGCACTAATGCCTTGTTGCCATAGGAACAGATTGGCCTGCAGCTGTGTTTTGCCTTTGCATTTGGGGCTGCGACATCTAGGAATGTTTCACTTGGTGCAGTAAGAAGCAGGTAAACATTAACTAGTTAGTGTGTGCCCACTAGTCTATGTACCAAATTTGCGTATGTCTGTTGCCTTGCCTAATTTCTTCTCGGCGGAATATTTTGCGCCTTACCTTTGCAGCCGCAGGGGCTAGAAACCTGGTTTCTATAAAATAAAATAAAAATGCTGAGGTTTTCAGGGTGCTGAAAACTCCAGACAGTGCCCAGTTCTGTGCTTGTTCATGTAACACAACATTGGGCAGAACCATCCCAAATGACTCCTTACCTTCTTGATAGTTGTGAGCCCCATCCGGCAATGCTAGGAAAGGCAAGTATTTCCATTCCTCTGGCAAACTGTGATTGTCGTGGCCTTCTCCTGGGATTAGGGGAGGGTAGGAGAACTCAACCTGCAAACAGGCATGTTATGTTCAGTGAATTGCTACATGGGAAGAGAAGACTGACCCACCAAACCCAGCAGCCAGTAACCTGATATCTAAGTGAAAAATGGGTAAGCAACCCCTTTGTGCTTCTTTTCCCTAAAACAAATCATTGTTCCCATCAATCCAGTCAACGTGAAAAACAAACAAGCGTGAAAGTGTAAGACATTAGGGATGATGGGGGATAATGGATACCACCACATTGGGCATCTCTTCTCTAAGGAAAATTGTAAGTATGAATGTGCTTTGAATCAATATGTAAAACAAACCACCTGGCAATCCTCCATAAACCTTTGCTTATTGTACATATCCCTCTCAAGAGATTGCCAGCTAATGCAGTGCTCACAACAACTTCAAACTTGTTGAAAGCTAGAACATGGGAACATCTATAAAATGCACAGAATGAAATTCAGTGATAACAAAACAAAACAGCGGTATTACTGAAGAGATCAAATTCATTAAGACACATTACAGCATATATCAAATGGCAAATATTGTGCAAATGCAGTTTATTTCTCAAAATAGCAAGGGGGGTTCCTCCCATGGTGTTGCCCTTCGTACTCACTAATGGAACATTTTAGATTGTGAATTTTAATTCCTAGGAGCAGAAGTGGGGTTGAAATACAGACCATCTCCTTCCCCCCCACTTTAAAAAAGCAAAATCCTCCAAAAGGTGGTGAAGTAGTTTAATATTTTTAAGTAAGACCAATTTAGGGAATTATTGCCATGTTAAGGTGTGGTCAAAGTCCAAGTTCTGTCAGGCTCTTACACACACAAAATAGCATGACACTGAAATTAATGAACCAGACTCTGCGTGCAAAAAACTCTTGTCTGTTCATCAGACCCCGCTAGTGTAAGAAGGTCCACAAGATGTAGGCTGACTATGCTCTTCCCAAAATCCTTTCCTGTTTGTTGCCTCTAAATTCCACCTAAAATTTCATAAAGATATAGCTTTGTCATTCTTTTAAAAATGAACCTCAGTACACAAAAAATAACTTTTTTATTCACTAAAATAACACAATTAAGAACTATATTTTATTTTTTAAACCACAGAGTAATGCAAGTATAGAACAGCCCTGTTTTCAGGAAATCTAATTTGGGGAAATAAATGGGTTCAAGGTGAAAAGCCCTAGTTCTTTGCAGAATCATCATTCAATGATAATAGCTTCAATACAAAAAGCTCATCAAGGAATGCAAATTCAGCTAATATAAGATTCTACCACAGATCTCCCTAATCCAATTTCAAAAGCAGATGACCTCTTTCTTCCTTATGGCATATTCACAAAAGGCAGTTATCCAAATGGGAAACATCAGTGTCACAAGGTAGGCATCGGAGCAGAAATTATGACACTTCACTCTAATTGGAGCAATTTGCCAGTCATCGGGTAAGAACTTTATTCCATGTTGTGTCAGGAACAAATTTCTAATTTATAGCAGGGACAGTAACCCATGGAATACAGAACTCAAGAATGCCCCAGAAATGACTGAAGCCTAATTATATGACCATTTTTCTGAATCAAACTGAAGGCACAGTTTGTTGTGAGCATGCCCAGTTTTTTTGCTTAACTTTTGAGGTTTTTCTTTGTACAAATGGGTACACAGAAGAGACTTCTTAATACTTCTGCTGCTGTTTAAAAAGGTTTCTTATTTTTACTTATCAATTTGTTTTATTTTGGAATTACATAAGCCACTTGGTGTACTCTCCCCCCTTGCCCTGAAAAAAGATGAGATTTACAAGAAGTTAAATGAAGTCTAGTGGGACGCCGGGCGCTGTGGTCTAAACCACCGAGCCTCTTTGGTTTGCTGATCAGAAGGTCGGCAGTTCGAATCCCCGCGACGGGGTGAGCTCCCGTTGCTTGTCCCTGCTCCTGCCAACCTAGCAGTTCGAAAGCACGCCAAAAAGTGCAAGTAGATAAATAGGTACTGCTCCGGCGGGAAGGTAAACGGAATTTCCATGGGCTGTTCTGGTTTCGGTGTTCCGTTGCGCCAGAAGCGGCTTAGTCATGCTGGCCACATGACCCGGAAAAACTGTCTGCGGACAAACGCCGGCTCCCTTGGTCTGTAAAGCAAGATGATCACCACAACCCCAGATTCGTCTGCAACTGGACTTAACTGTCAGGGGTCCTTTACCTTTTTTTTAAAAAGTGAAGTCTATTATGGCTTATTTACACATTAAGCTTATATTTGAAACGATGAGGAAGAAAGATTATAATTTCATAAACCCTGCTCACCAGCTCTGCAGTACAGTTTCAATTTATCCTCCTTCTTATAATGAATTTGGTGCCTTATGCAATGCTAGCTCTAGCTAAGGTTAATTATCACAAATGACAAGGCACCCACAGGCCAAAAAGGTGCTCAACCAATTGCAGAATCAAGCTTGTAGCTGAACATGAGTTCAAACTGGAGCTTTGACAAACAATATATTGTATATTTTTGTTCTCAAGGAATGTTGTCCAGAATTGCTTATAAAACAAGTAACCTTTTCATCTTTAGGGAAATTGTGTGATGGAGCAGAAAAGAAAAGTGAAAACATTAAACAATGTGTGTTAAGAATTATGGCAAACATATTATAGTAACCTCCAAGTTCCTACCACATCTGGGAAAATAGTTGCCACAAACCAGTTACAGAGCAGAAATATAATTGGTCTTATAAGTGTGAGGAAGCAAGACAGCTAATGATAGTTCAATTACCCGTGAGTTAAAAGGCTACTTTAGACACAGCCAAGTATACCCTGTGGGATTTCTCGCTTTTTGAAAAATAGTGTGTATAACAAACAGCATTTGATATTCCTTTCAGTTTCAAAGAATTATTTGTCCTGTGGCAGAAGGGCTGCTATTTGGGAAATATAAACATAAAGCACCATTGGTGGCATATAGTTCTTTGGAATCATAGAACTGTAGAGCTGGAAGGGACCCTGAGGATCATCTAGTCCAACCCCTTGGAATGCAATAATATGCAGCTGCCCCATACAAGGATTGAACCTGCAAACTTGGCATCATCAGCACCACACTCTAACCAACTGAGCTATCCAGGACTCAGGAAGGGAAAGCTATCAAAAAGGTAATAACCTATGTATTGGATGGGAAAGGGCAGTATAATTTAATCAGTAACAAATGGTCCCTCTGAAAAGCAGCCATCATGTGACTTATCATGCCAAACCGTCAGGTACTGTTGTCAGTTTCTGGCTCAACTGCCTTCCTAGAAAAAGTATTGGAACAGGACTGAAGAAAGGAAGTGCACTCTAACTTCTGCCATCAGCTAGGGGCGCTAGGGCCACGGAAAGCTCCCCTACCCAATGCCTCTCAGGAATAGCATAAAGGCAAGAAGGACACCAACTTGCGCCACCCATCAGCACAGAAGGAACACTAGCAGGAAGATCACTTTTCTTCTCTTTCATGCCTGAAAGACCACTTAGCTGCAGCTGTCTGTTATCCTGGGAGTGCAGATACGTGGGGGGAAAGGACTCTCTGGCCCCATCCACCAGTCAAAGGAACAAGAGCCCATCACTATTCAAGCAATACCAGCACTAAGGGACAATCAGCTTGCCCAAACTGGATATATATGCTCTGTTATATGTAGATCACTGCCTTCTTTTGGTCTTGATGAACCGATCTCTCTTCTGCCCTTTTTCTCTCTACAGTGGTGCCTCGCAAGACGAAATTAATTCGTTCCGCGAGTTTTTTCGTCTTGCGGTTTTTTTCGTCTTGCGAAGCACGGTGTCGGAAAAGTTTTGGAAAAGCTTCAAAAATCACCAAAGTCTTCAAAAACCTCAAAAAGGCTACCACACCACAGTGCATATGAGTTGCTCCTCAAGTCAAGTCGCAACTGTATTAACGGTTTTAAGAAATGGAAACAAACTTGCACGACGTTTCCGTCTTGCGAAGCAAGCCCATAGGGAAAATCGTCTTGCAAAGCAACTCAAAAAACCAAAAACCCTTTCGTTTTGCGAGTTTTCCGTCTTGCGAGGCATTCGTCTTGCGAGGTACCACTGTACTCCCTTTTTCTTATGGGCCTTGTCTTTTTTTAGTTTGTAAGCCTAAAGGAAAGGCCTGTCTCCTTTTCTCCTTCTATTCTGTGTGCTGCTTTGAGAGACAATAACTGCCTGGAAAGTAACAATCTGTGTGATGGGCGGGAAAAGGCAGCAGAATTTAATAATTAGTACCAAGAAGGCTGATCACCAAAGAATTAATGCTTTTGAATTATGGTGCTGGAGGAGACTCTTGAGAGTCCCATGGACTGCAAGAAGATCAAACCTCTCCATTCTGAAGGAAATCAGCCATGAGTACTCACTGGAAGGACAGATCCTGAAGCTGAGGCTCCAATACTTTGGCTACCTCATGAGAAGAGAAGACTCCCTGGAAAAGACCCTGTTGTTGGGAAAGATGGAGGGCACAAGGAGAAGGGGATGACAGAGGACGAGATGGCTGGACAGTGTTCTCGAAGCTACCAGCATGAGTTTGACCAAACTGCGGGAGGCAGTAGAAGACAGGAGTGCCTGGCGTGCTCTGGTCCATGGGGTCACAAAGAGTCGGACACGACTAAACAACTAAACAACAACAACAAACAAATCTGAAAGGCAACCATTGCTTGGCTGGCTGCATCAAACAGTTAGGTGCTGGGGTCAGTTTCTGAGAACTGCCTTCTTAGACACAGTACAGGGGTCTCCACTGAGTAAGAAACAGTGTTCCCAGAACAGAATCATTGTATTGTATAGCTGGAAGGGATCCTGATGAACATCTGACCTAGATCGACCCACTGCCATGCAGGAATCTCAATTCAAAGCATACATGACAGATGGCCGTCCAACCTCTGCTTAAACACCTCCAAGGAAGGAGAGTCCAAGGGAGTCTATTCCATGGCTGAACAACTCTTACTGTTGAAGCAGGTGGGAGAAAACTCGTTTCCCAAGAAATGTCTATAAAACATGATCAAACTGTGCCAACTTTCGTCAGTCAATTAAGTGCCCACCAGGAAGAATGTTACACAAGTCTGAGTGAACTTAACATAAGAATACACAAAAGGAATGTAGCAATTGAATTAATACACACACACAAAGAATCAGCCAGCCTGTGACCAAATCCCAGGCAAGTTTACCCATAAACAACTCCCACTGAGTTCAGTAGTGAATTTTACTCCCTAGTCAATGTGCTCAGGACTATGAAGTTTAGCAGCATGTTTTTCACAATCCATTTTCTGTCTTTGTCCATTCATAATCATTATTTTGCATTTAAAACAGCTAAGTTGCCAGATACCTTTACCTGATAATACTCACAACTTGTTCTGCTACTTCTCTTCTGATCTACCTGAAATTTGGCACCTTCTGCTAAACATACAACCTTTGGAGTCTGAAACCTGAGAAAATCTTTCTTCTAAGTGAGTAAATGTTCCCGTGTATAAGTGGGGCATATTAACTACAAATCGAGTCATTCCTTCTTTACAAACTAAGTTCCGTTGATGCCAGACAAAGTAATCACAGCCTCACCCACAAAGCACAATATATTATTTAAACAAGGTCAAACAAAAAATGACAGTCTATTCATAAAGCATGGAAAAGAAACAGCCTTAAATCATACATATACATATTTATTACACTTAAGTTCTATACATGTCTACCTTGAAGTAACTCTCTTGAATTCAAAGCACTTATTTCCAAGGTATAGGATCTTAGCCATAGAAATGTGCTTCATCATAAAAGGCCATACCTGAGTCTCACAGTATGTCACAAATGTATTGCAGCTCAAGAAATGTACTTTTTTATTAGCTGGTTAAATATTGCAAGTTAACCAATGGAGGCGGGGGGACAATAAAATATTCTATGACTGAAAAGAAGAAGCCTCTGTAGTAACTCTTCACCTGATGCCATGCTGAACTAGTATCACACTCTTTCACTTGCTACTCAGGTTTTATGGCCACTTTTAGGTACAAAAAAAGTATTGTTTTAAGTTTTTCATGTGTGCTAAAACTCAGTCTAAGTTTCTTTTAAAAAACCCAAAACTGTTTAACCACATCAGTTAACAAACATGGATATATATGCTATAATGTTACTGTTTTAGTTAAATATTATTTTTCTCCTTCCAATAAAGTACAGCAGAAAAGTTGTCCAACTATAAACAGTTAACTTATTAAACCTCACAATAATTTCATAATTATCTGTCTATGTACTTCTAATAGTATAACCAAATCAGAAATTTTTGATATAACTGTAAAAACTACTCTAAAAATTTATTATTCCAAAAATGAAACCTTCATCTGGTCGTAAATATTAAGATTATACCAGAAAGAATGAGTCTTTCTGTAAAAAAATGATTTAAATCAAGTCTTATTGACTAGTGATTTAAATCATGATTTAAATCGGTATCATTTATATCAAATCCACCCTGGTCAAAGCTTATCTTGTCTAACTTCAGCAGCAGAGAGGGCTCTGTGACAGGAGCATGCTTTCAAGAGCATTCATTTCAGATGGCAACCCATTAAAGTCCCTTTCACTGCCCCATTCCCTTATTTAATGCCTTCCACAAGCAAGTACAAAGATAATTCTGCCGGCATATGTGTCTAATGCCACAGAGGTGAGCCCAGACCTCATTTTACTTACCTCCATGCACAGGACTGCATGGCGAGTCCTATAGCTAGTAAGTATGTTTAGGATTATTTCACAGAATGATAGAATTGTAAAATTGGAAAGGACCTTGAAGCCCATCTAATCCAACTCCCTGCAATGCAAGAATCTTTCGCCCAGTGTGGGACTGAACCCGCAACCCTGAGATGAAGAGTCTCATGCTCTGTCACAGATTGATGGTATCTATCCTTCCTCAAACAAGTAAACTAAAATCTGCACTCCACAGCCAACAAGGAGCTGAAAGGTTGGAGCTGATCGCTCTACTGTTTCGTTCCCTGTAATCAAAGTATTGCAGGATGGTTATTATTATTATTATTATTATTTCTTTCTTTTATTATTTGTTCAATTTGCATACCGCCCTTCATCCGATGATCTCAGGGCGCTTCGCAGCGTAAAAATGCAAAGTAGAATCAAATCAAGGATGCTGCTGTAATGCACATTTCCCTTTTGAGGCTGTGTTACATGCAAGCAGGTGTAAACAGGACCAGCCTGGGCAAACAACAGAAACCCTCCTCTTTGAGGGTTTTTGCGTTGGAGGTGTTGTTATGTGTGGGGTTTTTTTGTGGGGTGGGGGAACCATCAAGCGGTGTGCAAATTATTCACAATATAAATAAATTAACCGAGCGGTTTTAACAAAAAACAAAAAAAACTCGCTTTGCCCAAGGCGAAAAGGCACCTCCATAATTGTTCTCCTTCTGGCTGATATAACCAGAAGGTTGGTGGTTGGAGCCCACGCAGCAGGGCGGCTGTGGGCAGGATCTGTGCACTGCAAGGGGTCGGTCTAGATGACTCTTGGGATCTGAAGAAACCAGAGGCCTTTCTCCTGGGCATAGTCGGCCAATCGGTGTTAAAAAAGGATAGAATTTTCTTTATGTATGCTACAACAGCAGCAAGAATACTCATTGCAAAGTATTGGAAGACACAAGATCTACCCACACTGGAGGAATGGCAGATGAAAATGATGGAATACATGGAATTGGCGGAAATGACTGGCAGAATCCGTGACCAGGGAGAAGAGTCGGTGGAAGAAGATTGGAAGAAATTCAAAGACTATTTACAGAAATACTGCAAAATTAATGAATGTTAGAATGATGTTGGATTGAAGTTAAGGATTTTCTAGCTGTACAGGCTAAAAGAATATGGAAAAATTGGTTTTAATATGTAAAATCTAAAATTTAAAGCTATATTATATCAAGATTAAAGATTAGGATTAAAAAGGAGGGAAAGGAACTGTTGGACTAACATATCTAATTAGAATACAAAAGAGGGAGGTAAGAGGAGGTCCGAGAAACAAGTAAATGCAAAAGAACTGAGGAAAAGATGAAATTGTCTCTAATTGTTTTTTTTTGTTTTTTACCTTGTATTTTTTCTTTTTATTGTTAATTTTTTCTTTATTAATGTGATTTTCTTTTTTCCTTGTGAAATTTTAATAAATATTATTTAAAAAAATAATAATAGATGACTCTTGGGATCCCCTTCCAAGTCTAGGCTTCTGACGCGTGAAAGGGGGGTGACGAGGCTTAAGGGAAGGAGAGGGAAGAGGAGGAGAAGAAGGAGAGCCCTCCTCACCTGGCAGCCCTTCTTGTGGTGGAAGCCGACCACCGCGATGTGCAGCACGGGCCCCCTGGAGCCGCGGGGGTGCAGGTCGCCCTTGGAGCTGCCCCTTCGCTCCATGAAGGAGCCCGGGAGCAGCAGCAGCGCCGCCGCCGGAGGAGGAGGTTGTTTACCGGCGGGCTACGGGCGCCGCTTCCTTCCGCGGCCGGCCTCCCCAGCCCGCCGGCGCCCGTCCTCTGAGCATGCTCCCTGGCCGCCGAGCACGCCCCGTAGCGGCCGCCGGGGGAGAGAGGCGCCGGGCCCCGCGGAGGGGAGAGCGAGGCCTCAATGGCGCGCGGGAGCCAGGGCGCGCGAGGCCGGAGCAGGAGGAGGGAGAGGCGGCTGCTGTGGGGAGCCGAAGGGAAGCTGCCAAAACAGGGCGGCCGCCTTCCCCGGTTACCTCAGGATGGTTCCTCCTGGCAACCGGCGGCCAGGGCTCTGTTCTTAAAGGTGCAGCCCGTCGGAGAATGCCAGACCGACCCCCCCAAAAAAACCTCAGGGGAGCCCAGTGTAGTCTCAGAGGAAAGAGAGAATGAATGAATAAATCTTTATTAGCAAAACAACAATATGCAAATGACAAAAATAAAAAGTCGATTATATAAGGACTTTAGGGTCCTGAATCAGCAGTCAAATGGTGGACCTGATTCTGATTGCCCCAGCTAAAAACCTGGCAACCTTTGCTGTCATCTTGATCTGCCAAGAGAAAGGACACTGGGGCAGTGGTTGGGCGACCCGGAATGGACAATAAAAGAGGGGCGATAACCTCATTCCTCAAGTCTTTATAAAGAGTGCAACCGAGAAGGGCATGCGCCACCGATTCGGTACTGCCATCTCCACAGGGACATAAGCGTTTTCTGTGTGGAAACTGTTGGAACCATCCCTTGAGTACACCCGAGGGCAAGACATTCAATCTTGTAAGAGTAAAAGCATGTCTATATTTTAGAATTGCTAGGTTATGCAGCTAGAGTGCCAGATGGGCGAAATGGCAAGGTGGAAAATAGTCATGCCATGGGCAAAATTTCCTTATTGTGGCTAAGTTGTTCTGACGCTCGACATCATTTAGGCGCAGACAAATTAGACTGTTTGCTTGAAGTAGCCCCAGAGGCTTGCGCATTTCTTTCTCTATCACGATTGTACATCGCCTTTTTTTCTGCCAAGGAGCATGTGGTTCTCCCCCTCCCCATGTTGTTGTCCTCGCAGTAGCAACCCTGCATAGGTGCCAGGGCCCTGGAGCACCCACAGAATTTCCCATGAAGGTGCCAGGCACCCACGGATTTCTTTTTTCTTTCTTTTTTAAATAATTTTATTTCGTTTTACAAAATCAATCACACAATTAACATTCTTGAAAACACTGCAAATAAAACAAGATTCTTTTGAATCTTAGGACTTCCCTCCTTCCCTCCAGGAATTCTGAAAGGCACCCACAGATTTGGGTGCCAGGGCCATGCACAACGTTGCATGGCACCCACGGCCACGGGGACCCACGGTCGCAGGGCCAAGCTGGCATTCCTGCAACCCTGTGAGGAAAGTTAGGCTGAGTGATAGTGGTCAGCCCAGGGTCACCCAGGGAGCTTCATGGCTGAGTAGGGACTCAGTCTCAACCACTATGCCACACTGGCCAATATCGTCATCTTCATTGTATGCCGCCTGTCCATAGTGCTCAAGGCAGCTTGCGAAATGGGAAGATTTACCACAACAGCCAGAGTTATGGGTATCACGTGGCAGGACAGAGCTTTGGACAAAGTCTCTCTCCCAAGTCCACATTCCCAGCATGTTCACAGTCCTGTCTCAGCAACATCTATGCTAGCTTGGTCATATCCACAGAATGAACATGTGGACATGTTCCTATTGGAGAGCTGGCTGACCAACTCTGCATTACAAAGATGTCTGCAAACATGACATGAAGGCTGGCAACATCATCCCTGCCATGTGGGAATCCCTGTAGGCAGCCCTGCACAGGGAAGTTCTTAATGTTTGATGTTTTACTGTGTTTGATGTTTTAATTTGCTGGAAGCTACCCAGAATGGCTGGGGCAACTCAGTTGGATGGGCGGCATATAAAAAATATTGTTATTACTACATACTACCACTACTACTACTACTATAGACAACTGCAGTGCCTTTGTGGGTTCTCTCGCCACATACACAATCAAGAGGTTGCAGTGGTTAGGAGGCTGGGCTTGTGCTTTGCTTTCCATCATTTGCCTCCCTTCAATTAAGTTAACTGATTCTCTTTCCTCTCTCAGTGGATAAATTTGGTGGGTGGGGACCATTAAGTGTATGGTTATAGCACAGACCAGGGCACAAGTCTGGAACTTGTGACTTCTGGCCAATGAAAATCAGCACACTTGTTTAATGTTACATTAAAAGTTAGCCCCTATAACTGACATAGAAAGAAAGTGGCTTGAAGAAGCCAGTTGTATGATACTGCTTACAAGGCACGCATTATTACATAGAGCACTAGAAAACTTGTCCACTTTGGTACTATGGATTAAAAGCTGTCAATTTACCAGCAACATAGGTATATCTGGGGGATATGTACCAACATCAGTTGGTACCCATAGTAAAAAAATAAGAACCAGACAAGAGCTCATTTACACTAGTTGTAGTGTCATCACCCTAGCGCAGGATTTCCCAACTTGGGTCTCCAGATGTTTTTGGACTACAATTCCCATAATGCCTGGTCCTGCTAGCTAGGTATGGTGGGCATTGTAGTTCAAAAACAGCTGGAGACCCAAGTTTGGGAAAGCCTGCTGTAGTGCATATAACAATATATACACATACTGTACATCCCATGGCCTGACTGCTCGACCCGCAGCAGTCTTCTAAGTGTGTAAGTGGGGAGCAGGCAAGAATGCAGGCTTGACCCTGACTATAAATCATACATAGCAAAGCCTGTGGCCTTTTAGCTTGTTTGGGAAACCTCTCATTGCAAATGCTATTTGTTGTATTTAGAAAGGGCAGGTACAGGAATTGGGTGGGTACTGAATGCTTTACTAATCTCCAAGGTTAGAACACAAAACGACGGGCTAAAATCCATCTTTTTGACATGCTGCACTTTTAAAAAACGGGTGGATAACGCAACCCATATTTTAAAGGGATGCAACCCTTGGAGCATTTTCAGAACTCCGGCCTTTCGAGTCCTCCTTCGGCCAAAATCCAAGCGCCCGAGATTTTCCATACCAGGGTCCAATCTAGGAACAGGTGGGCGAAAAGATACCCTTGAGCATGCACAGAGTGCCTTCTCCTTTACCACTCACAGCCCGCCTTTAGGTCTTTGGAGGCAATAAAAAGAGTTCCAGGAGATGCGTTTCGGATTTAAAGCATGGTACGCTTTAAAAAAAGAAACAAACCAGACTAGGGCTTAGCTTTTAAAGTTAGCGCTCGGTCGTCACGTGCCCCTCGGCCTCGACTTGCGCTGGGACTCCTTTTCGAGGGCTTTCCTAGTTCGATTGCTCTTATCGATTCGCTGAGTCTGCTCAAACTAGAACAGTCGGCTCTGTTCTGAGTGGCCGGGGACGCAAGAGCCCGCCTCCCCCGGCATTTATTTATTTATTTTTTAAACCAGTGAGCAATAAGAGGACGGCGAACTCGATTAGTCAGGCCTCGCGGCAAAATGGCGGCCAACGCGACTACCAACCCGTCTCAGCTTCTGCCTCTTGGTAATTGAATGGCGGGCGCTCGTCTCTGAGCGGTGTAGCCGGGGGAGAGGGATAAAGAGAGGGCGGGAGGGGAGGGGGAAATGGGGTGGGGGAGAGGGGGGAGAAATGGGTTGGGGCAGGGTGGGGGAGGGGAAATGGGGTGAGGGAGAGGGGGGAAATGGGGTGGGGGAGAGGGAGAAATGAGGTGGGGGAGGGGAAATGGAGTGGGCTGAGGGAGGGGGAAATGGGGTGGGACAGGGAGGGGGAGGGGAGGGGGAAATGGGGTGAGGGAGAGAGGGGAAACGGGGTGGGGGAGAGGGGGGGAAACGGGGTGGGGGAGGGAGGGAGAAATGGGTTGGGGCAGGGTGGGGAGGAAATGGGTGAGGAGGGGAAATGGGGTGGGAGGGAGAAATGAGGTGGGGGAAATGGGGGCTGAGGAGGAGGGTGGGACAGGGAGGAGGAGGAGGAAATGGGGTGAGGGGGGAAATGGGTGGGGCAGGGTGGAGGAAATGGGGTGAGGAGGGAAATGGGGTGGGAGAGGGAATGAGGTGGGGAGGGAATGGGCTGAGGGAAATGGGGTGGGACAGGGAGGGGGAGGGGAGGGGGAAATGGGGTGGGGGAGAGAGGGGAAATGGGGTGGGACAGGGAGGGGGAGGGGAGGGGGAAATGGGGTGGGGTGGGGGAGAGAGGGGGGAGGATGAGGGAGATGAGAGGAGGTGTGGGGGGCAAGTGCAGCATTTGTATGTGTAGCATCATGGCCACATACCTGGGGCAAAGTTACACACAGCATGGAGACGTGGCACCAGAACTCATGGGCATCCAATGAAACCGAATGTTGGAAGATTCGGGATGGATAAAAGGAAGCGTTTCTCCATGCAGTGCAGTTAGTTCAACTGTGGAACTCGCTTCCACAGGAGGCAGCGGTGGCCCACAACTTGAACGGCTTCTAAAGAGGATTGGACAGATTCACGGACGATAATAAGCCTAGCAGTGGCTACTAAATGCAGTGGCTGTGCTCTGCCTTCACAGCTGCAGCCAACAGTGCTCCTGAATGCTAGTTTCTGAAAAGCAGGAAAGGTTCAGGACTGAAATCACATTAAAATTTGAGGCTCCAGCAATCTTTTTATTATGTATATGATCATAATCAGCTCCCAACTGCATCTTTTGAACTTTGGGATTATTTAATTGACCCACTGGATTTATTTAATGATGTAATATGCTAGTGACCCCTGCTATTAAGATTGTTTTTAGTTTTGGATACAGACTGTTTTGTAAATGAAGTATGTTTAAAATCATTGGTAACTGAAAACACATCTTGAAGAAAGAGACAGTGCTCATACATTTGTACATAAATTAGTAACTACTAATTAAATGCTTTTTCTGATTAACAGAGCTGGTGGACAAGTGCATAGGCTCACGAATTCACATCGTGATGAAAAGTGATAAAGAAATTGTTGGCACACTCCTAGGATTTGATGACTTTGTCAGTATCCTTTACAGGGAATAATGTGGAGGCTTTTCACAGTTTGCTTTTTGGGATGTGTGTGTGCGTTGTTGTTGGGTTTTTTTTGCAAGCAGCTGTTTAAAATAACGTTCCCCTGGAAAGGGAGTTGTTCTGGTGTTTTGAATTGGATAAAAGTAGATCTGCATTTAGGTTCATACCTTTGGTGATGGTTTGCACTGCAACTGCAAGTTTATTTGCAGCCACTGGGCTTCTGTGATTACTGTGTCTGCAGTACTGACAGATGGTGCCTGTACATAATGGATGGGGTATTATATCCTCCTCCTGCAGATGCTGCTGGGCTATATCACCCCTCACAATTGGCCATGCTGAATGGGACTGATGGGAATTGGAGTCCAACAAGATCTCAGGTTCCCTACCTGTGTTGTACATCATTCTTCTAGGCTGCAAGCCTAGCACCTGTTGCACATGCTCTGAGACACTTGTGTGACAGCCATGTATTCTAGGAACAGGACCTACATCTTGATAATATAAATACACTGTTAGCCATCTTGGATATCTACTCATCTAATGAATGCAGGGGGAAATGTGAATCACTACTTTTGTAGTAACTTTTTCCTTGACATCAGGCTTCAGACATGGTATTGGAAGATGTTACAGAATTGTAAGTATGGCTGCTTCTGGCTTTCAATCTCAGCGCATTTTGTACCAACAGTTGTCTTTACTTTCACTCACTCTTCAGAACTTGCTCTCTTGACCTCTCCTATACTTGCACATAGGCTGACAATATTAGCTACTTTTGTGAGGCATGCTGTAATACTGTTCACCAGTTTTCAGAAAAAGCAGAGTGTAATTCTCCTAAGGTGAGAGTGGAGCATTATATTAGTGGTACAAGGCACCAGTTGGGGAACCCCCAAGGCTCAGAGCCCAGAAATTGGTAGTGGGACTACGATAAGGGGTCAGAGGGAAAAGAGGGAGCAGACTGAGAGGAGGTGGTGTTGGAAGTTGAAGAGGTGACAGGGTTTAGTGAGCAGGAAGAGCCTGTGGTAGAGAGCAGTCCAGAATCGGGGCTGGAGAGGAGGGGGGCCAAGAAGCAGATGAGGTGGACCTCTGAAGAAGCCCTCCTGTTGTGACCAGCTCCCCTCCCCCCTGGTCTCCCAGGACCAAAAGAAGTATGAAGAGGGTGGAGCAGAGACAGACACATCAATGGAGTCTCAGATTGCTTGGGAAGGAACCAGGGGAGGTGGATACTTAGGCAGTGGGAAGGCAGGGACCTTCAGTCCTCACAACTGCCTCATTGAGGCAAGATCTACTGGGAAGAGTTTTTGTGTTCATTAGGCCTGGTCTCCTGAGCTATTTGTTTCTTTGAAGAAAGAGTTAACTTCATTGATGCTGTGTGAGTTATTATTATCCTGCTCTTGGCACCTGCCCCCTGACACTGGGGTGCTCCTCTCTACAAATCCCCAGTCTACTGTGGCAGCATCTTTCAGAGGTACTCATTCCTTACTTTTCTCGTTAGCTACTGTATAAGGGTATAATTGCAACAACTTCCCTTCCCATGCTATTCTAGGAAAGTACCAATTGCAGAACAATGTAGGTAGGATTGCTGCAATTATTTATCTTACCAGTTTTCCCCTTCAGGGACATTTGGATGACTCTGGCATGGAGACTAGCAGACTCTTATCAGATAATGAAGACTTGAATGAAAAATAGTTTTCATCAAACTTTCCAGTTTTGTATCCTTTTTCTGTTTGTCTTGTGTTCAACAGTGAGATCACACCTGAAGGACGAAGAATTACAAAGCTAGACCAGATTTTGCTAAATGGAAATAACATAACAATGGTAAGTAATTAGTCTTACATTTCTGTCCCTAGTTAATTCCTGTTAACTAGGCCAAACTAGTTAACTGTGGAAGCTTGGTTAATTCAGAAACTGAAACAGAATCCAATAAAATGCCAAAAAATTGAAGTGGTATCCTAAAAAAGAACTGAGATGTTGCATGTTCTGAGTCAGGGAGGTGGAGATATGGCCTATTTTGGGTGGGGGGTCTCAATAAATGTAAAACAAGCGAATATAAACTATTCTAATGTAATTTATTTACAGACACGTGTATATAATCTTTTTTGACCTGAAAAATTCAAGGTGGCTGATACAATGGCTTGCTTCACACAACATGCTAAGCCTAACCCTGACTTGGTGAGAATGTTGGGGGGGGGGGGGTCCCCAGAGGCAAGCTCCCAGCTGCCTTGCTGCTCCTTCATCCTTTTTGCTGCCAATATTTGGTTTAGATTACCATCTGCACCAGAGCCTGCGGCTAAGTTCTCTCCCCAGTAACTGTAAGCTATAACCAAGTGTGAACCTTGTTTGGCTTAGTGTGTTGTATGAGCCAGACTGCAGTTGGTGGGAGGAATCTTGTTAATGCTTCTTCCACTACACTGCCTGAGACGGGTAGTCAGAGTGGCTCTGCCTGACAAGCCAACAGAACTGATTTTGCTGGGCATGTTTCTGTAGCTCCATCCTTGAGAGAGGGTAGAATGGTTGTACATAACTTTTCTAGATGAAATGATTAAGATCTTCATCTTCTCATGTGAACTTTCTTTCAGCTGGTTCCCGGAGGAGAAGGACCAGAAGTGTAAATAAAGTCATATGTCATCATTGAAGACTTCCTGTTAAAGCTTCTGTAGGAATATATTGATGAAACCTGATGCGTTTTTTATTTTTATTTTTTACATTTATATAAAGGCAAATTTCCATTTCAGGAAAAATGCATCGTTAACAAAGACTTTGTAAGTTAAAATCATGACTTTGTTGTAAAGGCAAAATTAACTTGCTGTTCAGAGCAAGGCAATAAAGAGGGTTTTTTTTTAAAAAATAACTGTATTGAACACAGTTGTTGTTTTTGTAACTCTGGCATTTTAGATGTCAGATAAAACCAGGAATTTTGAATGGTTCTGGTTCAGGCTGCTTAGAGCACGTTATGAGCTGGTTATAAATATTGCTTACTTTTTATCTATATCATACATGAGCTGGTTACGCTGTGGTTCATAATGTGTGGGGGAATTGTTTTCTGATGCATTTCTCTCCAGCATTCCTTCTTCGTCCCCACAGCCTAGAGTTTTAGGCTGTGAGAGCAAATATCTTGCTAAAATACCTTGTGATTTTATTTCCTTTAGATGAAAACAAATGTTAACTGCTGTCAGGGAACTGCAGTCAGCAAGGGAGGAAAGAATTAGAGGATACAGGGAATGATCTCCACTGCTCAGTACTGAGTCCTCCTCAGAAGACAGAGAAGAGGATAGTGAGTCTGGGGAGGAAGGGGTGCTTCAGAGAGAGGGGGATCAACGTCACAGGGAAAAACGGAAGGGGCTGAGCCGTTGGTTGTGTTGGTCTCGAGTGCAACGCGTCATGAGAGACGGATCGCTTTGTTTATTCTGCATGTAATCTTGTCAGAAGGAAATAAAGAAAGGAATTTATGGCTGGCTGCCAGGAGTGTTTTCTCTGCTAAGTGCAGCAACGCATGCAGCTGGCTAGCTGACAACTGCTCTGTAGGTTGAGATAAAAAGAAGTAAAAGGAAGAGATTTCTATCGCCAAATTCTTATCATATTGTACCAATTGCTCAATATCATTCACCGTTAAAACACTATTCTGCCTTGCCATAGAAGTGGCTTATCTACTTAAAAGATGTTCTCAGGAACCAAATAAAGTACAGTGGATGCTTGGGTTGCGAACGTGATCCGTGCGGGATGCACATTCGCAACCCGCAGTGGTGTGTCTGCGCACACATGGGTGTGCACACATTTGGCGCTTCTGCGCATGCGCAAAGCGCAATTTAGCGCTTCTACACATGCACAACCACCAATACCTGGAAGAAACCTGTACTTCCGGGTTTTGGCGGTCCGTAACCCGAAAAAACGCAACCTGAAGCATCTGTAACCCGAGGTATGGCTATATATGGATGGAAGAAAATGTACCTGTATCCTTTAAACAACAGACACCACAGTTAATTCCTATAATATTTAAAGCAATTCCAAACTGGTCTCAGTACAATGTTATCATTGTTCATAGAACTGCTGATTTGAAAGGCACCATGAGGGTCATCTAGTCCAACCCCCTTGCAGTGCAGGAATCTTTTCAACATAGGGCTCAAACCCACAACTGTGAGATTTAAGAGTCTCATGCTCTACCAGGGGTCAGCAAACTTTTTCAGCAGGGGGCTGGTCCACTGTCCCTCAGACCTTGTAGGGACCCGGATTATATTTTGGGGGGAAAACCCCAAACGAATTCCTATGCCCCACAAATAACCCAGAGATGCATTTTAAATAAAAGCACACATTCTACTCATGTAAGAACACGCTGATTCCCGGACTGTCCGTGGGCCGGATTTAGAAGGCGATTGGGCCAGATCCGGCCCCCGGGCCTTAGTTTGCCTACCCATGGATTGAGATAAAATAAGCACAAAAATCCTGGTCATATACGCTTACTCTGGATTTATTTATTTTTAAGTAGCTTTCCACACAGAAACAATGCAAATATTTCCTCTTAAAAAATATTACTGCAGTCAGTATTTGAGATTTTTTTTACAGTGTTTTAACAAAGCCAGCTTTCTATTCCTAAATGCATTTACTTGGAAATTGGTTTACTGACTACTGTGATCTTCAGATTTAATGCTAAAGTTTTTTCCTTACAGTTGTGCTGCTCAGCTTACATTTCTAGTTAACCGGAGGGAATTGAGAGAGAAGCCTCGTCTGTAGACAGTTTGTGACATTAGAAAATAATGATAAGAAAGGTGAAGTTACTATGCAGGATAACTAGAGTTTAGTTTTCTATAGAGACAAACAATTAAACAGTTTTCAGACTTAAGAGCATCTTTTAAAAAATGCACTCAACAAGATGTTAGATCTTGCTGTATGAAATCCTGTCCTGCTTTAATTAAGCAAAATTTGCAAACTGAAGGAAGTTTATCCTTGAATTCTGTTCACTGTATCTATAGGCTTTGAAGCAGACTAGGAGGAGGTTGCCTCTGTCAGTACAAGGGGACTTCTTCTCACTGCCCTTCTGGTGGCAACCCTCCATGTCCACTGAAAAGCCCTCCCAAAGATTGACCTCAAAGCATAGTGGGATGGAACAAGGAAGGAAAATTGGTGGGGGGAAACTCCTTCCCTGTATGTGAAAGTGCCTTCAGATCTAAGCTACATTGGTTTCATATTGTATTCTTTCCACTGGTATTCTTTCCACTAGAGGGAGCCGATGGAAGTTAGCATTTTAACTGAACTACGGCAGCTTTAAAACAATGCTCTTGAGTCTGAACCATAAGAGAGTTCATGGAAGTTTTGTCTTGCCCAAACTTGCATATAAATCCATTCATGCTTCTTCCCGTAATCTCCTGCTTATGCTTAATTGCTTCATTAAAATATTTTCTTTGAAAATTCATACTTCTACTAAGTACTTGTTTGTCATCTGTACTGAATGCATTAATGTTCACATTGTCATTTGATAGAAGCAAAGTAGGATGCTATAACTGAATTATTAATTTTTTCCCCAATTATAGGAAGTTGTTTAGTGGGAGCTACTTGAGTGAATATACAAAAGTAGAATATCACGGCCAAAAGACATGTGGCACACGTGCTAAAGAATAGACATGATGAGATTAATTCCATTCTTGCTACAATCCAATGTATACATAAGGTAAAGGTAAAGGGACCCCTGACCATTCCGTCCAGTTGTGGCCAACTCTGGGGTTGCGGCGTTCATCTCACTTTATTGGCCGAGGGAGCCGGCGTACAGCTTCCGGGTCATGTGGCCAGCATGACTAAGCCGCTTCTGGTGAACCAGAGCAGCGCACGGAAACGCCGTTTACCTTTCCGCCGGAGCGGTACCTATTTATCTACTTGCACTTTGACGTGCTTTCGAACTGCTAGGTTGGCAGGAGCAGGGACTGAGCAACGGGAGCTCACCCCTTCACAGGGATTCGAACCTCCAACCTTCTGATTGGCAAGTCCTAGGCTCTGTGGTTTAACCCACAGCGCCACCCGCGTCCCAGTGTATACATACCTAGGAGTAAATTCCACTGAACTCAACAGGACTTACTTCTGAGCAGACATGCATACGACTGATGTGTCTGTAAGGATTTTCCAGAGCATCACATAAGGAATTGGTAACTGCAAGTCATCAACCTCAGCTTCATTTCTACAAACACTTTTGCACCTTATTCTTAAAGTATATTCAAATAAAGACCTCATTTATCCAGAGCACATAAACTTGTTAAAATGACTGTTGGTAAGCCCTTCGACCTTAAAAAGGGACTAATGAAATATACGAAACCTGCATCCAACTCCCATCCAGCATAAAGCCAAAGCATTTTCAATACAATACTTGACAAATTCTTTGTCCCCAAAGATTACCAGGCCAGCAACTGTGTCTCTCTCCTTAAACGCAATATATGTGCAGTACCACATGACAGGTTACCAGGCAACTGCACAAGCCCAGATGCACTGGGAGTTTCAAAGCAGCTGGTCAGTTGCTTTCAACCAGCGGAAAAGTACAGACTCGCATCTGAGCTTGAGCCTTTTTATCACGTTCATGGCTGATTTCTCTCCTGCCCCCTGATTTCAGCCCTGACTCCAGTAGTAATTGCCCTTTCAGTGGGGGGTAATTTATTAGAATTCCAGCGACATTCTTGAAATAGGCATTTTAAACTTTTAAGATCAAGGTGGCAAGTTATTTTTTGTTCAGTTTTGCATGATGCCACTAGGATAAAGATGATTAACATTGCTTGTTCAATTGTTTCTCTTAAATAGAGTAACCTATCTTTGTTGCTCTGGTCAAAGGAATTGACTCCTTGGAAGCAGGTAGCAGATTTGCACACACACACACCCTGCATGCCTGGATAGCTCAGTTGGTTAGGGTGTGGGGCTGATAATGCCATGGTTGCAGGTTCGATTCCCATATGGGACAGTTGCATTTTCCTGCATTGCAGGGGGTTGGACTAGATCAGGTATCCACAGCCTGTGGCCCTCCAGGTGTTTTGGCCTACAACTCCCATGATCTCTAGCTAACAGGACCAGTGATCAGGGATGATGGGAATTGTAGTCCAAAACATCTGGAGGGCCGAAGGTTGGGGATGCCTGGACTAGATGATGCTCAGGGTCTCTTCCAACTCCCTTCCAGTTCTATGACTCTTACATAAAGCACCTCCTCACGCCTGCAGAGAACCCTGAGCTACAATTTCATCACCATTTGTTAACCATATTTCCCAGGATTCTTTGGGGTCTGGGATGTGCTTTAAATGTATGGTGACTCATATTGTTGGCATGTGACTTGATCAAGCATGCAAAATTCAATTTGCTCTGTATAATAGAATTGGAGAACTGGAGGGGGTCACATGGGTCATCTAGTCCAACCCCCTGCAATGCAGGAATTGTTTTGCACAACGTGGGGCTGGAACCCACGGCGCTGAGATGTAGAGTCTCATGTTCTACCAAGAAGTTACCTAGAAAGCCAGTAGGACATTTTTGGAAGGGCAACATTACTTTTAATACCCATGAGATGATATTTTCTGGTATGTGTTTTAATCTACTGGCATGGACTCTAGCTTTTTAACATGTTTATGCATTTGTACTAGTATGCAAGTTTTACAGTTTTGTGTGTTAATCTGTAAAGAATTCAGCCTTCCCTTAGTGCTCCTCGCTGACAATCCCTTAGCTTTCAAAAGCACATAATTTATTCCATCTTAAATCCTATGTTAGGATTGTCCTTGCCCATCCCACATACTCCTTGCCTCTTCTGTTTTCCTTCCTTTCAGACATTTGTTTCAATTATGCCCCAGTATCACAGCTTTCACCCTTCATGTTCCTTCTTTCTGTTCAGTTTTCCAGTTTACATAGTACACTGCCTCTTCCTATCTTCTCCCCACTGTCAACATATTAGTCTTGATGCAGGCCAGTTGCCAACCTTTTCCCAATTCACTCATTTCCCTCTCAGCTGCTGTCCAACTTTCCATGAGTATTACTTGACCTTGAGTTACTGGAATGTCATGACATCACAGCAGCTTAGCCAATGGTTTGAGAGAAGGACCAGCTGAAAAGGAACAGCCAATTTTTAGCTTGACACGTAATACCAGGCACGCCCAAACTCAGCCCTCCAGATGTTTTGGGACTACAACTCCTATCATCCCTAGCTAACAGGACCAGTGGTCAGGGATGATGGGAGTTGTAGTCCCAAAACATCTGGAGGGCCAAGTTTGGCCATGCCTGCCTTAGAGGGAATAACAACACAGCTGTATCTTATTGGTCCTCATGAATAAGTCAAGTGATGCCCATGCATGTGTGAATGATGTTCTAAGACACTGCATAAAGAATTACTGCTAAGCTTATCTACATCACATATTTGTGGTTAAATTGCTATGTATCAATAGGAGGTAAAGGTAAAGGGACCCCTGACCATTAGGTCCAGTCGCGGACAACTCTAGGGTTGCGGCACTCATCTCACTTTATTGGCCAAGTGAGCTGGCGTACAGCTTCTGGGTCATGTGGCCAGCATGACTAAGCCACTTCTGGCGAACCAGAGCAGTACATGGAAACGCCGTTTACCTTCCCGCCGGAGCGGTACCTATTTATCTACTTGCACTTTGACATGCTTTCGAACTGCTAGGTTGGCAGGAGCAGGGACCGAGCAATGGGAGCTCGCCCCGTCGCGGGGATTCGAACCACTGATCTTCTGATCGGCAAGGCCTAGGCTCTGTGGTTTAACCCACCCATGTCCCTTATGTTTCAATAGGAACATGAGATTAATTCTGAAAATCTCAGCTGCCTTTGGTAGGGAAACATGGAAAAAGTTGCCTCCTAAGAGAAAATCATGTGAATGATTCATACTGCCCAGGGGTTTGCAGTGTTAATCAGAACACGGTGACTTGTCTCCAGACAGGATCTGGTTGTTAGGCTCTGCCAATGTGAGATTTATCCATGTTTGTCCAGGGCGTTGAATTTTCAACTGCTCTTGGGAGGTGTGAGGCTGTATGGAAATAAAGGAGAGCTGAAAATATGGCCTTTTATCACAACAGCCACAATATATGAGATGTTAGGATGGCGGTTTACAGTCTGCAGAATAATAGACAGCAGCTGCCTGCCTTGCATGTATTTAGCGCTAACTAGCCTAGTAATTGTTGTGGCAGGGTTCCCCAATATACACTGCTTTATGAAAAGAGCAGTCAGCAATGTTCATCACTTGGTTAAAACAAAAATCTTTGCCGCAAAGATTTATATAACATGACAGGGTGGGATTTACACTGTCTAGTTACTGATCAGTAAGAGAGATGCGAACACTTTATGAGAGGAGAACACTGGGTGAAAATGATGCTGTTATGCAACTGCTTTTTCTGGTGCAGAGAAAATGTAAGATAGAATTGGCTTCGCAGTATGAAATACTTGACAGGAGCTAATGGTTTCTATGATGAAATAAAAACATATCTGCTAATAGAGTGGCGTTTAAGTCTATATTTCTTCAATGAACATTGAGGGTAGTAATGGATTATGTTTCGTTTTGTGGTGGGATACAATTTTAAACAATACATGGAATCTAACTGCATTTCCAGTCACTTTACACTACACTAGGTTCTCTTCAAATAAGTCCACATTGTGAGATAGGGTCTCCCTGAATGCAGGGTGTTATGTACTGTGTTGAATAGGATCCAAAATGCAGCAGTCTGATTGGTCCTAGAACAATAGGATCCAAAATACAGCAGTCTGATTGGTCCTAGAACAATAGGATTCAGAATGCAGCAGTCTGATTGGTCCTAGAACAATGCAGCAGTATGATTGGTCTGCAGGAGCCACCCAATCCAGCTCCAGATGAAAGTGAATCCACAACCTGATTGGCCTACAGGAGAATTCCAGAATTAGCCAATCACGTGCAGCCCATTGTGTAAATAATGTATATAAAGCAGATACTTTGAGGGGACTTCCATTCCCTCCTCACCACTATGAGCTGAATAAAGAGCATGAAATCCACTCTCGACTCTGAGTATATTTCACAGAGAGAACCTGACATTTCTGTAGAGATGACTCTTTCAAAACAATGTTTATTTTCAGTTGCCTGAAAACTATTGTATGGTGGTTTCTTTACTTACCCAGTTTAATTATCAATATACAATATTTGACTGGATAATAAGCAACGGCCTTATCATTTCATCTAGTAACTTCTCTGTAATATATATTTTGTTTACAAAACTTTACGTATTAAAAGATTGTCTCTCCTATATTAAAAAATCATTACCATTCATTATGAGTTTATCCGCTGGGAATTAATTGTTGCATGAACACAACCGGTGTCTGTATTAAGCCAGGGGAGCACTTGTCTCTTTGCAAAATATTTTCCTGTCCTATTGACGTTGTTTAGTGATTGAAGAAAACCCTCAAAGGAGTTATGAGTAAATGGACATCTTGAATTCAACTAAAACTGTAATTTCTTTCTGCAAACCCCAAACAGGAAATGTATCTCTGGCAGATGTCTTCCTTCAAATAAAGTAAATGTGTTTCAACAGTCTCGAGGATTTGCTGTTTTATGGAATTGTGCTTTCAGCAAACACTTAATTTTATCTTCTTTTTCTTTTTTTGGTGGTTGGATATAGTCCAGAACTAAAAGTCATAAGGTTTATATCTTAGGTGCAAATAATGAACACTAGCTCATAACTCACTAAAATGTCAGGGGTTTTGCCTCCAGAAATCGAAATAACCACTTTCCATGTTTCACATGCTTTATGGCTGGTTCTCTACATTGTGTGGGGCACAAAGGAGTTATATTTCCTAGTGGGCAGAGAATTAGCAGTGTTCTGAAAACAGGCGGTTAGCTTTGAAATGCTTGAGGGCGGTGATGGGGAAATGTGCAGCTTGTTTCAAAAGCTGTGGGTCCCTTTCGGAACAGAGGGTCTATAAGAAGCAAGGCCTTTTGGAACGAGCTGCTAAATTAATGTGGGAGGTTTAGCAAAGTGTGTCTGTGTAAAATGAGAACTGCAACACAGCAGGGACCCCTGGGAGATGCGTTGTACCACTATTCACATTGTAGAAAGAGGCAGGGCCCCTTTCACCTTGTGAGACACCCATTGGTGGGGGTTCAGACATTACAGTGCAGTATTTTGCATACCCTTGCATACCTTCTTCTGATGAAAATAGGGGTGCCCTATTCAATAATATTTTTTTTTAAAAAAATAATCTTTATTAATTTAAATTACACACATTTACAAAGAATTTTCAAAGAATTTACAATCTCATACTACAAAAAGAAAATTAAAGAAAAAAGAATTAAGAAAAAAGAAAAGAAAATACAGAAAAAAGAAAGAAGAAAAAGCAGATTTATGTGCATTAAAAAACTTAATCTTCCTGATTAAAAAATTGCATCACAATTACTTTTTTTTTTTGTTTCATTGATGCACAGAATTACCACATGCTCAAAAAACTTTATCTTCCTAATTAATACTTAAATAAACACTTAAATAAAAAAGACTTCGGACAATATGAGTCTTCCAATCATTCTCATTGTACTGTTTATACGGTCGTCGTTTTTTTCCACAGTTTTATATTCTTTAATATTGTTCCCATCTACTCCACAAACGGTATTTGTTCTGTTTACAAGTATCACTCAAGTTCTGCTAATATGGTGTGGTTGGTACAATATGATCTTATTCTATTCAATAATAATTAGTGTGATTATTCCCTGCCCATCTGACTTGGTTGCCCCAGCCACACTGAGCAGATTCCAACGTATAAAAATAATAATAAAACATTAACCATTTTTTAAAAAAACTTTCCCTATACAGGGCTGCCTTGAGATGTCTTCTAAAGGTTTTATAGTTACTTATCTCCTTGGCTCGGAGGCTGTGTAACTCCATACCCTCCAACATTTCTCCGATGAAAATAGGGGTGTCCCAAGGAAAAGTGGGACATTCTGGGTTCAAATCAGAAACTGGGACGGCTTCGGCAAAGCCGGGACTGTCCCTGGAAAATAGGGACACTGGAAGGGTTGGGTTTTGCCTACCCATGTGGCAGTGAATGATAGCCATTCGCTGATGTGGAAGAATGAGGTGTACTTGAGTCTTGAAGACTTGGGGGAAAAGCAGAAGCTAATCCTATTCTTGGTGACTCAGGCCCTGGAGAATCAAGGTTATTGCGATCAGTGGCCAGCATGACTAAGCCACTTCTGGCGAACCAGAGCAGTACATGGAAACGCCGTTTACCTTCCTGCCAGAGCGGTACCTATTTATCTACTTGCACTTTGACGTGCTTTTGAACTGCTAGGTTGGCAGGAGCAGGGACCAAGCAATGGGAGCTCACCCCGTCGCGGAGATTCGCACCACCGACCTTCTGATTGGCAAGCCCTAGGCTCTGTGGTTTAACCCACAGTGCCACCCACGTCCCTCTAGACATGGGCATAGTCAGGATTTTTGTTGGGGGGGGCAGAATCTCAGATTTGTATTGATTTTTGTTGATTTGCAGCTGCCCCCCTGGCTACGCCCAT